CGCTACTCAAGACGGTAGTTTATTCAGGCGTCAGACATGTTGCAATGTTGCTACTCCGAGACGCTCGATATACTCCGACAGCGGCCGCATTGATGGTGATTGGGTGGCCGCGACGGACTCCGAGGTCTGACCTCGGGGGCGGAGCACCGTGACTTGCTTGTTGACATCTCTGGTAGCCATGTCTGAAGCGTCTCGATATCATTGGAGTTGATGGCATCCTGTATATTCTGGGGCGGAAGTTTCATTTTGTCGATGTGAAAGCCTTGGGATATTCGAAGAAAGTATCATGCTGCAGGTGGTGAGGTAAGGGTGATGTAGGTGCGTCTTGTGCGGCACAGTATCATGACTGCCTAGGGCTAAGGTTACGGAAAGACACAACGATATCTGGAAGTAGAGATCTCTTCTACCTTTATTCTCCCATGACTGTTATGATGGGTTGAATTTGTTATTGACGGTCTACAAACGTGTTATTGCCATGATCGCTTCGTCTGCCTGCATGTCCTTTCATGTCTCCTTCGTTTCCTCGTATACGCTCGTTTTGTACATAGTCTTTATAAAAAAATTTGCTGATTATAATTGTTACACAGTAACAATTTTTTCCCGACTCCAGTCGATTGAAGGGTGGTGCGGGGAAGAAAGTAAGATGTCGGAGTACCCTGTCGATCGCCGGTGCACGTCCCTCGAACTTTTGGCTTGGTGACATCAACAGATCGACCGCCTCATCCCAAACACCCATCCAAGCCTCAACACCCACCATGAGACCACAAACCCCAGTCAGGGCAGTGCAATCGATACGCAGCTGTATATCGCAAACTTCACGCTACCGAAACCCTGCCATACACACGCCACTGCAGTTACAACCCCCACGAATCTCGCGATGCATATCCACCACCACCTCAAAACAACATAACCCAACATCCCGCTCCACAGTCGACCCAACAGAAGTCTCCCACTTCAATGCGCTCGCGTCATCATGGTGGGACCCCCACGGCCCCTCTCGACTCCTACATCTCATGAACCCTCTACGACATGACTTCATCACACGCTGCCGCTCCATCACGCCCACACCCGCGACCCAGAAACTCCGCTACCTAGACATTGGCTGCGGCGGCGGTATCTTCGCTGAGTCTGCGGCGCGTCTTCCTACTACAACATCCGTTACAGCCGTCGACCCCACACCGCAAGTCCTCTCCATCGCCGAAGCGCATAAAAGGCGCGACCCCACGCTGACGGCGCCGGGTAAACTCACATACCTCAACACGTCGATTGAAGATCTTCCGCGCCCTGCTTCAGATACCGAGGCTTTCGACGTTGTCACCTTGTTCGAAGTCATCGAGCATGTGAACGCTCCTGGACCCTTTCTGGAACACGTGTTGCCGCATGTGAAGCCCGGGGGATGGTTGATAATGAGTACAATTGCGCGGACATGGACGAGTTGGTTGGTTACTAATGTTGTTGCGGAGGATATCCTGGGCATTGTGCCGAAAGGGACGCATGAGTGGAGCAAGTACGTTAATGAGGATGAGTTGAGGAATTGGTTTGCGAAACAGCCTGGTTGGGGTACCGTGAGGACTATGGGGATTGTGTATGTGCCTGGGTTTGGGTGGAAGGAGGTTGCTGGAGGTGAGCAGTGGGGGAATTACTTTTTGGGTGTGAGGAGAGACGCGTGAGGAGACGGAGGGTTGTGGGATCAGTGGCTGGGAGTGTATGGTAGGTTTGATATGGGAGCAATTGATACCCAGGTAATGTACAGTATACAGGACGTCGTCTTGACGTTTTTATGTGAATCCGTACAATCATGCTCACCGCATGCAGCCCTCTCCTACGACGCTCCATCTGGAATTCCGGGCTGAACAACTTGCTGTGCCCGCTCGCTGGACCTGCTCGACGTGCACCTCATCCTAGTAACTGATACCATACATCCTCCACGCTTTATATATCTCTCTTCACTTCTCAGCGTCATGACTTGGTCGCCGGCCTCTCCTCAAATGGCGTAGGCATATTTGTCCGCGTCTTCGCATTTGAATCCCCCGCAGCAGTCTCAACCTCCACAAGATCATGTCCACCAGCCATTTTCCACGCGCTTAGATAATCCTCGCCTCCGAATCGCTTGGGGTAGGTTTCCGGGTTATTGGAGTCATTGTATCGTACTTTTGGAATGCTTGCGGCCACAAAGGGTGTCAACTATCAATTATTAGCCCTACCCTCTATGCTCCATCTACAAAGGCACAATGTTCGAGGTGCCAATGCGCCGTGATTTCCTACATACATCGCTATTGTTGGTACCTCGCTCCGGATACACAAATGTCCGTATCTTATTCCAGTCCGGTATGAAGTTGCCGTATCGGTTGATGATGCCCATGGAACCAACGCGGTTTCCCTTGTAGTATTCTTTTCCGGCTTGCTTGGGGGATAGCGGCAGACGCCGCAACATTTTTTGAAGAGGGGGCGTGGCTTTGAACATGCTGGCGGATTTACAGTACCGTTGCGATACAGAAGCGTGGGTTTATCGTCTATTGTAAAGTCGGACAAGGCGTTGCGGAGATGCCGCGGAGGTGGCACGGACCACGACTCAAAAAAAGTGCAGCCAAGATTTCGAGTTTAGACGCTGAAAACTGCCCGCTGCCGCAACAACTACGACGACGACTAAGCGCCACAATGCCGCCCCGAGTAGCACGCAGCTCAGTCCAGAGCGGCAGCTCGTCTGCAAAAAGTCGCCCGAATGCGCGCAACCCCAAAAAGGCGGCAAAGCGCGCCATGGACGCTTTCGCTATCGCTCAGTATGAGAACCCGGATGAGCTGAAGATACGCAAGAACCGCCTCGGCGAATTCGACCCGGCATTCAAGCGTAAGCGGACGCGCGATTATGACGACGAAGATGAGGAGGACGAAGACGAGGACGTTGAGCCGAAACGGCGCAAGAGGAGAAGTGGGAGTGAGAGCTTTGATGAGGGAAGCGACTCCGAGGGCAACACATGGCAGATGGGACACGTAGAAAATGACGATGACGACGAGAGCATCGACTCTGACGAAGCCTTTGGCGAGAGTGACGAGGAACGCTTCGAAGGCTTCACGTTCCGCGGCAGTTCAAAGAGCCACAAGGGCAAGGCGAAGAAGTCTAAGAGACAACAGGATCTTGAGGACGAAGACGGAGATATCGATCTGGATGAAGGCGACAGTGCAGATGGCGAGGACGAGGAGGAAGACGACCTTGGTGAAGATGCTATCGATCTTGCCACTGCGCTGGACCAGTACGAAGAGGATGAGGCAGAGGAGCGCAGGGAGAGGAATAAGAAAAAGAAGGCTGAGGGATTCGGTGACAGCGATGACGAGCTCAGCGGTAGCGACAATGGAGGAAACATGGAGTCAGATGTTTCATCTGACGATGAGGAAGATGATGACGACCGTCAGGCTCAACTGCAGAACTTGATCTCGTCTTTAGCGACAAAAGAGGACGAAAAGACAAAAGGCAGGAGAGTTGATGTTCACGAGTCTGCTGCACCCGATGAGTTTGGTGTTTCCAGGAAGGTCGATCTTCTCAGCTTCAAGCCCAAGGTTGCAGACGCAGAGAAGAAAAAAGCCCTCAAGTTGCTGCAGGATGACAAGTCATCAAAGCGGAATGATATTGCTAGAAAATTGGATGCACCTCTACCAAAGCGACAGCAGGACAAGATCGACCGCGCTGCAGCCAATGCCAAAGCAAACGAGACACTCGACAGATGGACGGACACTATTAAGCGTAATCGCCGGGCTGAGCACCTTATGTTCCCTCTGAAGAATGCAAGTGGAGGTGAACCCATGGGAGAGAAGACACTGCTACCCACAACAACCGCAGCTCCTGCCAATGACCTCGAGAGTACCATTCAATCCATCCTTCAGCAAAGCGGTCTATCAAATGGCCAAGAGGACGAGGATAAGATAGCGAAATGGGAAGAGCTACAGACGAACAAACTTCCTGTAGAAGAGGTTCTTAGGCGACGTGCTGAACTGCGAATGCAGCGAGAGCTCATGTTCCGCGAAGAGGTTCGCGCCAAGCGCATCAAGAAGATCAAGAGTAAAGCGTATCGACGAGTGCACAGAAAGGAGCGCGAAAGGATGTTGGAGAAGGAGCGCGAACAACTCAAGGCAGACGGTGTTGATCTCTCAGAAGAGGAGCGCGAATACAATGATCGCCGTAGAGCCGAAGAGCGCATGGGTGCCAAGCATCGCGAGAGCAAATGGGCCAAGGGCATCAAGGCAACAGGAAGAGCAAACTGGGATCAAGATGCGCTTGACGGTGTGACTGAGATGGCTAGGCGCAACGAGGAGCTTCGCCGCCGAGTCGAGGGCAAAGTTGTCCGCGACGATGATGAAGAAGGCTCGGATCTTCCCAGCGAGGAAGAAGAGAGCGATGATGACGATGATGACCAGTCCGACAATGACAAATTGCAGCAATCGCTCGGCAAGCTGAAGGAGAACCCATTCTCTACTGGCAAGTCGAAGATTGCGGATATGGCCTTTATGAAAAAATCAGAAGCTGCCAAGCGCGTACAAAACGACGAGGCTGTTGAGAGCCTGCGGCGTGAACTTGCGGGCGAAGACAGTGCTAACGAAGAGGTTGATGAGAATGCGGCAAAGGCTGGACGGAGAAGATACGGTCCTAATCCCGATGTTTCTGCTCCTGCGATACAGATCAATCGCAGCGAGTTCGAAGAGCATGCCAGATCAGACAATGAGGACGCACAGGTAAATGTTGACGGCGATGCATCGGATGTGGAACAGAGGCCAGCGCCAAAGAAGAACGGTGTTAATGGGCTATCTAATGGTACCCGTAAGCAGCACAAGGCTTTTGCGCAACCTCTGCCTGAGGAAGATGCAAGTGGCGCGGCGAACCCCTTCTTGAACAAAGCAAAGAAGGAGAGGAAGGCCACGAAGGAACCCGAGCTCTTCCCAGCACCGGCAACCACGAAGCCTGCTGCTTCAGAGAAATCCAAAGCCCAATCCAAGCCGACTCCAAAGGCCAAAGAACAGAAGAAGTCAAAGTCAGCCTCGCAGCCCCAAGAAACCAAAGTCGACGAATTCCTCAAACAGCGCGTCACCACCGCCGATGACGACGGCTGGGCAACTGTCCTAGGAGGACAAGACGACGACTCCGACCAAAACGACGCCGCCCTTGAAGAAGAAGGCATCGACCTCGACCTCGTGCACCGCAACCAAGCCCTCACCGCCAAAGGTTTCGCCGGCGACAACGTCGAAGCCACCTTCTCGGCCGAAAAAGCCGCCACAATTGCCGAAGAAGAATCTTCCGAAACAGTCTCCTACCTCCCCGGCTGGGGCGCCTGGACCGGCCACGGCATGTCCAAAGCCGAGCAAAAGCGCAACCTCGGCGCCAAATCCGTCACTCAAAAACCAGGCATCAGCGCCGATAAGCGCAAAGATAGGAAGTTGGATAAAGTCATTATCAACGAGAAGAGGGTTAAACCTACGGTCAAGTATATGGCGGGCACTTTGCCGTTTCCGTTTGAGAATAGGGAACAGTATGAGCGCAGTTTGCGGGTGCCAAAGGGGAAAGAGTGGGTTACGAAGAAGACGCATCAGGATGTTACGAGGCCGAGGGTGATTGTTAAGCAGGGAGTCATTAAGCCGTTGAGGAAACCGTTGGTTTAGAGTGATACGGATGATATGGACAGTGGCTTTGCGTTGATGTATGTTTCTCGTCATTGGGCTACCCATGGTTTCCCGAGTAGATGCATATAGTGGCTCCGTACCAGGAGTAGAAAACTTGGACGTCTTTTTCTTTGACATTTGCTGATGGGGGCTTGTGTGCTGAGAACAATGTGATTCCACCGTACATACTTGACACGCTATCAATAGTCTACAGGCTATTGTGCATATCCTACTCAGATAGCTCCTTAGCCTGCAACTACACCGGAAAAGAAGAGATGATCCGCGTATCCATAGCTATAGATGCAGGCCTGGTCTCAGCGTAGTCCACTCCGCCGCATCCTCTCCACCTTTCCCTTCTGGCCTCCATGATGCACGACACAAGGATACAGCATATAGTTCACAGTATACCTGATACCCCCATGGAGCAGTAGTCATGTGCAACGGCCGTTGAGAACATGAAGCGAGACCGGCGTGGTGAGGTTGGAATGAAAAGACTGTTTGAACAGTCAATAAAGAGGACAGGATTGTGGCGGTGACTACATTCTAGTAAGTGTGTAGAGTAAATGAGAGGGGAAGCAGAACCGAAAAAGATGGGTTTATAAGAAAGACGGGCGAGGAAAAAAGGAGAGTGAAGATATGTTTACTGACGTAGGCGAAAGGAGGTGAGAGCGAGTGCGAGATGTGAATTGCAAGTAACAACAAGCAGTGACAGCTACAGCATGTGGTTGGTGTGCATGTCGGAGACTTTTGCATGTCACTGTGTGTATGCTTTATTCGTGCATGTGGATATGTCACGGTTTGGGGTCTCTCCTGCTCTGCTCCTGCAGTCGCAACTTACCTTTGTAATGGAACGATGCCTATCTGGGACTAGCGCTGTTTACGGTCCCCCACCTACATATACAGTTTGTAGACTCAGACAATACAACCTCAGTTCAATCCTTCAATTCTTCCAGCACCCACTATCCCCACAGGATACGATGGAATGTCGGATCTATAAAGGCTTGTAGTATAGTTATGTATACGAAACATTGGCTAAACGTTTGAATTACTCTGGGGGCGCGGGAGATCAGCGAGCCATTGTTTGCAGTGATACGATATAGCTGATTGAACCTATACTGTACGAGAGAACTCATGTCCCATGCGCGCGTATTCACTTGATACAGAACATCGCATGTTCAGAAACCACGGCATTTGTCAAAGTAGACAAGTGCAAATACGAGAAACCCACCCATAGTAAAGCCAATATCGATACCAAGAAATGCGTAAAAATAACCCCATCACACGTTCCCAACGCTCAGTGCACACAGCGTCCATCACCTACAAACATGCCCCACAAACGTTATGAACAATGTATAACGCACAGACACTGCCTGTACCCTTACACACTTACACACTTACACAACTGCCGCAAGCGGCACAGTCGTATCCGCGCTCAACACCACAAGAACCCATCACGCCACCGCAGACTATATCAATAAACCTGCGACACTTACCACCTCGTATTTGGCCTTGTTTTGTTTCTTAATCGCAAGATGCATGTATATACTCGATACTTCATATTGATAAAGGGAGAATGTCACTGTACACGCGTTCGGCGTTTGGGTAGAGTCCGATCATCCGGGTGTTTGGCTTGCCGGGGCGGCTATAAGGGGAGAGAAGTTTATTTCTTTGTGCTGTGCTGGGGTTGAGCTCGTATTTTTGGAGTCGTGTTTGTGAAGTCACCGTTTGTTGAAACGGTGGGCGTGGGGGGGATGTGAGATAGTTTTATACCCTTGTTGTGTTGGGAGGGCTGTGGTGTGGGAGTACGGGGATCGGCTGTTGGGGCTGCGGTTCGGGATTGGATTGTGGGGGTTACGAGACGGGTGTGATGGACGCGTGACGATACGGGAGGGAAGAGAGAGTTGCTTTTCAAGGACGGTCGTATCGGTTGAGAATTGAGTTGATGGCGGGATTGACCATTGAGAGAATGGGGTGTGCGAGTTTGGGATATATCACGTGATGTTCTTGGTGATTGCGCAACCTTGATGAGGTTGATGACACATCCTGTGAGAAACTTTGACAAAAAAGATACTTACAAATCCCTTGCACCCCCACCTCGCGTCCCAGAAATCGTCGTTCTTGGATAGTGTTTTGTTTCCTTGTAGTCTACCTTAAGCTTTGCTGAGTGTGGAGGAAGCTGATGTGATCATTTGCAAGCCACCGATTCGCACCGTGGCGGAATTCCGTCCGAAATGCAATCGCTCCGACTAGCTCAACGATGCCCAGGCAATACGACGGCGGTTTACCAAGCACCAATGAAGCCGACAAAGAAATTTGGTTTCTTGCTGATGATGATTTATTGTTTCCCGCTTCGTGGTATGCTGTAAAGCGGCCAAACGGGCACAAAGTCTATCCGGTCCTCGATGGGGACCCTGGGAAACCCTTCCTCAGATCATATACGCGAATCTTATGCTCTCCGTGCGCCAGGGGACTCATGTTTTCCTGGAACTGTTTTTAGTATACCTAGTAGGGTAGTTGGCCGACTGTCTGCCCGCAAGCGATGAGGTTGCGCGCCTAGATTTAGCAATGGGAAAAGCAAAGAGCGCCCTGATGCTTGTATGCTAGACATTTAGGTTAGAGCCAGCGATGTAAATAGTGCTTGCACAACGACGTCCCCAGCAAGGCGCTTGATATCCTAGACGAAATCGCGTATTCGGTACTTGCACTGAGGCTCAATGGATCGACGATACCGTTGGAGACATTGGGAAAATTGGGGTAGTCGATGAGCGGAGGGCCGATATGCGGAGGGGATCGTGGCGCGTCGCAATGTGCCTGCTACATACAATGGCAGCCCGATAGGGTAGAAAGTGACGTCGCAACCCTCGTCTGGACGCGTTGACTAGAAGAAGACTCATGCATTCATGCGAAGATTGATTGGTGGCAGGGAAAGGGTTTCGGGCAGTCGATGATGGCTGTATGGGGCCTCATATTCGTCCGAAGATCAGATTTGGGTCGAGTTTGCGTCTCCGATTCAACATGTACGGAGGTTTTCCCAAGTTGGACGCCAGGTACGCATTCGACATCAGCGAGAGATATTGGTTCCAAAGCTTTGTATGTAACCAGAATACCCAGAAAGCGGATCGCTGGGTTGAATAGCATGGTTAGGAACCAATGACGCGGTCCCGGAGAAAGCTTCGAAATTGCGTTCTCGAGACATGGCCAGGGAGGATCTACGCTCTACCCGTGATGACTGCCTATCACAATATGTGCGCCGTAAGCTCGACCATGCTCAACGGCGAATCGTCTTTGATCTAGCCGGCAGTTTCGCGCTGGATACGAGCAGCTGCGTCATAGTGTGAGTAGCAGGTGCGACCCCGCCAATGATGCAGCGCACAAGTCGTCCGGCCACAAGAGGTGCTGATTCCAGCGTTGGAGCAGCGTCGCAATGCGCGCGCGTTAGAAAGGGGAGAAAGGCCAAGTAGCAGGAGAGGAATCCTTGACGTGATGTTACCTTGATGTAGCGTGGTGCAATGCTCGTCCTTCCTCGTTTCTTCCTCACACGGCTTGAGTTGCAAGCCGCCTCTGATCGACGGGCCCGTTCAGCCATGTGTTGTCGCTTCACACCTCAGGGTTCTTTGAGACGATCTGGGTATGATGAACGACGCATCACACGGAATAGGAAGCAGAAGGAGTACTCAGATAGGCTTAGTGTCTGGGCGCGCATGCAAGCCGAGGCCTGTGCATGGCACTATTCTCGTTACGTCAAAGCTATGAGACGATCCTAATGTTTGACACAGACAGACGGGTGCGACTACAAGACGCATCCTCAGGTTCGGATCTTCGAACTCAGGGAAACAGGACCGAATAAACCTTGTTTCGCGGGGAAACGAAGAAAAAGCAAAGTCCAACGGCAACAAACAAAGCCCATGTTCAGACTTTAGCCGTGCCGTTGTCTTCGCCTTGGGTATGTAATCTATGGAAATGACGACAGCACAGTTCCGCGAACCATGAAGCTGCTACAGGCCGCTGCCAATGTCAGAGCAAGTAGCAGCGAGAAAAAGCCGGCCTCGGGCACCGCTCAGCCGTCGCTCTGGCGGCACACATGCTGGGATATCCGTGTAGCATCAGAAGCCGCAGTGGCTCTTCTCCTGAGTCCTCCTCCCGTGCCTATAGTCGATCTTTGCCATCTGTTTCTCGCCCTCTCGCTCGACCAATGTCGGCGGCTTAGTTCGATATCGAGAAGAGCATTGATAGTCGATGATCAGATCGAGGGATTTTCCGGGTTAAACCAATCTCGGTTCCCTATCGTTCACCTGACTGCCAAAAGGCCCCACAGGGGCCTGGCGTCAAGGTACAGGTGGGTAAGGCTGGCCAAGTGAAGCGCTGTCAACAATGCGATACGCCCAGGCCGCTAGAAGCCGGCCCGAGCCCGAACCGAGTTGAGGGAGGGTACCTGGCTACCATAGACACGACAAGAAATCTTCACGACAAAATGCAATTCAGAGTTGCCACATCAAAACAGATGCCCTGGAAAGCTTATCTGACATTGCAGTGACACATGTTACTTGACCGGTCCAAAGTAAAAGGTGGTTCCGTTTCTGAACTGCATTGATCCGTGCATACATAGCGGACACGGCACGCGACATGACCGAAGTCTTGCGCGCCTGCGGTCCCGAGCGTTAGGCTCGCTTGCGCCAGACGTCGAGTTGGATAATCCCTCTCCTGTACGACATCGCCCATCTTCCGCCACAGCACCACATGCCACGTTCCTGCATATGACTTATGGGCACTCCAAGACTTTTCTGCACATCGCCTCGGTGGCTGGCATGCAACTAGTCTTTTGCGCCGGCTGTATGCGTCAGAAAGAGTACGTAGACCCGACTGTGCACACCGTACTGGCAACCGCACAATCACGTCACGTCACGAAGCATGGAAGCGAATCACAGAGACATGGCAATCTGAAACTGAGCGTCGCCGGTTAGGCATGGGCGGTGACACCGTTTGCTGCCAATCTAAAACATTTCTTCTCCAACCATGGAGCCTCATTTTACCCGCAGTCATTGCAACGCTGCAATTGGACTTTACAGCCCTTCAACGACTTGTGCTCGGTACTTTTTGTCGTGACTCCATTCTTTATACTGTAGATCCCGGCTGCCCGGCATGTCACCCGCACATGCTGAGACTAGTCTCCTGCAACTATCTCACATCAGATTCCACACCTGTAGTTTCGACTCGTGGCCATGCAGGAGGTGTTCATCCAGGGTCAAGGAGCCAGGTTTCCGCGGAAGATTTGGCGAATGCGACTGTTCAGCGGGTGCACCGGAAGCGGGGGACGTGCCCCAGGTACGCTTATGTCAAAGCCACCGACAATGCCCATACACTACCAATCTTATTCTAGGCTATTCTCCCAAGTATCAAATACTCCACCCTTTCCCCCGCAGCCTTGCTTGTCCAACCGTCTCTGGTCACCTTTCGGCACTCGCTACCATATCATGGCTGGATCATTGTCTGGTAACCCCAGAGGCGAACAAGCAGTCGAACTCTCCTCTGCATTCACGGCCGTCGCCTTCACCATCGTTTGTCTTCGGCTGTACACACGAATCTACATTATACGATGTGCTGGTATTGAGGATTTTGGCATCGCCGTGGCAATGGTCAGTACTCGTATTCTTCATACATATATCCCTTCTTTGCGCTAACATTTTGCCAGTTTTGCTCCATAGGCCTGACAATCTGCATTGGCATCCGTAAGTATAGACTCCGTATCCACTTGGGACCCCCTTTCTGTTCAAGACTGACTGCGAATAGAAGCCCAATATGGTATGGGTTGGCACATCACCGATGTATCGCACGATGCCATGACCAAGTTCCTCAAGGCAAGGATCCCTACATCTGCCTTCACGCCGTCGTACTAACATGAAACTCTAGTCCTTCTGGTCCTCGCTCATCTTTTACTATCTTTCACTTGGCCTAACAAAGGGGTCTATACTACTCCAATATAAACGCATCTTTACGACAAGGAAGTTCCTCATCGCAAACTATCTCACCATGGGAGTCGTAGTTGGATACACCTTCTGGACCGTCTTTTCGAGCATATTCGAATGCGTACCAATCCGAGCGTTTTGGACCAGGGAGCCGGCCAAATGCCTCAACCAGTTCGCAGTGTGGTTCACCAACGCAGGCATCAACATCCTCACCGACTTTGCAATCATCATCCTACCTATTCCAGTCATACGCAGCCTCAACCTAGGCCGAAAACAAAAGATTGGCCTCATTGCCATCTTTGCAGTTGGCGGACTGTAAGTGTTCCCAAATCCCTCACTTCCACGGCCTTCGGTGTGGCGCGACCGTTTCATCGGTTACAACTCCGTTACACTATGCGACACTTGTCGCGTTGCATCACCGTGCAGCATATGCCGTACCACACTCCCATTATCCAGCATGCCCATCCTTGTCAAACACCATGAGATCATGCACTAACCATCACCCTTTAGTGTGTGCATCGTATCAATCCTGCGACTACATTCACTCGTCGCAATCTCGAACTCGCCGGACCCAACCTACGACAACCCAGCTGCAGCAACTTGGAGTTCCGTCGAAGCTAATGTCGGAATCATATGCGCTTGCCTACCGATACTACGGCCACTGGTTACACAATGGTTCCCTAGAGCATTTACATCGCGACACCCGAGCCAGTTCTCCCGACCACCAAATGCCACGTACGGGAGCAGGCGGAGCAGCAAGTTGCCGCGCACCAAAGAAAGCTTCGCCATGAACACATCCCGAACAACCCGAACAGCGGCGTCAGATGAAGCAAGAGATATACAAGTCGTCACCGACATACATGTGCAGGTTGAAGGTGAAAGCGACGCCGCAAGCGACTGGAAGCCAAGCACTTCTCCAAAGAACTGGTCAGAAACGACGTCAGTCAAGAACCTAGAGCGACTGAACAGCACAGAGCAGCTAGTAGAGGTCCCCGACCTGCCACAACGGAAATGATCCGGAACATCCCGTCCCTTTTGTTTTTTTCCTAGACTCTTGATACCACTTTCTTAACGATACCACATGAACTACTATTAATAGGCCGACTCTTTTCTGTCTTTTGGTTCTTCTAGAGTTGGCCGGACTGGGCGGTTTTCCATGCTTTTATCGAATCTAGAGTCAGTCAGTTCACTCGACAACACAACCCAGGCGGTTTCTCCTATATCCTTAGTTTCTACGCGCGGTATCCCCTCATCAGGGCCCCCAAGGCAGGATTTTAGTCGCTTGGAAAGCGCGTAATGCTCTTAGAAAAAGCGAATGTCACCGCTTTTCCAAACCATGGCATTTACCACATGTACGATACCCATCAGAAGAAAGACAGAAAAGTCCAAAATCCAAATCCAGACTTCACGATCATTTTCAATTTTCTTTTTAATTTCCGCCTTGACGTAACCATGTTTCCACTCCATTTCGTTATCTCGTACCAAAAGGTACGTACCTAAGCGACAGCGACCCTCTGCCGAACCCAAAAATCAGCCCGATCCCTCCCACCGCAATGACTGTCAGCGATCCACCGGCTACCACCACCCGTCTCTCCACGGTCCACCGGCCTCCCTCGTCCCCACCCGTCAGCCCTAACACCCGTTCAATAAGCCAGCAGCCTCCCCCCCCCCCAACCGAAAACAACAAATGTCGATCTCCTCCATCCCCATTTGGATCTCCCGCGCCCAAATTGGACTTGCCAAAAATGGTTATGACATGAACGTTAAACGCTGACCACCCCCTTCGGCCCGAACAAGCGCAGCCAAACCCGAACGACACCCCATAGCCGACCGTGTCTTGGCAGCTTACCGTTACCACGTCAAGGAACTTCCCTTCTGCGTACCCCTGGATTTTTCCTGTTAATGTATTTTTCTTTGCTTTCGATAACCTTATCGAGACTTACGCTTGGCCGATCGATTCGCTTGGTGGCTTGTAGGCAAGACGCTAGGAAGAGGGCGGGATGGAGACGTGCAAGTACAGTAAGAGCTAAGTTATGATCGGCAGGCTTTCCCGCCTTGCTGTCGACGAATGTACCGGGTCGGAGGTTGCAGCTTGACTGCCTTGGGGAGGTCATTGTGGGTACCTACGTAGTGTACTTGGGTGGCTTGGGCCTGGGAGGCACGTGTGGTTATTCTGCTTGGGCTGCTGCGGCGGGAAGGCTAGGAGACAAGTTTTATGAGGCTGGGTGCTTGTTGCCGGGGGGTTAGTGAGCGGGACCTGCCTTTTTGGGGAGAGGGGAAGGGAGAGCATGTGGGGGTTGGGTTATTTGGGTGCTTGCTCTCGTTTTGACTGCCGAGGTTGGTGGGTGATGCCGTTTCGCTTGAGGTACGAAAAGGAGATTATTGTATTTGATTCGGCCGTTTTGGTATGTCGGCAGGTGGTTTACCGGTAGATCGTCCTTTTGTGTCTGGGAGGTATAGAGATTTGATGCACGAAGTGGATGCAGTTGCCCCACGAGGTTTGTTTGCGCAATATTTCGGTGCGATGGTATAGAAGGAAACTTAGCAGAGTTGATGAAGCTCAAATGGGCTCTCCATGACAATCAGGCAATCCAAGACAGAAGCACTTTAACATCGTAAGTTTCCGACGGGACTCAGCATGCAGCGATCAGAGACGAAATTTGCAAAGGATACTTACTAATACCTCTTTGTCGTGTTGCTTTGTCTTGTCTTTGTCATGAACGATGTTGTGGCTGAGGGCGACCATATGCACAGAATGAGGTTAGCGCGTTACTTGGTGGCTTCCACATGCAGCAATGTGTAGCGAAACGGATCGCGGGCCGAATAGACCTCTCGCGTCAGTTGCAAGAGCAAGACTTCCTTTCCACATCTTATGGGCGAGGCTTGTGCGTTAGACATGGGAGTTTGGCTAACTCGACATGTGTGTACATGAAGGTAAAACCTGGTCATGTGATGTTCCCACGTGGTTTCACTCAAATCGAATGCTATCCATGTTCGGTAGTCATGCATCTGTACCTAATATCATCGATGTGGAGACACAATAGATATTCTCAATTGATATCGTATCATACATGAGCTCTTAACTCAGAGATAGGTACAGCGTGCAGGCTGGGTGGAGATCCGCAGGATAGTAACTCCAAGAACTCGATAGTATCTACGAAATGTAGCTCTACATAATTCTTGCACACATGAAATCGCCTTTGTTTCCCAATCACGCTGAAACCCAGGGTATGTCTACCCAGCTTTGTCTACATCGGAACAACGTCGCGATCCGTCCCTAGCTCAACGAACGCAATGAATAGTAATATAGATATTACTATCATCTCGGATCATGACTTGACTATCAACCACAGTGAGAGATCCAGTCTTGCTAACAGCAGCAGCCTCGATAGGGGTAGAGTTGGCTTGCGGGGGAGCTTCGATGGCAGTCTCGATCTCCTCAACTGATAGTACGGTTTGGTCTATGTACTCCTCAAATATGTAGCAGCCTCCAGATACCAAAACCAGAAGGGGGATGGTAAAGATGGGGAAGCTGGTAGTAGTAGTAGTAGTAGTAGTAGTATCCATTAACGTCCTTTTTCAGTCAGAGACTATGTAGGACGGTGGCCTAGGGCCGTTTGACTAGTTTTTTCCCTCTATACCCGTAGGATTTCGTTTCTTTGGTCGAGTTTGACTATGGGGGTTTGGGTTTTTTGCTTCTATACAGGAAAGAGAGAGAGACCTTGTAATAGACACCCGTTTATCTCCACCTTTGTGACCAATCCCTTTGCTATAATAACCCCGTGCTCCTAAGACTGAAAAAAACCTCGTAGGGGAAAAAGTCATGGGACCTTGAACGTTTGTTGTATATAGCGGCAGTTGCGGCATATTTTCGTCTCGGCGGTACTTTGTGGCTCGGTTGTACGGCGGCGGCTAGCGTTAAGCGTGCGGGGTATTGGTGAAAAACTTTCCAGGTTTCGAAAGGAGCCGTTCGATGTTTTTTGGTAAAGCTAGAATAATAGAATTATTATAGCGGTGAGGGGAGAAGGATTCGAACCTTCAACCTCTGCGAGCAAGCTAGCAGAAGCAACCAGGCGCACTACCACTGCGCCATCCCCCCGTGGGGAAGCTGGTAGCGGGGCCCTCAGTGAGGGAGCATGCGAACCAGACGACTGCAGCAGTTGCTACGGCCAGCATGACGCTCACTAAGGCCACACACTCCTTCAACTGGGAATGCAGTGCATGGAGCCACGGAGGGGTCTTGGTGATTCCGCGAGAGAGAGTGATTTCGAGACTGGAAAGGGAACGCTTCATAGTGTAGACCACGGACTTGTCGAGCGTCTGGGCCTCCTGCGAGTCGCCGGTAGTAGATGAGCCGCGCGACATATTTGTTGATGGCGTGTTGGAGTTGGCGGAAGTGGAGGTTGTAGCAGTCGACGTTGAGATGTCGGAAGTAGAGTCGATTCCGGATGTCTCTTGCTTGCTAAGAAGATTCAGGGGGCTATTCTTATACTGCGCCGTCGTTACTTACCTTGAACCGGCAGTTGCTGTATTGTGAAGGGGTGCAATAACTTTGGTAGAATTCATGATGAGTATCCGATTTGGGGATCCGAAAGTGAAAAATGACTTCCAGGGCTTGCTAATTTGAGGAGGACAAGGACGGTGGAGAGACAACTTGGGGTGCGCAATGCAAGTTCAGGGAGTGTATATAGCTTGTGGGCAGTGGGGGAGCTTGGACGCTAGTATTACGCGCGTGGAGCAGGTCAGGTGAGTGTATCGCGTGGGAGTGGCATTTCTCTACATAAACGCGGCAGCCGTAAGTTGCTCGTGGTTTTTCGCATTGACTAGCTGTTTTTGGGCGACGTTCGTGATAGCAGATTGTTTTGGGCTGACGTATATGGATAGTTCTCCGCTACTTAGGCAATTCTCCAACGCGATCCCATATGTAGTTTCCATGGTGGCTTTCCCCTTGGACAGTCCACGGAGTTTTAGAAGAGCATCCTTGAGACTCTAAACAGTCCCCGGGGGTCATGGAATCTCCCACAGTATCCAGCGATGTTCGTGGCTTCCCCGGACGTCAGTTCAGCTCCGCAAAACTCCTTGCCAAAGAGGACGAAAAGGTAGATGTTCCACGATATATGCCTAAGGGGTTGACCTTCAATCACGTTCCTGCTGAGAACGTCGCTGTTTGGGTCACGGCTGATGAGATTGCTGTTGAGGATAGTGCCGTCGACAAGATCACTGCTGAAAAGGCTACCATCGAAGATGTTCCCGTAGCAAGGGCCACCATGAAGAATGCTAGGGCTATGAAGGTGTTGTCTAAAAATCAATCATCCGCCATCTTCCTAGAACAACATGGGTACTCAGTCTTTCAAGACAGCGACGAACGCCATGGACCTGGTGAATGATAATACGAGTTGTTTGTCGCAAACAAGTTCAGCCCATATTTGGCATCACTTGTTCATTCAATGTATATAACTTACGATGTCTGCACACAACACGTTTTGATTGTAAGTTTAAGTGATCCTTGATGGGAACCCGTTTACATAGACACGGTTTCTGCGGGTGAATTCACTATGACAACAGGGGAGTTACCAGTGTCTCCTGTGTGTTTTGATAAGTAACAATATAGCAAGCACCGACTGTGATCATTAAAAGGTGTTTTCCTACGTCAATATTGTTTGTTTTGGACTGCAATTTCAGACCTCAGCTATACGTAACAGTGTCAGTCACCTCGATTGTGACCTAATTCCCGCCGCGTTCAACATTGTGAGTAGACCCATCATCGCCTCGGCAACCATGAATACAATGTTTGGCCCGATGAAAGGGCATTTTGGCATTGTGTATTCGCCACCGACAAAGCGCATAGCTACAGTGTCCCAATCTGGTCTTTCACTGCGGGAGCCAATCACTAGCGCCCTTTTAGCGTGCTCTACAGCGCACCACGAGCTACCCCCCACTGCAGGTCTTCCCCAGACGCGACACAAACAACTTTTCAAGTTGATTAATTGACAACTCCCGAGCACTTCTCACTACATCTCTCTTGTCTGTCAACTTGCTCTTGCGTACCAACCTTACACACGAACTTGCGTACGATCAATCCGACACATTGTCTCATCACACCATCTCAAGAACTCCAATTACTATGTGACACGCTAAATCAACATGAACGTCCGTGAGTCACGCGCACTGGCGCCAGTCGTGCAATACAGCACCCGTACGCCATATACCAAGGGGTACGTCTTCGATCATACATACAACATTGATGGATCGCTGACTCTTCATAGCCACCTGACCGCGCATCCGATGCGCTATGTCAACGATGATGACGAAGACACACACGATGATAGCGACTGTATAGCCTTCGTCAAGGAGCTTGGTCCCCAGTTCCGTGATGCTAGCGAGCTGGTAAGCCATCCAAAGCCAAGCGGTTCCGAGCCTCGATACTTGGACGCCACTGTCTCCGAGTTTGACTACCAGGCTGAGCTCGATGACTGCGAATACCTGCAAAGCGTCACCGAACATCTTGTCTACATCCGCTACAACCAAGCGACACTCAACACTGAGATGCCAGACGGTAGCAAGATGATGACTAAGATCTTGCTGGATGCATACTGGAAGAAGCATACCGGTCAGTCGCCCTGGGATTCCGAGGGATATTTTACCAAGGAGTTCCAATTAGACCATTATCTTGATCGAGCGTGCGATCTATCTCAGCACAAGCCGCATCTTCACTTGAAGAACATTGGTAACGGCAGCTCCTTGGATGTGGTCGCAAAAGAACCACTCCTCAACGTCGGCTGCTTTGAGTATCCCAAACAGTCCACAATGTTACAGCAGCCCGAAGACTGCACAAACGATGTCACGGTTTGGGGTCTCTCCTGCAGTCGCAACTCACATTTGTAATGGAACGATGCCTATTTGGGACTAGCACGGTTGACGTCACCCATCTACATAAACTTTCCATAGCTTGTACAATACAACCTCAGTTCAATCCTTCAATTCTCCGCACATGCGCACTGTTCACTCCACCGCAACAAACGACGATAACATTCTGTTCTACTGCGATGAAATTCCCTTATCTCTTGAAAAGGTTGGTGTCGTTACTGGCCTCTACCGCTTTGGGAAGACACGGGACTTCTCAATGGAGCAGATGCTTGTTCGCAACGACAAGCCCAAAGATCCATTCTGCTTCTCCTCTTGCAAGGAAGGTGTCGCAGCAGCTCGCGCTCTTCAAGCGTATCAACAGGATGATGAACAGATCATCCGAACACAGCCTCTCGTGGATTCCGAGTATCCTCATCTCCAACATGGCAGAGTGCATGTAGAAAAGGGCCCGTAAGCCCATCTCCATGACAGCCCAGGACAGAACGACCACTCAATCCAGTATATTCTGACGCGTCTTTCCTGCCTGACTATACATCAGGGAGAGTTTGACTTGGCGGAGCAGAACAATCCTGATGATATCGCCTGGGAAAGTGTAGATGGTGGCCGGGAGGATCTTGAAGTAGAAGACATTATCGCACTGTGGAACATACTGTGTCCAAGCCGTCCGGTTCCCTGGACGGAAGAAGAACTCGACAAAGAATATCTCCTTGGCCCACAAGAAGATTTCGGCGAAAACGAGTCGTACGAGTACGCCAAGTTCTTGTACTGGGAGAAGGAACACGATCCAGGCGACATTGAACTTCTCGCCCGTTTTTACTTTGAACGCGCACGCGCAACTTTCCGCCCCTACAGCTTCGAACATTTCCTGTCCAAGGAACAAGATGAGCGGGACGTGAACTACAACATCGTGGATTACGCCGAGGAGAAACAGCCAGTTCATGTTCCGAAGGACAAAGAAGTCTTCGATCAGCTCCATGAAACCCCGGTGAACTGGGAGTGGAAGAAAGCAGGCTGTATCAGATCATGGCGTGCACAAGTCACTGATGTCCTTCCGGATAACCTCTTTGAAAACCGCAAGAAGTGCCGCGAAGCATACGATGCCCTGATTGAGTATCAAAACGATCAAGAGTTCAGCAACCTGCCTCACGCCGAGATCAAAGACTGGGCTCGTCCATGCTATGAAGGACCTTTTCCGTCATCTGCCGCCTGCGAAGCTGTCTGGAACCCACTTGTTGAAAACTACCAAGCTCTTTCGAAAGCTCGTAGTGTTCGGTCAACACTCATGGCGAAGATGTGCGATGGTGTTTCTCTTCCTCCTAACTCGAAACTGGTTGGTCAGGCCGACGGTAGTAGTAGTGAAGACTACAAGCCCGGGTTTGTATTTGCCATTTCAAGCGATGCTGTATCTGTCCTGCCGACGTATATCACTCAGCCACCGACCGGAGGTCTCATGGAATATGTTAAATCTAGTCGACACAACTCAGTATTTGGCTCAATTGATGGTACTCCACGAACAAAACAGGCTGCTCCATCTAAGAAGGTCCAAGGTGCTCCTTCTGCGAAGATGCTTGCTTCGTATGTGGAAAAGAAGGCTTCTAATTCTCTTCCCAAGAGCAACATCCAAGTCCCGCCGGGCATTCTTGCTGCATACCCAGCAGATAGAATTAGAACGAGCACTCCAAATATGGACATCCATGCTGCTCAAGAGGACCTTTTTGGGGATGTCTGCCAGTAGTGGTTCAGATCGATCGGCACAGATCAATCTCTCCAACTCATCAGGGAGCGGCCTGAAGAACTGGAGCAGTTCATCGGATGTCACGCGTTACACGGCTTCGAGTTGGGAGAACCAGCACGCCGACCCTCCTTGCGGACCCACGATTCGTCTCTCCCAGGCCAGTTTCACAGAACAGTTGCGCCAAAGCCCCGTCAACTGCTCTACTCCACTTTGCAACCCGGTTCAGCTTGCTCATAATCCAGCCGGATGGCTTGGACCGAATAACAATACTGAGAACGGGATGCTTGAGCTTTTGTATGTTCAGCAGCATCATGACTTTCTATTCGGTGTACTCGAGAGGCATCTCGGAATTACATTACTGTAGATCATAGGGTGCCTCAGGGATAATGATGAGTGCAATAGTTGTTCCGAGCGAGCACGAATGGCAGACTTGCAGCTTTTGGGCCACATAGGGATGATACATGGGTGTGTATATATCGAGGAACTAGTTCTTAGCGATAAAGGGCGCATTTTAGATGCATTTGTATTTGAAGTATATAGATGGTCTACCATACCAGGTATTATCAATGGAAAGTTTATAACTTCAAGCGGCTTTATATGTTCATTAAGTTTTTGTTGAGCGAAGACCAAGCGAGGTTTGGGACAAATGGGTATAACACTAACCATAACAAGCCACAATGACGTCTTCAAGCATGCGCCCGTGCCTGCTCACTACACAAGCTCCACCCCGCAAAGCTTGACACAACAACGTTCATCAGCTCCCAACATGGCTGCGGTGACCTATATTCTCTTATGAACTCTATTTTGTTCAAATAAGGTTTGATAATACACAAAAAGCTTGATTCTTCACAGTCATGACAGTGCCCGTTGCTACTGGAGACAACCTTCTTCACAGGCTACTGTAATCTACCTCATTACTTGACACCCTTCTGTACTTCTTGCCTGGCTAGGCCCGCTTTTGAACCCACACGGGTCGACTAACACTGGCGCCGGGAATAGTTGCTCGGACCGACCACAAGCATGTTGACGCGTCCACGGCAGACACGACAGTGATGGTGTATTGCTGTACTACTGAAGATGCTTACATAGCGAAAGCTGCATTGATGGCATGATATATCTGCTTACACATGCATGCTCGAATTAGTAGTGATGCAAGATTGAGAACATGCAGAGGTCACTACTGGCATACCAAGAGCACCAAGGTCATGGGCTCAGTTCTGGCTCCGATCAAATCAGAACCCCGTCTATTGAATCGTGGCTAGCCTCGTTCTCCGCGGTCATAGCAAATTCTTTGCTTCCTAACTGGACCGGCAGTTCGCTTGCTTCCACTCGGTAACTTTGGACCCCGACTACGGATAAACGCTTATATCCGAATATGGCAACAATCAGGGAACATCTTATAGGATAGTTCGTTGACGTCGCACGCCAACCAAGATGCTGTACCTGGCGCTTTACTGTTTTTGATAGTCATGATGTCGGCTCGACGTTACGTAGCTTCGGCCGATGTGGTCGGTAGAAACGTGAGGTATTGTTTGTCGACGTCACCTAGATCTGTATAAGAGCTTCGGTTTCGTTAGGTTTTGTCGGATTGTACATCGACGTGGTACCACAGCACCAAATTGTCATTCAAGATGCGATACTCAACAGCCGCATTGTTCTACTCCCTAGCAGGCCAGGTCTACGGCCTCCCTAGACCCCAAGGGTCTACCAGTTCTGACACTGGTAGTGGCTCTAGTTCTGGATCTAGCTCTGGATCTGATTCTGGCAGTGGTTCAGTACCAGGTCCTGTCGATCCGTCACAAGTTCTCAACATGCCACTGCCCTCTAGGGCATCGGGCTCGTTGCGTGGTACAGAACAGTTGCTTGGCTACAATCCCTCGAACTTAGTCACAACTGAATCAACAGTCATACCACCTGACGAGTTTGAGATCGCACCGGGACAGTCTGAAGACCCAAAACTTGGCCTCTACATTGATCTCAGCAATGTGGAGAACCCACAGCCGATTCGTGGAGGCACAACGGGACCTACCGAACCTGGGCCACGGCAAGCTTCTCGAGAGAGACGATAATTAGAATTGCTTTGCTAATATTTACCAGTACCCCGGCATATGATCGTCTCAATAGCGATATCTATGCTCCACCACCATCCGACATGGGCGAGGTCAGCAACGCAAAGTGGCCATTCGGATTGAGCCACAACCGTCATGGTCTTGCAGGAGCAGGTTGGGCCCGATCACAAAACACCGACCAGCTACCCTCATCTGTCGCAATGGCTGGAACAAATATGCGACTCAGTCCGAACGCTTACCGAGAACTCCACTGGCACAAGCAGGGCGAGTGGGCCTACATGTATGATCCACAACAACTCAAAGCCTCTTCCACCAAACTAACACATCAACCAGGCTGAACGGCAGTGTCCGCATTGCCTCAATGAACGAAGCTGGCCAAACCTTCGTCGACGACGTCCAAGCCGGCGACGTATGGTTCTTCCCACCCGGAATCCCACATTCAATCCAAGCCTTCGAAAACGGCTGTGAATTCCTCCTCATCTTCAACGACGGCTCCTTCAGCGAAGAAAACACATTCCTCCTCTCCGAACTCATGCTCCGCAACCCAACCTCTGTGCTCGCCAAAAACTTCCGCACCAGCACCGCCGCCCTCTCAAACATCCCGCAACAACAACTCTGGATCTTCCCCGGCACGCCCGCACCCAAGAACATCAGCGAGCAAAACGTCACGGGCCCCGCGGGCGCCATACCAAAGGAAGGCGCGTATACCTATCACTGGAGCCAACAAGCCCCCGTCCGCGTACCAGGCGGCACTATAAAAATCCTAGACCCATCTACTTTCCCCATCGCCAGCACTTTCTCCGCAGCCCTCATAACAGTCGAACCAGGCGCCATGCGCGAACTCCACTGGCACACCACATCAGACGAGTGGTCCTATTTCCTCTCTGGTTCCGCACGTCTCACCGTGTACGAAGCCCCCGCCGCATCCCGCACGTTCGACTTCTCCGCCGGCGACGTCGGCTACGTTCCTGTGCCTAACGCGCATTATCTGGAGAACACGGGGAATGATACGTTGGTGTACCTCGAGGTGCTGCAGAGTAGCCAGTATAGTGATATTAGTGTCAATCAGTGGTTGGGGATTACGCCTAGGCAGATTTTGAAGGATCATTTGAATGTTGGGGATGAGTTCTTGGATGGGCTGACGAAGGAACATGATTTTGTGGTGCAGGGGAGTCGGGATTTGACGGAGACGGATTTTACGCCGGAGAGTCATGGGGGTGCGTAGGTGGGGGATTTAGTGATGGATAGTGGTGGCGAGCTGTAGTTCTCGAGATGATACTCTGCTTGAGATGGACGTCTCGACGTAGCTGCGTGTATCTCATTTAGTAGATGACTGAGCATAAAATAGTCTAATATGTAGCCTAGCCAATCAAGGAAATTTGATTGTACATCCTCTACAACTCAGTGTACTGTATCATTCCGTCACATTAGTATGGCCATGAGGTAAAAGGCTGATGCGACTTTGGATACCCTCGAATACCCTTTGATCTTATTACAAATTAATTGCCACAAGTCGCACAATTTCATACACGGAAGTGTATCAGGTCATATCAGCATTTAAGCACAATGATAATCACGATCACAATCTTATCGTCACATGCTCACATTATCAGAATACCAGCCTTGAACATATCCTTTTATTTATCTCATCTCATCTCATCTTACCCAACTGCCTCATCCAACCATCCCCATCCCCATCCACAACCCCCGCTACCCAAAGCACGCCTCAAACCCACCACCTAGCGAGACCAACTCAAACCTCTCGCTCAAGAACCCCCCAAGAAGGAGTTCGAGCAAGAAAAGGTGAGTCCAAGTACTCAAAGCCAAAGTGTAAGGCGAGAATATGCTAAGAAGGAGCTCAAGACTATGAGTAAGAACAAGGCGATCGATCGGTGTTGTAGTAGAGTCGAGCTGATGTGAGAGGAAGAAAGGAAAGGAAAGGAAATACAACGAAAGAAATGGTAAAAACCCATATACACACACAAACAGACAAAAACAACCCAGAGGGGCATGGATGGGGAGGGAGCAAGAAAGAAAAAAGAAAAAGACGCCTGAACTGATCGATACCCAATACCCAATATGCATAACAATGCAATACAAACCCATTCCGTTATCCAAAACGAAAACCCCCCAAGTCCTCAAAACACCGTATTGAAACATTCGCGACCCGCGCTTTCCATCCCTGCACAATTTATTCAAACCGACACCCAGAGAAAGAAGGAGCACATCAACGAGCACTCAACTTCCAACCGGCGAGCGCATTAAAGCTAACATCGCCCTCCAAATCATCATCCTCAAACCCCTCCCATGGCAAATCCTCGTCGTCCTCATCATCATCATCATCATGATGAACAAGACCGTGGTTCTTATCCTGTTGGCTTGTAGACGTCCTACGCACAACTTCAACACTATGATCGTCTTCATCTACAAAGCTGCGAATAGTGACCTTTTTCGCTGCTTTCTTCTCAGGTTGCTGCTGCTGCGTCTTGGCTTCAACTTCTTCTTGTTCCTCGGCACGGATCTGCTCGGTGATGTCTTCGATATCCTGCTCAGTCATATCGTCGACCTGCTGGCCCTCGAGGACATCGTAGAGGCGGTAGATTTGGCGGTCGAGTAGTTCGATTCTACGGAGCATATCTTGGATGGCAGCGTTGAGTTCGCGGCGGCGGCGGTCGCCAAGACTGGGATCGTGGTGTTCGAGCATGGCACGGTGGACGGCGAGCTCGGTGTGCAGGTGGACACGCTCATCTTTGAGCTCCTTCACTACAAGGGCCAGGGCCTCCTTGGGTGATTGGGCTGGGCGGAGAGTAGCGTCTACGTCGTCTGCCGTGCGCACGGATACCCGAACGAGCTTGGGAACACGCAATGGCTCGGTGGATGTGGTGTAGCCTTCACGGCGGCAGACAGTGCAGTTCACATTGTCGTGGTCCTTGCTGATTGGCTTGCATGAAGTAGCCGTAGTAGGCGACTTGGCAGAGTTGAGCTTGATATCGGGGACGATGAATGCAGACGTCATCTCAGTAGGGGCACTGCGCCGTCTCCGACCTGTGTTGCTCATGCTCGATGCGTCGATACCAGACTGCTTTGTTTGAGTAGCCTCCGTGTCCGCGTCAAGGTTCGACATGTTACCAGTGTCTTCCTCGAATTGGGTGGCATTGGTGCGCTGTGTAGTGTCCTTGAGCGACGACTTGCGTACAAGAGAAGGTCGGCGTTCGCTCTTGGCGGAAGCAACTGACCGAACTGTATCTTCCCGGGCCTGGCGTTGAGATCGAATGGTATCGTCACGAATGGGCTCATCTGCTTGAGCAGATGTTGCGCGAAGACGAGCAGCTCGCTCCTCCTCCAGACTACGTCGAAGTCGGGCAATGTCATCCTTCTTGATGTAGCTCAGCTCGGTGATATCGAGATCCTCGGGGGGCTGAATGTTGGTTGTTGTCTGCCTAGAAGGATTGCGGGAAATGCGAATAGTTGAACGAGGCGCGAGAGACAGATCGGTCGTGGACTCTACCTCAGTCTCCGCAGTAGCGTGCTTGTCAGCTTTAATAGGCGCAGAGACACTTCGTTGAGAAAACCTCGAATGACCAGTGTATGACTTTCGGGGGCTTTCCTCCACGCGGCTCTCCTGGTTGGATGCATTCGCAGCCCTGCTGTTACGGACCTCTTGCTGGACGGGGTTCCTAGTGCGCGTGCGGGTATCCTCTCGGCGATAGCTTGGCCTGCGTTGTAGAGGCTCTTCGAAGACGCGTTCTGTCACTGTACTCCTAGTAGTAGGTGCAGTGGTATCATCGAAATTGCGGTCGTTCACGTCCCGAGCCTTTCGAACATCACCCTTTCGGATCTTTCGCTGTAATTCAGCCTCCTTCTCTGCCCATTCCTGGCTGTCTGCGTCTAGCTGTGCCTGAAGCTCTTGAAGCTCGTTGCGGAGGTTCTCATTGTCTTGGAGCATAGCCTCGCTTGCCTTGTTCTGATATCGTTCTCTGAACCCTTGGATGGTGTCATCGCGTCGATCAACCTGGGCACGCAGAGTAGCCTCTTTCTTGGACCAGCGTTTGACATCCACCTCACGCTTTGCCTTCAGCTCTGCGATTTGAGCCCTGAGCAAATCGTGTTCAGACTTCAAACGAGCGTACTGAGCCTGATCTTGACGCGCCTGTTGCAGTTCAAAATCCTTACGAGTGAGCTGCTGGGTGTTCTCGTCTTGTTGGACGCGTATCTCTTGGCGGTGTTGGGACTGATCCTGCTCGAGCTGCTCACGAAGCGACTCGTTCTCTGCGCGAAGAGTCTCAATCTCGTCGCGGAGTTCCTCGTTCTCGTTGCTCAAGGCAGTCCTCTCGCTCTTCACTTCCTCACAAGTTTGGAAGGCAATCCGAAGCTGGGCGGCCAGGTTGTCCCGCTCAGTGCTTAGGCGCTTCTTCTCGATTTCCAGTACAGCAGACTTGCGGTCGGCGCGATCGAGTTTCGTTCGGAGGGTTTGTAATGTAGCGTCAGTGCCTGTTTTATTAGTAACAATCAGAATCAACCTTGTTGGACAACTTACGCGTCTTCTCGACCTTCCAGCCACTCTTAGCGGTGGCGTCCGAGTCTTGTGCGCTGTCACTGCGGCGCAACTTCTCATGAGCTTGCGCTGTCGCTCTCAGCTCAATCAACTCCAAATCCTGCTCTTCAATCTTCTTCTCTTGCTCCGCACGTTCCTGTTCCATTTGTGCAACCTTCTCCTGGAGCTGCTGAAGTGCAGAGTAGATGGCCTTTTCTTCGTCGGGAGTGGGGACATCCTTGATTGGAATGTGCGATGGTCGGCGGCCACCGTATGGCGGCTGGGCGAAGCGTGATTTGGACGTCCTGGAGAAGACGGGAGTGCCGTCGCCGAATACACCGGAAACCAATTCGGTGAGATTGGGAAGATCGGGCAGGATAAAAGATTGCGCGGTTGCGTTCTGGGCTGTGGCTGGCCTTGAACGAGGTGTAGCCTTCGCGTATGACGGCGCGTCGACATGGCCATCAGTCTGGAGGGAAGTCTGCCGGCTCCTGTTACCCCAGCGTGTGTTCTTGGTCGAGTCCATGGTCAATGTCGGCGGGCGCTGGTCCATGAACGATGACTCATCTTCCGACAGCTTTGCATGTAACTGAGAAAGCGAAGTGCGGCTGCGATCACCCTTTCCGTGCATGGCTGGGGAGTTGCGCTTGCTGGCGGGGCGCGGTGATGCGGCGTCGAAGTCGTTGCGCGAGGCGCGTCGGATTGCCGCGTCGCGTCGCAGACTTCCAGTATCTGCTGGCAGCGACTTGCGCGAACGGTTGGTGGGTGGCGTCATGTTGTATAGACTGTCAAATTGAGAGCTGACTTTGTTGGGGGTGCTGCGGTTGCTACGGTTTCCACGAGCCTGTTCGATGGACATGCTTTCCTCATCCGATATGCTGTGGTCAAAGTCGCCGAACTCCTTGTTTACCATGGATGTGTCGGGTTGCACCTGCTCTGGTTGGAACCCCGCCCAGCGATTCATTTTCTTGGCCGTTGAGCGAATGCCTCGATATTGTGGAAGCGTGTCTGTGAATTCAGCCACGTTTTGCTGTGTTGACATGAGCACATCCGGATCGTTAAAGAAGTCAGAGTCTGAATGTGTGTCCAAGCCTATTTGGGTAGGATTGGAATCGCTCCGTGGTGGCGATGGTGATGTGATATTCCTTGGGCTATGGCTCAGACTGCGTGATAGTTCCCGAATGGCGCGCGCCTTCCCATCACTGGTGGGAGGAGACGACTGCATTTTCAATTGTGAGGCTGCTGCGGCAGCTGTGTCGGCGATTATCGCGTCGTGTATACGAGTATAGGGTATAGAAAAGATGCTCCGTAAAGACTACCGAAACAAAATTACTGCATGGGAACAAAAGCCAATCCAAGTACAATCAAAGGACTTGGAGCGCGTTGTGGTGGAAAGTGCAATGCAGTGTTGTTTAAGATGAAGATGATGCGGGTGCGTGTTTACCAAAACAAAGCTAACGCGCCCTGACCCCACCCACCAATCATTATCACTCAGCTTCCAGCCCCCTCCAAAGTCTGGCTTTGTCGGTGGGGTCATGCAAGACGCGTAAAATATAGTTTAGCTTGTATTCTGCTATGGTAATTGTTGCTTTTACCTCGCGCTGTCACGCCCCAAAGGTATCTCGAAAACAAGCCCGTGCCCAGCACTCCGAATGCGCCGCGTCACGCTGTTTAATGCAAATGAGCCCCGTGTTTATATGCCATCCCACGTCACCCCTCTCCTCGAGCACAATTGATCCCATCTCAGCGTGAGGCCCACCACTATTGCATGCACAAATAGAAGCGCCATGGAGCCGGCCAGGCCACCTAGGCGGAAACGACTTCCCATGATTCCAATGTCAAAGCTAAGATGTACGAAATCGACAGATGCCAAACAGAGCAATGGATATAGAACGCGAGCATCCGGCACAAATGGCTGGCAAGGGGAGAGCAGACTGAATGCTTTTGCGCAAAAGAGGATTACTTTGATTGCGCTGGTCGTCACCGGGTTCTTCACAGCCCTATACAGGATCGAAAAGGCGCTTGGCGGCGGCGGCGGAGGTAACATCAGACGTTGGGGTGACGGTGTTCTAGGCGCAGGCGATGGAGGCGGGAACTCCATCTTCCTTCTCAAGATGACTGCTCCATCTTCGGAAGACTCTCTCCTCATCACTTCTGGATGTGGCGGACTAGGCGAACGGTCCATGACGGTTGCGCTGAGTTTAGATTGACCAGGACGTGCATAGTTGACCGAAGAGCGCTTTTTGTTGACTTGTGTCGGTGCTGGGCTGGGTGTGTCTGCTCGTGATATGCGTGGACTAAATTCATTGAGACCAGGTGGACTCGCATATGCATTGTACTCGTCAAACACCAATGGCGACTTGAGCACATGCAGAATCTCCTCAGCACCAGGACGCTCCTCAGGATTGAGAGCGAGCAGGCGTTTGAGTGATCTATAGAGCTGCTCAGGCAAATCAGAGCGTATGCGTTGTTCGTCATCGATACCAGCCCAGGCCGAGATTTCCTCCCTGAGCTGATCCAGGTCCTCACTATCCTCGTCAACACCATCAGCATTCCGATACGGCAGTCTCGCGAAACACATAAAGTAAACAATCATGCCGAGCGAGAAAATGTCCGACTTTGTCGTAAAGTTGCCAAACGCACCACCTGGTCGCTCCTGACGTAGTACCTCAGGAGCACAGTATGATATGGTTCCAGTGGCTCCTGTTGAGTTTCTTGCCGAGCTCGCCGACTGCACTTCGCCGAAATCGCTGACCAGAACCCTGACCTTATGGCCTGTGTGATGAAGTAAACAATTGCTAGGCTTAAGGTCTCGATGGATGTAACCGTTCGCATGGAGATGACTCAGACCAGACGTGATATCCTTGAAGAAGGATATAATTTCCTCAAAGTGCATACGGCGTGGGCTATGCATGTCGCCTGGGTCCTCCATCTGGCCCTTTGATCTCCTTCTGAGTCGCTCCTTCATCTGTTCCTTGGTGACAGACGTTTTGGTAGTACCGAGAATGTAGTTGTGAAGATCTCCCCCGTTGCAGTACTGTTGCAGTATGAACGCGCATGGCACACTGGGTCCAAAGCTGGATATTTGAAAGTCCTCCAGCCATACGTGACGATATGATACCAGGTTCTGGTGCGATAAGGTCTGGAGGAGTTGGACTTCGATCAATACCTTCTCCAGCCATTCGTGGTCGTCGCCCACCGGTACTCGCTTGCACGCGAACTTGCCGAGGTGTACGCCATCCAAGACGTGCTGCACCAAAAGCACAACACCCTTGCCTCCTCTTCCTAATTCGCGCTCCTCTATGAAAAAGTCTTTGAAGTAGTTAGGACTGAAGGCCCTGGCTGATATACCATGGCCCTTAGCGGGTTGAGCAGGCGTACTACCGACAAACTCCGTTCCTTCTGGTGTGTTGAAGCTGTTCATACGCATTGGCGCAGGTGCTAGTTGTTTATGTGGTGATGACGGTCGTGATCCTTCTCTCGACCCAGGTTGACTCCTCCGGAGCATCTGAAAGTAGGCGGGATTCACGAAGCCATTGTCGGTGGGTACTGTCTGCGCAGTATGTTCATGCTCGTCGCTGTTGTCTTCGCCGCGTGGCGACGGTTCGCGGTAGGCTCGGTGGCAATAGGGGCACGACGTAGAGCCGATTTCAGTCGTGCGGGAAGCATCGCGGAGAGAGAGCTGTTTGGAGCGTTGATCAAAGACGACTACTGCAGAACCGTGACGTCTGTAACCCTAGGTCAGCTTGACGTTTTTCCTGGGTCGCGGCCTATTTCTAGATACTTACAGCACAATCTCGCGCGACTCAGCCGGCGCATAAGGTATGAGCGACATGCTGGTGTATAGCTAGTTGGCGGTCTTTTAATAGTGTAGTCCCTGCCTAATACGCCAGCACACGATGGCGCGCAGAGTCGCCGACAAGTTTGCCGAGTACGCCAAAAGAGCCCACACAAATGATTACGTTGACGTGAATGTTTTGTCAGGCGGGAATTGGTAATATATATGGTGGTACCACCTCTTGTATGCGGGGAAGGCGCGGAGATGCAAGGCAGTAGAGCTCTCAATCGATAGCCCACAGCCGGTAAGAGTAAGGGTTGCGAACTGCTTCGCCTTTGTTATCTTGGGCCGGCATGACCGTGTTACTCAGATAGCGCTGACTGTTGTCATGGCATGTTGTGTTGTTAAGCAAGTTTTGGTGGGGAAGTGTGGAACGGCAAGGGCTTCCTAGCACTTAACGCCAGGGTCTGCGCGCACCACATTCATTGTTCGCAGCATCTGATCACCGAGCTCACATTGGACTGCTGATAATTCCTGAGTTTTGCTTCAATCTATCATACGCCATCAAGATGGTGTGTACTCCCACGCATTGGCTTGCAGATGAGCCTAGTCTCCCCCTCTCCTACTAGAGCGCAACACACCCTCTAGAGATGGCTCTTGACCAACATGCCGCCCTCCCAGACCTCGCCCTTCTCAAGCTTTTGCCAGCCATCAACGGCACCGATCTCCACGCAGACCATGTTCTTGTAGCCGTCGTCTGGGGAGAAGTCGCCCATGGCCTTGGCCTTTTCGATCCAAGGGTTCCAGGTGACCGTGTCCTTGACATTGTCGCGGATGACGTCGAAGCGAGGCTTGCCATCTTCAGTAATTGATGTAGTATCCTGCTTGATGTCCTTGTAGACGCGATCGACCTCGCCGGTAATCTTGAGTTGGTTATCGCTCTGTGTGTGGGTCGACGCGTCAAGAACCTTGTCAATGTACTCGGTGCCGGAGAGGCCGGTAATGGCGACCTTGGAGATGTCTGAGATCTTAAAGTAGGTGTGGAGCAGGAACTGGAACTCGAAGCTTTCCTCGCCCTCGTTTCGGACAGTAAGTACCGCCTGTAGGCTATCCTTGCTAAGTGTGACGCTGTACACAAGGCCAAAGTCCAGCGGCCACGCCTTGCGTGACTCTTCACTCAGAGACTGACGGTCGAGGCCAAAGTCGAGCTTGACAGAATCCGAGTCGAGCGCATCTTCGGCAGTCGACTTGCCCATGTACTCCCAGCGTGATCCGCGAGCAAAGCCGTGTTGAGGAAGCGATGAAGTTGGGTGTCCTGACTTGGGGGGAGGGCCAAAGACCTGGTAATGGCTGTGAGCAATCATGAAGCATTACAAAGACAACTCGGAACATACTGGGAACACAACGGGAATACCACCTCTCACTGGCTTCTTGCCAGTCAGATCAGCAGCTTCGCTCAACCACAGGTTCTCCGTCTTGCCCTCATTGCTCTTCCAGCTAGTGACGGTAGCTCCAAAGAGCAGCACCTCGACGCTCTCGCCCGACGGAAGTCTCGCAACGACCTTCTGGCTGCCGCCTTCTCCGACAATGTCAACTTGAGGGCCAGGTCCAGAAGCAGTGGGTGCGTTCAAGGCAGAAGGGCGGTTCGCACGGTCGACCATGATGACGTTGTGTTTGTGTAGATGAAAGTAATGGTGGGGTACTTGTTGATGTTGCAGCGGCTTTGTTGGCAGTGAGGATTGTCTTTATTCGAGAACTACAATTGGCATCAGAATGACAGAAGAAATTGGTCTCTTATTTACTCACAGTCAACAGCTCCGTCTCCAGGTGAGTTGTTTGCGGCAAGTGAGGGGCAGTGGGTAGCTGTTGGACGTGCCCCACCAACTTCTGCCAGCACCGCGCACCACCAAGCGTCGGTGAAACGCATAGCACGTTTCAGGTGAGGTCGACTTGCATTCGCCTAGCTGCTCCGCCCGAAGTTTATTGGGTCCTCCCGTTCCCCGGTGCATAGCTCCCATGGTCCAGCCACCGAGATGCATCTTCGCCCGCATGCCTGGTGAACCGACAGACCCGAAATTCGGTTCGCCTGAGCACTATAAAATGCTGACTTTGGGCGAGTCGGGAGCTGCTCATTCCAGAGCACATCCAAGGTGTGCTGACCGTGCCTCGTGCAGGGTTGGTTGACCAGGCGAAACCGAAGGCATCAACGACATCGGCGCAGAAAGAGTTACATCAACAGCCTCACCGTCTGGAAGCTTCATGCCGATACCTATCCCATACTTTGGCAATTAGTCTGGGAAGAAGAAAAACACCACGAGATCGGTCGGGAATGTATAGCATTGAGACGGTTATGCCCTCCATCTCGCTGGAATGGTTTGGTAATCGATGCCAAGCCTCTTACTGTCTATGTCTAGTTGTCTTATGCCATAGACCAGGTCAGATGCATCTACCATGAGATTTAAGTTCAATTCAATTCAATTCCGAGAAAGATGAATCTATGGTATAAAGGTTGGTTGAATGCAAAAAGAAAAAGCAAGCGACCGCGCGCAAAAGCCCAACGTCGCTTCAATCCGTCGTTTACATATGCCCGTCGGTCTTCATGCCATGCTTTCATAAAGCCGTAGAGCCTGACGATATACCTGTTCTTTCTCCATCTCTCCCTTCCAAGCCAACCACCTCATGCAAAATCGACAAAAAGTCATGTGCAAACAGAACAACACCAAAACACCCGTCCTCCCCATTCCTTACCTCATATACCAGATGCCCTATTTCATCAATGCCACATCAAGCCCCTCGCAAACAATCCTCCTACATCTTCATCTTCATCTACCTTTGATTAAAAAACCAACTCGTCCGCTTCGCCTTGTTCGCCTCACCGTCACCGTCCTGCTTCTGCAGGTTGCCAATGACAGGGAGCACGGGTCCGTCCGCCACGGCGCCGCCGCCACGTAGCGGTTTGGCGATGCGGGAGCCTACGCCACCGAAGCCTGCATATGAGGCGCCGCCGGCGGGGGAACCGAGACCACGAGTTGAGCCTGCCTTTGCTGATTCGAGGCGTTCTTTGACTGCCGTGAGCTGGGCTTCGAATCTAGGGGAACCTGTTAGTCGGGGTTGTCCTTGGGTGAGTAGGGAGAGAGGGTGATAGTACCGATGGTTTGCAGCAGTGAGTTTTTCTTGTGAGTCTTGGAGGAGGCTTTCGAGGGATTGGATGCGCTCGTTGCGGGCAATGAGTTTGCGCTCGGCGATGGCGACTTCCTTCTTCAAGGAGCTGTTTTGTTCGACGAGCTGGCGTTGAACAACGGTGAGTTGCTCGAGGTTGCGCTCAAGGAACATCATCTTCTTTTGCTGAGCGCGGTTGTTGGATGTCCGGAGCACGTTGTTATACTGCTCGCGGGTTTCATCCAAGGAGATTTCGAGCTCAACGACCTATAAGCTATCAGTAACTTGCTGCAATTTTGGATCTTGCATTCACTTACCCGCTCACAACGGTTCTGAAGGTCACGCATGAGGCTCTTCTTCATATTGTCGAATTCAGCAATTTGCTGTTGGACAGTCTTGCCATTGATACCGTTAGCAACGCCGTTAGCAATCGCGCCACTCTTGATGCGCTGCTGCAGACTTTCGTTCTCGGCCTTGAGCTTCTGGCTCTCTTCTGCCAGTCGTGCAGTGTCCTGCTTGAGGGTCTCGACAAGCTCGAGGTTGCCCTCTTGTCGAGCTGAGTAGGCATCAGCAAGTCGCGCCTTGAGCTCTTCCTTGTCTTGTTCGGACAGGTTGCGTTCAAGCAATTCCTCGTATTGACCTTGCAGGGACTCGCAGCGTGCTTCCAGTGCTTCTCGGCGCTTGGCTTGTGAGCCATCCTCATCACTCCGTGCAGTGAGAGAAAGCTCTGCTTGTCGTACGATGCCTTGTGTCTCGGCAATCTTTTCTCGCAGCTCTTTGATTGTGTTTGGAGCGATTGCCTCGCCTGATGAACTCAGTTCGTGAAGTTGGTCCAGCTCCTCGATGATGTTTCGGATCATCCGCTCGTTGTCGCTAAAGACCTCATCGCCAAGATCAAAGCCAGCCATCATCTGTGCCATAGCCTCGGCCTTCTTCCTCTTCTTTTCATCCATGGCGACCGAAGTCTCTTTGGCGTTCATCTTGGCGTCCAATACCTGTTGCTTGGTCTCGTCCAGTTCAGCCGTAAGCTCTGCGTTGGCCTCCTTCAGTGCATCGATGGTAATTTGATATTCCTTGCTCTCGAACTGAAGCTTCTCGAGTGACATACGCATCTCGTTCAGCTCCGAAGCCTTGAGGTCGTTGTCCTTGCCAGTCTTGACATTGATTTCCTTGTAGTACTGAAGCTCTTCTTTGACAGTCTTGAGTTCATCCTCTGTTTTGGCGAGTTGCGATTCTTTTTCTGCGACTTGATCCTGTAATTCGTTTTCCCTGCGGAGGAAGTCGTCTTTCTCGTCCTTGTCTAGAGGTATGCTTGGTGTACCTGCACGTTCCATTTCCATTCTGGAGTCCGGTCGAGGTGTCTCTGAGGTTCTCGTCGCGTCAAGCCTGGATGGCGTCCCTGATCGCGGCGTTGGAGGAGTCTTTTTTGGAGCTGGGCCAACATTTTCCAGTGGTGGAATCCACTTCTCTTTTGGGACAGTCTCTCCTCCACGCCAAAGTGTAACTTCAGTTTCGAGCGCACCAATGTGGTTTTCAAACGTCGTGACCTGACCTTGAATCTTCTTGAGCATGGCCTTGAGCTCGGCAGGGCTGAGTTCGGCGTTGACCTTGGCCTTGTTCTTGATGGTCTTCGCTCGCATACCAAATCGGAGAGTGCCCAATGTTTCGGCATCGTTATAACTACTTGGCGAACAATTAATGATGAGCGTCGTTCGGGAGTTACCACCAAGGGATTCCTGGAGAATACGGGTGAGTTTGGAGTCTCGGTAAGGGATATGCTGAGTCTTGCTGTCTGTCAGGCAGTTGATGACCATGCCCAAGGCACTCAAACTCTTGTTGATCTTCTTGGCCTCTTCCAGTGTTTGTCCACTCGCTCCGGTCTTGCCGACCTTTTCCGAACCCGCCAGATCGACCAAAAAGAGTTGCCCACTCTTCATTGATCCAGTTTCGACATTCTTCTGATTGACGGTTACGACGAAGATGGAATGCGATCGAGAAGATTCCGCGTTCATGTTTGTCGCTGAGACGGCTCGTGCGGATCCACCTCTTCGCAAGACCTCGTACACTTCCTCCTCGCTCGACACGTACACTTCCAAAAGGCCCTTTACATAGACACCCCGGTTCTTCTCTTCGTGCACCGGGAGATTGTCATTCTGGGGCATCAAGAGATCTCGAATGCGCTCCATGTAAATCTCCATGTAGCTGACCCGGACAGTGTACTCAATGTTGCTTGGCGAGGCCAGAATGCTAGCAAAGATCTGCTGGACGATACGAGGGATGACACCTTTTCCGTGCTCGTCATCCATGTCGCTACCCATCATCGTATACGACTTTCCCGCACCCGTCTGGCCGTAGGCGAAAACAGTACCGTTGTATCCGTTCAAGATGTCGTCGACGGTCGGGCGGATGGAATAGTCGAAGACGTCTACCTGGCGCGATGCCATGTCGAAGACGCGATCGAAGGTAAAGGCCCCCGCGGCCTCTTTCGACTGTACATGTCACTGTTAGTCACTGCCATGCGGCTGAAATGGAGTTGTTCGTCTATCGAGCTGCTCGGCCGTACCTGGATCGTACATGTGTCCTCAGAGTTGAACTCGACAATCGGCTCTCCGCCGCTGGCTATTTCGACCTTGTTCTGCGGGCGGAACCGCGCCACCACTGCATTGTCCAACAGTCAGTAATCTGCGGCCCTTTTCTGGTGTCTAATTTGCATCGCGGCGCACCTTTGATAGTGTTTCTGGCGGCATTTTGTCAGCTATGGCCTCTATCCGACCCCTCTTCGGCGGGAAAGTACTTACGACATGATTGCTGGCTGGTGTAGCGTTGCGGCCCAGCGGCCCTCGCTCTGTTTGCTGCTCGCGCTCGCTCTTGCAGGCGATGGTACAATCCCACCGGGAACTGCTGTTGTGGCACCGTCACGTCTTCTGGTGGCTCGGCGCGTGCGAGTTGGGTAATTACTGGCCCCGCTATGGTTAAGGGGAACCGCTGAAACGGCTGCGACTGCTTCCCTGTCACAACAGACAGCTCCGGGCTAGTGGCGACGTGAAGGAATGCAGATCAACTGGTGGGCGCACGCGCAAGAAGAGAGAGGGAACCGCAAGGGCTGATGTTTGTCTTTGTCGATGTGCAGGCTTCGGCTTCTGTTGATCGACCGACCAGGGCCTGTAAGCCAGTCGTTACTAGTAGCGCGCCTTCTTGCTCCCCGCAGCAGCCAAACCGCCGTGACGCACATGCCGCTGACCTCGCCTTTGCTGTACATCTGCATTGCAAGCCTATACCTAGTACCAGCTGTAGTAGTACTCGGTCACAATCAAGATTTGTGTGTCATGAGGCTCTGGCACTAGTCTATTTGCCTGCCTTGTCTTCACCGCCCTGCATTAGTCCAGAATCAAGACCCTCTAGTACCGGCAACGCAGACTCGTGATAAAGTCGTTGAATATATTCGTTACGCCACAGAAACAAATGTAAAAGCCCAGACCATACGCCGCGCTGGAGGAGACGCCGAGCGAAAGCTGCAAGCCTGTGATAAACCATGTATGAAAATACCCGTGCCTTCAGAACTCCATCCTATGCCATTGTCTCATTATCATCCTACCCGAGCTACCCGCTCAGTCGTCCCAGCTCTTCTCCACCGTCTCGCGAACACGCTTGGTGTACTCCTTGCGGTTCTCCTTGTATAAGTTCGACGCCTCCACATTGGCTGGGGACGATGTATTCGGGTCGTTCAACAGACTGTGCCTGTTAGCGTGTATACTATCACTGGCTTGTCACCGTCATGTCACATACCTCTGGATGCTCGTCAGAATGGCGGCAACATCGTACGTCGGGGACCAGCGGTTCTGCAGGATATCCAAACACAACTCGCCTGTCCCGTACACATTTGGATGGAACATCTGGCTAATAAACTTGACCGATGGGGGCTTGTTGGGGTATGCCTCTTCAAAGTGCATCACAAGGCGGAACGTTCCGTCTTCAAAGGGTGTGTCTGCGGGACCTATGATAACTGCGTTCCTGTCGGCCTGTTAGCAACAACGCTTCAAAAGTACATGTCGCGTGCAGAGCTGTACGTACCAGGTCATTACATTGTCGGCGATTGGAGATGCAGATACACCGGCGGGGGGATCAGTTTGCATGCGCTGTTACACCGGGTCAGCTGAAGCCTCTTTCAAGCCTGCCTACTATGCTCTCCAACGAGCCTTCTGCAGTACCAACTGGTCGACATACCTTGAAGTCACGCATCAATCGGCGGCGGGCTGCTGTAGACATGATGGGTGACTGCGCGGAGAAGATGAGTGGTGATGTATGTGGTCAAAGTAGTGGCAGGAGCAGGAGCAAGTAGAGATGTATACGTTGTGTTTTGTGTACTGCGTGTTGCGTGTTGAGGCTATCAACGTTGCCGTTGTACTGAGATGCGGGCGTGGGACCTTCCGCAGTCGGTCCACCGGCTTGTGAAGGCGAACGCCACCTCACGTGCCCTTGAAACCTAGCTTATCGCTCCTCATCGGAGCCACAACCATTCCCACCGCTCTTTCGCCAGATGCCCTCCACATCTAGTCCATCACTAAAACGCTTCACATATTACCGTCACACACACCCCATACGTCAGCGCTTGACAGCGAACATGTCACTCATTAGTGACACAAAGCCAACAACGGCGTAAATGGTATAATCATGTTGTACATGTGCATTATTCATCTCCCTCTGGCCATGTTCATATCTTGCTTTTGTGTTCATAAAAAAGCAATGTCATCGCTGCATTACGCATTCATGCCCACCCAACTCCAAATCAATCTGACCATGCTGCATGCAGATCTGAGACAACCGCAAGCTTAAAATGCCCTCACGCCATGACCCGCTAAACACTTGACATATGTGGAATATGCGCCAAGGAAATTCAGATGGCTAAAAAGAAGAGAGCAAAGTCCCATGTCCAAGGAACTGCTCAACAAGAAAAATACTAAATTTCCCTCTACCCGGCGTTGCTGCTTCACTCGCCAGCTGCTCCGGCAACACCATGGTGGGATGCCAATGCTGACTTCTCACGGCCAAAATAGTCCACTACAGGGAAGCGAGCACGACGCTCAAGCTCATCGAGAGGGATGTGCGAACGGATGAAGCGATCTTTATCGTTAGAGGGTGGTTGATAATCCCAAGATTCTTTGCGCCCAATCTTCAGCGCACCGCAGGCCAGCTGTCGCATGCGCTGGCTTCGCAGAACGTCGTTGTGAATCCGCTTGAACTCCCACTTAGCTTCGGCCTCGGCCATGAAACTGGCAAGCACCTTTTGGTTGTGGGTCTCGGGAGAGTTTGCGAGATCATGCAGCTCTTGGGCATCTTCGGCGAGGTTGTAGAGTTGCGGACCATCGGCAAGAGAAAAGGTAAACTTCCACTGGTGGCGACGGATCATGTAGGTTGGGGTGACGGTACCCTCGCCCATGTACTCACCGAATACTTCGTCCTTGCCAGGCTTGTCCGAAACGAGGTAGTCATGGAGGCTGGAACCATCAAGAGGTAGGCGTTCGTCGACGTGTCCACCTGCTAGATCGACGAACGTTGGCAAAAGATCCATGGTGGATACAGACTCCTTGACTTCCTTGGGCGCGAAGTTGGGGCCGTTGATGATCATCGGCACCCGCGAGCTGTTCTCGTACCAGCTCATCTTGTACCACAAGCTCCTCTCGCCAAGCATGTCGCCGTGGTCGCCCGAGAAGACAACAATGGTATCTTTGTCCAGTCTGCAGTTCTTCAGAAGCTTGACGAGTTTGCCGACTTGATCGTCGACGAAGCTGCAGGCAGCAAAGTAAGCACGACGAGCGCGAAGCTTGGCCTCATCCGGTACGGGGTGGTCCCATAAGTCGATGGTCTTGAGGAGTCGCTTCGAGTGAGAGTCTTGGTTCTCTTGCGCAATCTCAACCTTGGGCAGGGGAATATCAACACCTTCGTATCGGTCCCAGTATTCCTGGATCATAGTGTAGGGGTCGTGCGGGTGGGTCAAAGAGATGGTCAAAGCAAAAGGCCTACGTGTCTCAGGATCCGAGCGGACGTAGTCGTATAGGTACTGTTGAGCCTGGTCGTGTGTAAGTGACATTCCGTGATCCCGTCAAATCTACCCAACAGTCCTTACCTTGTGCATCACATCTTCATCATAATCCAGCTGGTTGGAGCGCACACACGGACCGGCTTGCATGACCGAGGACATGTTGTGGTACCACTCTTGGCGCTCTTCTGGCTTATCCCAGTTGACAGACCATCCGAGATCGCCAGGGTAGATGTCGGAAGTAAGTCGGTGCTCAAATCCATGGAGTTGATCGGGGCCGATGAAGTGCATCTTGCCCGCAAGCGCTGTCTCATAGCCTTCTCGGCGGAGGTAGTGTGCGTAGGTTGGGATTTCAGGCCCAAGGATAGAAGCGTTATCGTAACCGCCGATCTTGGAAGGAAGCTGGCCACTGCACATGGTGAACCTGGAAGGCGCGCACAGAGGTGAGTTGCAGTAAGCGCTCGCAAAGTTGACGCCAGTCCTGGCAAGCTCGTCAAGGTGAGGCGTCTTGATCACTGACTCTGGGTCATTGAACTTTAGCATAGGTGCAGCCATCTGATCGGCCATAATATACAAGATATTTGGACGCTTCTTGTCACCCTGATGCTGAGGCTGAGATGCATAGGTCTGAGACTGCTGAAGAAGAGTCTCAGCATTGAGAAAATCATCCCCGCTTCGCTGAACACCGGAGAGCCCGTTGCCGTTAACGGCGCCGTTGCCGTTTCCATTGCTGTTTATGGCTGCCGAAGTAAAAGAAAACTCGCCGCCAACTGGAGCTTGAGCCTCCTTGAGAGAGACGCCGCCGTCAGGCATGAAGGCTTGTTTGCCATGCTGGGCGAAAGAAGGTGGTGGCGTCTCTGGGTCTAGCAGTAGGCTGGGTGCCATGCTGCTACGTAGTGTTGCGTTGTGTAAAAGGTAATTGAAGATGCGTAAAGAGGTGACTACTTGTCAATTGGTAGCAAGCAGGGAGCTTCACAGTGATGAAGTGAAGTGAGGTGGAACTGGAACCCCGGATGACGAATGTTGCTTTATATGTGAGATAAGCGGACCCCGGAAAGTACGTTGGGCGCACGGGGTTAGTGGGGAAGGTGCGGCTTTGCAAGGTCGACCCGATGTTCAAAAGTTGGGTGGTGACTGTCGCGCGGTCACGCAATCCTACGCCATCCACGCTTCGAGTGACCAATTAGGCTAGACCCGTCCGGGAAATTCATGGCAATTACTTATTATCCTTTACCTGACAACCACACCGCCCTAATCTTGACACAAATAGGCCCGACCGAGGACAGCTCTACTCGAAAAATCTACGTCGAGTGTTAAAATACGCGAACTGTCCTGTGTCAAGTTGCGTTTTGAGTGTGGTCATTATGATCAATTTACCCTCCCTTCCACTGTCAGCATCGCCACTCAGCATTGTCAGCTATCCAGACACCCTCTCACTCTCATGTCCCCATGTCCCCATGCCCCCAGAAATACGGCCAGTCAATTTATCCTAGCGCATGCAACGCGACTGTGACTGATCTGCTTCGAGTAGTTGCCTCTCCAATGTCGAGATGGACATTGGCGCATACTAGCACCTCTATGCAGGGTGATCGATCTGGGTAGAGCCTACATGACTGATTGCATAGTATCAAGCCGACTGCACATGAGGCAGCCGGTGAGAAGTGTGGATTGGGAAGAGTGAGGTCGACAAACCCTTGGCATCCCCATGTTAAAACCTTAAACGCCTATTCGCCTGTAGCCAAGAACCCCGGACCCACGATGCACATCCGACCTGCGAGCAGCATGCGCATACTGAACCCAGCCATGACACATCACCACGCCCTGTGCTCGGGGGAGCTTTCGGATCATCGCGACCTCAGCTTCATGCACAAGAGTGGCACACGAGCACTGGGACATGACTCCGCCGCGTACCCATTATACTCCACCCGATACCCAAGGCGCTGGCTGGAATGGAGGCCACGAAACGGACATCCTGCACTTCCTCGTCATTGCCATCTTATGCCAGCCTAGCCTGAACAAGTCATGTTCGCTACTGCCGGGCGAATCACGACTATTTGCTGAGAATCGACTGCCCACTACAGATAGCGTCCTGCACCTCTCAACGACAGATGCATGCGGCTCTCTGGGGATTTGCAGCCGAGAAGCCTTTTGTAAGATACCACGTGCACATAAAGTGTTCCATCCGCTGCATAATAGTTACGCCTCGCGATCATCATCTTGCTCTAAATGCACAAACCACCAGTGGGCCGGATTCGATAGCCTTTGCTAAGTTCCGATGGCGGTGCCAAGCATCATCCTCTCTACGATGTAACCTACTGCTACCGTGGAACTTTCATCTACCATACATTTGCTTGGCAGGAGATGGCAAAGAATACTACCACGCACACGTTTTCTTCAGAATGCATAAACCCGTTCAGTGTCCGAACCGTAGCGAACCCTGGTCTTTGGGGTTCAATTGGCTAACTAGGCACATATACCAGGGTATCAATCGTCTGACTATGATTGTATACTATCATGAGGGCGTGTCGCGGAAAGGATCTGTCACATCCGAACGCGGCTGTGCACCACGCGACACGTTTGTTCAGCACACAGCGAACGGGACCGATACCATATCCTTGCTCATCCATCTTATCAAATGGCCAGTCTTCAGGAAGCGCCACACAGTAAGCTGTTGTTGAGTGGCAAGTCCATTGTGGTCTCGACTTCACATCTAGATCAACTCCACCAGACACTCAGGGTCTTTGAGGTCCACAGACTGCAGCCTTATCGCACTACACACTCTGTTTGGGACAGATCCTTATGCCACCCAAGCATAAACTTACACATTTACGACCAGGTCATCATCTACTTACTCCGTTCCCTGGGTACATTGCCAAGCCTAGACAAGAAATCCCGCCGAACTCAATACATCAACCCCACTTACGCTAATCGCCAATCCATCTGTGCTTGACGTTACTCTCAATACAAAAGGCGTGTAGCTGCGTCAGCCCCATCTCCACATACGCTAGACACCTAAAACGCACCGGTGCTGCTCTATTTTGTCAGAGCAATGGCAAAACATCGTCACGAGGAGTCAACAAGCAGTCGTGGACGAATCGCCTTGGGCTCCGAAGAGGGTAGACCCGCATGTGACCAGAGTGTCCTGCACTTGGCTATCCCCTCCAACCCTGAGGACCGCTTTTCGATGAACTGCCGACGAGCCGTCGCACATTATCCGACGACCCGCATGACAACGCGACGGCCCGCTCGCGGCATCATGGCCGCTCAACTGCGATGCGCATAACCGCTACCGATCCTTCTATCCCAACACGACACGAATACCTCGACTTATTCCGCAAAAGGGCCTTTGATAACATTCATGCCCGATTGGCTGATAACACTTTTGTTGTACAGAACGCCAATCAGATACGCACTGCATTGTTTCTCTACATTCGGATGCGAGCTTATTCACTTCATATTTGATAAGAAGTTGGTCAGCTGAGGGTTAATATTATACTAGGATTCCGATAGTCACTATCACGGCGCTTCTACTATCCCACTATAGGGAATTTTGATTGCATCTCAGGGAACACCGTTGTTGCAGAAGAGATATCCATGATCGCCGGTTCAAGTGCAGCAAGAGAGATCGAGATGACGATGTTTCAAAAACCTCAATTTCGAGGGTTATAGTAAACATTGCTCTAATCTGCCCAGTCAAAACAGATGTTCGCGCCCAACGTCTTTCCCAGCGCCACAATGACACACAAACATGCACAATCCGAACCAAATCTCGTATAAAACTTCCACGTCGCCCAAACGCATGCATTGCGCAACATGTGAGTCATTGCGGATCGGTCCACGCTTCACTCCCTCCGTCACATTGTCAATCGGGCCTTTGTCCACCGCCAGTCCAGCCGGCAGCGATGCGTTTGCCATATGCTCCAAGAACGGAATGTGTCAGCTGCTCAATTCATGGTGATATCGAATCCCCAAAGGGAATGATTGCCGACTGCGCCTCATCAGGCATATACGATCTAATTAACAGGCACCGGAATCGGAATATTCCCTTTCCCGCTTATACCACGCACTTGCGGACTGTAGTAGGGGTGCATGTTGCCGGTTGTGGGATACATTGGCTGTTCGTGTTATGTTGTGGGAATACTAGAGGTACCGGAGATTTGTGACGGGCAACTGGCGGTATCGTGACTGTATTTCCTCATCATATACTTGACACGATGACGCCGGGTGAGAAGTCGTCTTTCCACACTGTTCGTCGATGAGATATGTTATTTACATAGGTATGGCTGCTCAGGTAAGACACTTTGTGAAACTTGACTAGAGTGACTAGTAGAATACCATGCAGGTAAATGCACATTCCGACGATATCGTCAAAACCTCACTATACCCTACACTTTTCCTACCTTCTCGTCTCATCCAATCATTCTGACTATCTAAAGTCGAGGAAACCGCCGAAAAGTAAGATGAAGGTAATTGGGGTAGGCGTACATACCGTGGCATCCATCACACCCTACTTCATAGAATAGGTAAGTCAATATAGCTGTCAAAGCCCAAACTTCCAACTTTATACTTATGGAGACACGAATCCCCATCCTACCAACCCCCATCATGCAATCCAGCAACCGAAACAGACATTTTCCACATCCGTCGGCGACTCTAAGCAGAACAAACACCACTATCCATATATCTTCCCGGATTCTCCATCCAAACTAATAAAACTACACTATAATCCCCCAAACAGCAAATATCTAGGCAAAAGTAGTTCCGTGTGCTTCGACAAGACATGCACATGCGTGAAGCGCATAGTATGTCGTGTAAAAAATAAGAGACAGAAACAGCATAACGCATTCTACTCTGTACTTTACCCTCTGTCCTCCTTCTTATTCTGATCCACAGCGCTGCAGGTGCTAAGATTTTAAGTAGAGGGTGTAGTATCGCTTCCCACCCCATCATCCGCCGACTCTGGCTAGATTGTACTTGTACAAATAAACCATGCCACACCTGCCTACCCAAACCCTTCATTCCTTTTGTTTTCTAACCTAGGCTATCCGTCATAGTTTTCTCCGTCCTAGGTCCTAGCTCCCCGGCGCCAGGAACGATGGCATATGGCATATATTAGAGGAAGAGCGGGGGTAAACAGTCGTAAGGTATGATTCCTAGTGGGTTTGTCCAGGATTGCTTGTGGTAACGGCGACGACGTGGATTTAGGATGGAAGGAGCTGAGATAAAGAGAGTCGATGCATAAGGTAGGATAGAAAGAAAGAAGGAGTTTACAAAGTAACTTAGAATCCCGGATTACTAGAGACTGGGAGGGGAGGTATCTATCACTGTAATGTGGATAGATGGTGAACAACTCATCTTATTGGCGCATGCAAGCATGCAAGGAGAAAGGCAGAAGCGATTTCAGTAGAAAGCACAGCGATACCGTAACATGCATTTTATAACAAAAAAAACCATGACTTTTCCTCCTCATCCTAATGCAATAAACCTGCCATGAAACCCAATTTTGTCGTCCAAAAATTATACATACAGCTGTGACGAAAACAAAAGCCCTCCCATCCCCACCCTCCCTGCCTATCCAAAAGCAGGACTAACAGCATACCCAACAACCAACTCCTCCCCTTGTTTAAAACACGACCAAAGATTCCCAACCCCCTCATCTAATCCGGGACTAAACACACTACCCACATAACAAAATACGCTCTCATGCTCCTTGACACCCAGTCGTTTGCGCAGAAAACGTACAATGGTTGCAAACGTTTGCGTTGTGCTGAGCTTGAAGATGCGCTGAGTTAGGTGCGGGGCGGAGCCGATAGGTTGGAGGCGGATTGTTACTGGAGGGTATGGGTGAGCTGGGTATGGGGGTAGGATGGGAGGAAGGGCGGGAGGGTAGGATATGTTGGGTGAAGGTAGATGTGATGAACGAAAAGGCAAATTTGATGAATGGGAGGAATAAAACACACCTTTCTGAACACCCAACCCCCCAGCGTTCTCAAGCGCTTTACTTGCATCGCGCGGTAGATGCGTCAATACGACGGATGCGGCCATGGTGAGAGGCGCTTCTTGTGTATCTTCCTCATCGGACGGTATGCGTTCTTTTGGGGAATTCGATTCGGACATTTTTGTCGTTTGCTCTAACGTTTGGTCTGCAGACCGTTTTAATTTTCGGATCTTCGGTTTGTGTCGTGCTGATTTGGCTCGTGACCCTGGGACAAGGTCGAGCACGAGGTGTCCTTTGGCGGTAAAAGGCGGAGTGTGGGGGTACTAGTAGTGGGGTCGTTTGTTGAGATCTTGGGTTGACAAATGGCAGCTAGTTAGGGTCTTGTGATTTTTTTCGTTCCGGGGGAGAGGGGTAGGTAAGGGGGAAAGAATTTTATGGTTGTTGGGATAGGGTAGCGAACAGAGATAAGAAGAGACTAGAGAGGTTGCGACTAATTGACTGACAGACCGTTCAGACTAAGCATCCGAGATGCAGGTGTAAAACGGACAGCCCAACGATATCTGAACCAATCAAACTACCCCACTATTACCCACACCACGCGACCTCACCTCATCAATCTTCCTGATTTTTTTTCAAACGCAAGACGAGCAGCAATAGTACAGATTTTCAACAATATTACCAATCGTATTCGATATCTAGTGTTTGTGCTACTACATATCAAAACACGATAGTTAATGATAATATAACAACTTACAAGTCCTCCGCTTAAAAACCAGAAAAAAAAGATGCACTTCATCCACTCATTCGTCGCCATTTCCCTTTGAGTATGCCAATGATCCTTTAACAAAATCCGCCATAGTACTACCAACGCCTGTTTTCTCAGGAAAACACACACACCCACACTCGCACTCGCGCACTACCAGCCAGCCGGTTTGCGAAATCGCATTAGCCCGGCGAAAGAAGCCACAGGAGGGCTATGATGCAATAGGTATATACAAAGGGACGCATGTATCGTTAGCAACCAGGGGTCCAAAGTCCGAGGCTATACTGGGTTAAAAGAAATGGGGCAGTTTATGCCATGTCGCCAAGTGGGAGGGTGAAAGCCGAGCCTCGAAAATGCTGTGGAAACGGGTATTCGCTCGATGAGTAATGCCATCCGCCAGGGCCCCAAGTGAACAGAAAGTGGAAAGGAAATTATATCGTGGGTATTAGTCGGGTCGTGCGTTACGCCGTGTAGTCTCATGGGCTGATAGGCTCATCGACGATCAAGTTGGGCGAGGAGCTGGTCAAGTTCAGCCCAGTTCTCGCTGGTTGTTGCGAACTTGCGATGTTTGCGGGTGACAACGTGCTGTGTAGTGTTAGTGAGATGTAAGATAAAGTGAGGCTGTATTCCATACCACATCGAAGTCTTCGAATTTTTCTCTGCAGTTCTCGCAGTAACCCGGCTTCATTTCCTTCTCCACAGTCTTGCGCCTTCGGAGAGCTGCTGCTTTGCGAGCCTGCCTCTCTTCGTCTCCATCGAGGATGTGTCCCATGGACTCTTGGGCTTTACGCTTGGCTGCCCGCATTGGTTGAGAATGCTCGTGGTTGAGCGCGGTCCTCACATCGTTTGTGACGGACGAATGACCACTATTCGTATTCGTCGACGGTACGCTGTTCTTCTCGAGGACCTTTCGTTTCAATTGGTTGACTTCCTTGCTGTTTCCAGCACGAGGCGCTGCTGCAGTTGATGATATCATCTGCGAGCGAATGGCCGACGTGATGTTGGACTGGTGGAGACCAGACGCGACTGGCTCACCAGCAATGAAGCGAGGCATGGCTCGGATGCTAGCCTGAGCACTGCCAAACATGGGAGGAGCACCGTCTGCGGTGTTGCAACGCTTGAGGGGAAGGGCCTTTGGGGGATCTAACGGCTTCGCGTCCTCATCTTCCTTAATGATGACGGCAGGCGCACTAGGACGCCTGGCCAAATTGTTGTTCTCTGCCAACGCATTCTTCTCCTCCAATGCCAACGCAGCACGCGTTCGGGGGGCCTGTGCTGCCTGTCGTGCTAGACGGCGCGCCTCTTGCTCCTCCTGTTGACGGCGACCAAAGTGAGGATCCTCGACAAAGGGACACTTGCCGTTGCCCGAAGCACGGAATTGCGGCCACTTGCCCTTTTCCTTCTCCACCTTTTGGTACTCGCGAATCATAACAGGTCGGGTGACCTCGTCCATATCATGCACGTAGACGTAGTATCCGCGGAGAGGGACCATATCCTGCGAAGCCATAAGGTAGTCGCGGTCCATCTTCTCATTCTGCAGCAACTTCTGGAGATCAGCAGGACGGCCCTTCTGGGCGGCCAGGTTCTGACGCGTGGGGTAACTCGATGCATCTTCGCCGGTCTCTTTGTTGAACATGGTATCCACCATGCGCTGCAGCTTTTCGACGGACCATATCTTCATCCCGAGGCTCTTAGCCTTGTACAAAATATCACAGCGATCCGACTTTTCCAGGGCGGCGTCAAAGACGTTCTTCTTGTTTTCCAACTGGGCTGGGTTGACGGTTCCTTTGTGAGCCGATGAACTGCCATCGACGTCGGCAGGAATGGGACGCGTTGTGATGACATGAGTGACTTCCCGAGAGAAGAACTTGACCTCGCGCTGAGCACTGTTAGTACTAAAAGTGTAAATAATAAACACGGGTCACGTACTGATCCTAGGATACGGGCCCTGCTCATCAGCTTGTCCTTCTGGGGATCCGAAACGCTATCAAAGTAGAAGGCAAACTGGGGGAACAGCTTGCGGTAGTGACGCTGCCATTGCCTGATGGTTTCCAAGTCGTTGGCGGCTCGCTGGGCGGCATGCTTTGGCGTGACCTTTGTCTCTCTTGCGGCTTCCAGCTTCCGGGTGAGGGCAGTCGGCTGGGCCCCGCTCCGACGGACAAGGCCATGGCGACGGGATTCGGCATCATCAACTTCGATAATCTGCTTCTTGGATGGTGGTTGGCCATAGTTCAGGTCGCGTTGCTCACTGGCGTGGGATCGCTGGCGCTTTCCTCCCATGGCGGTGGCGCGTAATGGCGAGTTTGTGGCATTTTGGAGGTTTGCAAGTGGAACGCGGCGGCTCGACATGACTGCAGAAACCTGAGGTGAGGGTGGAAGGACTGCTGCTGCCATACGTAGGGTTCAGGGCGTCCTGGGCTGGTGATTGGAGGGAATGCTGGCGGGAGGGGCAGCGATGCGTGTGGCAGCTCTGGACGCGACTTCAGACACGACGAGGATTTTTCAGCAGCGTGTGGCAGCCATGTCGGTACGGGTGAATGTCGGGAGATGTATGTGAAGAGTACAGGTGCAAAGTGAGCGAGGGAAATGCGCGTGACGGGCCGGGGTCTGCCTTCATGAACCAAGGAAAGAGTCGAGAGGGTTTGTTGTGGAGGCTGGTATGATGATTGAATGCTCAATGCGTTAGGCGGAATCCGGAAAGGCCGCCCAATCTCGCGCGAACCACGGAATAATCTGCCTGGCAACCAAACAACCCACCCTTGCGGTCAACATCGTCAATGCACGCATGCACGACATGCTACTGCAAATGGCTAGTCGCCAGGTACCCGCGCCCTGCTCATCTCACTGTCCATGGTTGAGCATGCTTTGTCTGCTTAGACGACTCCTTTACGCATACCCCACTTCTCCCACCTCCTTTCTGATTCAGAGCCTGGGTATACACCACCTCTACGCGCCTGTCGACGCGTTAAAGAGGCCGTGCCTGCCGAGGCTGTCTTTTCTTTTTTAAGTGTGAATCGCCCAATGCCGCATACTTTGTTATTGCTCGATGAATGACGGCATGTACACGTGGAGCCAAGGTATCCATGTGTCTCTGTTGTGTTGTGGCCGATGCGCGTATAAGAAGCGTAATCCGCATTTTCCATTTCGATGCATAACTTGTCTCTTCTCTACTATTCGAAGACTAGTTCTGCATAAGACCATGTTGCACTTCTGTAGGACAATTGCTGACTAGGTCTTACACGCGCAATACTCACTCTTCTTCACTCCCCTTTGGGGCACACCCATAGATATGGCCACTTCAACTCATCGAGATACACGTGCGGTTGCGCGATGAACTTTCGACTATTCAAGCTTCTTAATTTCTGTTCTCATACCTTTGTCGCCACATAGCTCCGCACTCCCTACACGTGCAAGTATTGCCGACCTCTACTTCACTTTCACTCGCAACACGCGCGCGCAATGGCCCCTCACTTCTATTTAGTCCATATGAAGAAAGTCCCTCATTCATCGCATTGCCCACTTGCACCCATACCCAAACTCGACTCCACCTATACTTGACTTCTGCTCCGACCCATACCCCACCCTGCTCTAACAGCCGTCATGCCCCACCATCCCCGCCGCAGCAGAGCCTATCGCCCGCCCTATGATGATGATGATGATGATGTAAGTAAGAAGATCTTGGGTTGCGGCACCTCGCTAATCATCTGCACAGGCGCGTTCACTGTCGCCCACAAAGGACTCATCCAGATCTGGCGGCCAGGATTCCAACCGGGACCGCATGCGTCATCGCAGCCCGACTCCACCTGCTACTACTGACCGGGATGTGTTCGATGAAGACCTGGAAAACTTCTTTAGACGTGCCATCCGTGCCTATGAGCTGGTCAGGTCCTACCCGCGCGACTGCAGGGGCGGAACCCGATGGTCGCGTAGTGCTGTCGAAGAAGTCCGAAAGTTTGGTATCGACTTGCACAATGAGGTCAACGCTCTGAAGCGCCACCTACGTGAATATAAGGAGCGCAATAATTGGGACGAGCTCGAGATGGAGTACATGCGCGATGAGGTTGAGAAGGTGCGCGAGTACTGTGAGAACGTCATGACCTTGATCAACGACTTGGAGCGTGTTCCCTTGCATCAGCGCATGAGCCGCAACAGCGCTGGACAGAATCAAGAGCATGATGAGGAGTAGGGGGCAAGCAGTCTTGTCACGGTTACTCGGGCTTTGCATGATCGAAGCGGATCGTCTGGACTCCTGATTATACCCCAGAGAACTGTTGAAGAGTAATGGATAGGCGGTAATGGGAATGTTTGTGGAGGGATAATGATCAAGGAAACTTCGATACGGTGAACGATGTAGACGCTAAGAACTTGTTTCTTTTGCAGTCATGAATCAACCCTGGTGTATATCCAGGGAACTTTTCTCCTTTAGAAAGTCTCACGGCTATGCTGTATCTGCGTCTACATGTCCTGTAACATCCTCTATCAACCCTGCGCTGTGCAATGACAGAGGTGGCTTACCTCTGAATACGAGAAGTGACATGTGAAAGCAGCTCCAAGATAAGGAGTAGCAAGGGTCGGGTGAGGACACAGATGTCATGTCGTTCTGCCTCCATCACCTGACAATACGCGGCTGGCCACCAAAGCACATGATGTGGACTTTTCGATTTGCTCAAGTCAGGCACATGTACTAAATTTGCAAAGAAAGAAAATTCGCCGGACGTTAGCACGCGTTTCCCACCGTTCCGGCTCATTGGCGTTCGGCGCTCGGCAATCGGAAAGCTGGACCCTGGTGCAACACAGGGAGTGCCACAGCTCAACACTTTCACATGCTTGCCAAGTTGCATCCTACAGCCCTCGAGATTTTCACAAATTTGGAATAATGCCGTCTCAGCGAAACAAGGATAGCCGCGAGGCGGCTGTCAAAGCTTCGGGTTTAACTCACATGCGCCTGTCATTCTTTTTGCGCATCAGACTGGACGGTTGTCATTCGCGCACAATTACGCTGTACTGCCGGTGAACGTTGGAAGGCTGCTCGTTGCTATTTTCAAGTACCGGTCAAGACTGGGGAGATAAGGAGACATTATGATGCAGGGGGAACAAGAACAACTTCCCACGACTACATTCGACTCGGCGACCCTTGTTGAACTGGAGGGGAGTACCTACAGACGCAGTATGCTATACAGCGTACTTCCAACGCTCGTGTCGAATCACATACCGACCATACCGTCGCTCCGCCAGTCCCTCAACGATGTGCGCAACCGTGGAGCGCACAGCAAATCCAACTCTGTAACCGAGATACCACAACCCGAGACTCCTCCACCGAGCTATTCTTCAACACCCCAAAGCGGCTCTGCTACACCGAACAGACTTGCTGTCGCGTTAGAAGAGGCGGACCTCGACTTTGGTGAGGATATATCGGAAAGGCCGGTTTCCTCCAGTAGCGCACTTCCGCCACTGTTCGGAACCCATGAGGAAGGCACTGGTATCAGATGGAAATATGCAAGTTTAGGTACGTACTCAAACCGTAGATATCAGGGGTTGTGCTTACAACATGCAGGCACGAGCCTCATGGCTCAAGCAACACGAGAATCCAGCGCGCCAAGTAGTAGTTCCGACGATTCATCTGCGATACTCATTCGTCAATTATATATCCACGGCATAACCTACCTTCTTCGAGGGCTTCCAGCGAAGCTTACACTAGACGAACAGCTGAGCATACAGGCTGCCCTACCACAAGACTTGGTTGAGAACTGTCGAAATCCAGACGCGAACGCACTGGTTTCAATGCCATGTCGCAGTATAAGTCCTCAACAGCCACCACGAAACCCTACAGTTCTCCACCGTCTTACAGCGGCCCTCGTCTTTCAAACCTTTGTTCTCATACAATTCCTCCTACCATACATCAAGTTGCTTCTTTCCCATACCTACCAATTTGAGAGGAAGCACCAAATCACGAAAAGACTGGTAAACACAGGCGTCGCAACAGCAGACGACATTGGACGGAGGACGTTAAGGTTATCGCAAACAGTGTGTCAGATGAACGATGGGATGGTAGGTCAAGCTCTCAATGAGATGACTATCTGGTGGGTTCAAAGTGTGACAGGAGGCGTTCAGCAAGGTTTCATGGAAGGTATGAAGGTTGTAAAGTCAGGTGAAAGCCAGCGACGTGGGAAGGCTGCTGAGAAGATGAACTGAACTTGTCGTGTTTTTTGCATTGGCGGAGGCGTTGGGTATTTGCATTAGTATGGAGTTGCGTGATTACGAATATTAATGAACATTTGAACTTGACGTATGCGCCAAACTTATGCGTGGACTGTAGAAAATACAAGTGTTGGCCTTTGCGAAATTGACACTGCTTGCCCCTCGTCGCGTTCTCCTCCTCTGAACCGCTTATCTTCCTTATCGGGGGCATGGCGGGCTACTTAGCGCGTCGTTTGTGCACGGCCCCCAGAAAAAGTGCATGGCAAAGTTTCTAGTAACGACTGCCCGCCATTTTTTCATCTCAATTCGCCGTCGTTACTGAGGCGCAAACTGAGAAAAATACCCTTCTTTTGCGTCAAAAGTTTATATACCCCTTCTATACCCCGAACTGATTGACATCTTCACACGCACATCATGTTTGGTGCAGTGAGAAGATACCCGGCCACCCTCTCGAGGAGTCTGGCTGGAATCTCGTCTAGAGCCCTTCGCACACCCTTCACTCAGACTCTTGGTGTTCTACGGATACCATTGCAGACGTCCCGTCTCGCAAATGCCTCGTTTGCTGGCTTCCACAACAGCGCAAAGTGGCAAGATGCCGCGGCCGCAGCAGAGGCAGCCCAGAGCATCAGTGAGGACGGCCCGGCCACAAAGTTCGCAGAATTGGCCACACGCGGACTCGTGCACCCCAATCTCATCAACACGATTACGAAGCAGATGAAGTTGACGACCATGACGGATGTGCAAACCCGAACAATCAACGAGGCTTTGAGCGGCGTCGATGTGTAAGTTCCTCCACTATCTCTAGATATAGGCGGCGACTAACAAGATGCAGCATTGCCCAGGCAAAGACTGGTACCGGTAAAACACTGGGTTTCCTCATTCCCGTTATTCAACGCATCATCCAAGCCGACCCAAGTCTCGCCGACAAGCCTAGAGGATACAAGCGCGCCAAAGCCGACGACATTAGGGCCATTGTCATGTCACCGACACGTGAATTGGCAGAGCAAATTGCCGTTGAGGCTAAGAAGGTCACCTCTGGCACTGGCATCATCGTGCAATGCGCAGTTGGTGGAACACGCAAGCGAGAGATGCTTGTGAAGACACAACGTGAAGGTTGCCATCTCATGATTGCAACACCCGGCCGACTGTACGATATTCTTTCCGACCCATACTCTGGTATCAAGGCACCAAGGCTCAATGCCTTTGTCTTGGACGAAGCCGATCGTCTGCTCGACGATGGTTTCACCAAGGAGATTGACGAAATCAAGAAGATTCTCCCCGACCCAGAAGAGGTCGAACGCCAAAATCTCATGTTCTCGGCTACTATTCCCCGCAACGTTGTCGATCTAGTCCGTCGTACCATGCGCCCTGGTTTCCACTTCGCCAAGTGCGTCGATGAGAACGAGGAGCCAACACACGAGCGTATTCCCCAGAAGATAGTTATGCTTGCCGGTTTCGAGAACATCATCCCCACCCTGTACGAGCTCGTGTGCAAAGAACAAGCAGAGGCTCAGAGAGGTGGATCGCGTCCCTTCAAGGCCATTGTCTACTTCAACAGCACTGCTGAAGTCACATTGGCTGCATCCGTCTTCTACAAACTCAACGGTGGCCTCAAACGCGGCAACTCACCTCTCGGTGGACTCCGCAACTTTGAAATCCACGCCAAGCTCAGCCAAGCACAGCGTACTAGAGCTGCAGATGATTTCCGCACAGCCAAAAGTGGTGTACTCTTCTCTTCTGATGTAACTGCTCGTGGTATGGATTTCCCAGAGGTCACGCACGTCATCCAGATTGGTCTTCCACGCGATCGTGACTCGTACATCCATCGTCTTGGTCGTACTGGTCGTGCTGGAAAAGAGGGTGAGGGATGGCTGTTCCTCACTCCGTTTGAGAAGCAAGAAGTGCGCCGCCGTCTCAGAGACTTGCCTCTCACCGACTCTACAAAGGAACTAAACATCGCCGCTCTTGACATGAGCCAAGAGTCCGAGATCCCGGAGGACATCAATCAGATCCTCCAGCAGTGCGTGGAAGCACACAAGAAGGTCTACCCAGACCAACTTGATGCTGCCTTCCGTGGCTTGTTTGGAAGCTACCAGTGGTATGGCGACAAGCACGGCTTGGTCGAGGGTGCAAACCGCCTAGCAGAATTCGGCTGGGGTATGGAAACACCACCACCGCCTCCTGCTGCCGTGTTCAGCGGTGGTAGACGAGGTGGAGGCGGAGGCCGCAGTGGTGGCTATGGAGGAAACCGTGATGGAGGTCGCGGTGGCTTTGGAGACCGTGGTGGTGACCGAAGGGGAGGCGGCGGCTTCGGTGGTGACCGTGGCGGTGATCGACGAGGTGGAGGTGGAGGTGGCTACAGTCGTGGCTTCGGTGGTGGACGGGGTCATGGTGGCCACGACACAGGCCCAAGCCGCGGCTTTGGCGGCGACAGGAGAGGTGGAAGCGGAGGCGGAGGTTTCGGCGGTGACCGACAGAGACGCGAGCCTCGCATGGCGTTCTAAGGAATTCCCTCCTTTCGCCTCTCCTCTCTCGACTATGTGAGCCGAGGCTTCATCCCCTTTGACTTGACAGCCACGACGACGACGACTGCTGCCCCCACCACCTTTCATGTACTATACACTGTATACCCCAACTTGACGAGACGAGAGAAACGGAACCCGGATTACTGTCACAGGTGTTGCTTGAAGACAACAAGCAGACAGGGAATATATGATGGAAAGATCTGGGTCTACAACCCCATCAGGTTTGCATATTGGGCGGCGTTTTTTTTTCTCTCAGATCGTTATTTTTCTGCTCGCTCTACTCTTTTACAGGAAGGAAAAGAGAGAGAGAGAGGAGCGAGAAAGAGAACGAAGAGGGATGGTAAATGTTGTTTCCACCGAAGACCAATCTCCAATCACGAATGTTTTTTATTCAATCTTCGATCCTGGTACTCTGGTATAGGAGTTTCTTTGTATGTTTGTATGTATGTAGGTTTGGATTGGAATGAAAAGTTTTATGTCTATGTATATCTAGTTGTTGGTTTCGTAGGTGATCTTGTAGATGATGATGAACAACGTAAGGAAGAATAGAACGCCGCCAGCACCTACATACATACCACCGTATCCCTCCCCACTACCTCTACTCCCCCTTCCCCTCCACCTTCTGCTTCCCCGCCTCAACCACCCTAACAAATTCCTCAAACGCCTCCTCCCCAATCTCATACGTATGCTCCCTCGCCGGATAGCTCCCGTCCTTAACCTCCTTTCTATATTCCCCCAATGCCCTCTCCGCCTCCCCCTTCACAAACCCAAACTTCTTAACTAACTTGAGTAGCAATCCTCCCCGGGGGTTATACCCCAACATATCCACCCTGCACCAGCACCTGGTCCCGAACACCCAGCCCCAGCCCCAATCCCAATCGTCGGTATCCGTAACTCCTTGGTCACCACGGCCGCTACTTCAGCGGGGACGGCTTCAAGTACTACGGCAAAGGCGCCTGCGTTTTGCACGGCGCGCGCATCGCGTAGGACTTGCAGTGCAGATGCAGCGGTGCGGCCCTGGACACGGAAACCAGACAGGGCGTGCGCGCGTTGCGGTGTCAGTCCTACATGTGCGAGAACAGGAATACCAGCGGTCGTTATAGTCCTTATAGTAGGTGCCATCTGTTCGCCGCCTTCGAGCTTGATAGCCTTCACACGACCAATTTTCAGCATCGTAATCGCAGTCGTCAGAGCCTGCTGGGGGCTAATCTCGTAGCTTCCCATGGGGAGGTCACCAACGGTAAACGCTGCTTTAGTAGCGCGCGCCACGGATTTACAATGCAGTAGCATTTCTTCGAGGAGGATTTCAGACGTGTCTTCCATGCCTAGGGCGACCATGGCGAGGCTGTCGCCGACTAGTATCATGTCCATGCCGGCGTGGTCGGCGACGTGGGCGCTGGGGAAGTCGTGGGCGGTTATCATGGTTATGGGTTCGTGCTTGCGGTACATGGATTGGAGGCTGGCGATTGTGACGGGTTTGCGGGTGAGGGCTGCGCCGAGGGGGGAGTGCGAACTCCATCGTGTTGGGATGGGTAAGAGAGGCGACGGCGAGAGCGAGAGCGATGGCAGCCTAGACGTCTTGTTTGTGAGACGCAGAGGCGTTCGCAGGGTGGATAGGAGGGCACGCGACATTGTGCTGTTGTAGTTGTGGGTTGTTCTGTTGTCGGGAACAGCGCAGGCTGGGTTTATGGTGGAGTTTCGACAAGTGAGAAAGTGAGAGTCCAGAGGGACAGAGCAGACACGTTTTCAGCGTCAGCCATCATGTCTGGGGGTGGCGGAAGAGCGAAGAGTGCTTTAAGCAACATGTGCAGAGAGCTGCGCTGAAGATTCCATCACCTTGGTGTTTGGACTGGGATGCTTTACCGAGGGATCTGCTCGGTCGCGTCAGGGGTCTGGGTCCCTTTGTTCGGAGCGTATTGGTCGGCCCCGCGCTGGAGTGAGATGTGCCTATGTAAGTTCTGATTCATACAACGGGATTGTGACTCTCTCCTGCATCATACATTGTAGTGATCGGGATTGTTGTTCTTGGGCCGGCGGTGCGAACGAGGCAGGACCTCGGGGAAGCTGCGGCATTGCATGATGCCGATTGGATGTACAGATTGTGCACCTAATCCGGACAATCGGACAATGAGCAGGTGGCAAAGTTCGGAGTTCCTGGAGGATATTGAGCGGGTAAGAGTATAATGCTGGTTTCTGCAGATTATACTGCTTTGAGTTGCTTAAGTGAGGCTGTCATATGAGGCTTGCTTTGGCCAGTCGCAAACGGTAATGCAACATCAGAAGGTTTGCTTCACCCTGAGCGTTATGCAATTGACGATCGGAGTTTAGTGCATGACTTGAGTTGGAGAAGATGATGCTCTCTGTAGATGTTATGAGACAGTTCAGCCCGCGAGGGTTGCGCTGTGCTGTGTATAGTGATGGGCGTGAACATGTCGATACATAGATAGTCTGTCGGTCTCGTTGGATACATAGTCCACACAAGCAGCAACCATATGCTTGTTGTAGCAAAGACACCTTGACAAGAGTTGTGCGTTCACAAGTAAATGATGGAGGGTGGCGCGCCATATCTCTCGGCGATGAGCGACCGGGGCGAGTCGTGCGACGTGCGCAAGCGTGACAAGCCAGTATCGTCGCTCGTGACCTCGACCACCCATCGTCCTTTCTTCCTTGCCTGTTCCTGGCTTATGACACACTTCGACCCACAGCTACGACACCTGCACACGTACACGACCATCACTCGTCTTCTGGAAACTACAAACAACCCGGCATTAGCAACAAAACACTCATAATCTGCCAACAAGCCCGCCCCTCTTCTGCTATCGATAACCCCCGCCGACGACCAGACCTCACCAAAGCGCGACATTCACTACGCCAACTACCATTCGCGAATCCGCCACTCAAACCCCGATAATACTTGCGCTTGAAGCAAGATACCGACACAGAACAACAAGCAGGAAGCTACACGTATAGTGCGGCAAAATGAGTTCTCCAAAGAGACGTATCGAGACGGATGTACGTGAGACCTCTACCAGGAGACTTCTGAGCAGAACAAGGGCTAATGCTAACTTTCTTACCTTATAGGTCATGAAGTATGTTGCGCAGGCTTTGGGATGAGACTTCCAGTACTAACGAGTGAACAGGATGTATGTCGCATACCTTATTCATCGATGCAACGCTATGCGCCTAGCCTCCTCGGTCGCTTTGTGGGTCAGTGATTAACACAAGACAGGCTCATGAGTGACTACGAAGTAACTCTGGTCAACGACAACATGCAAGAGTTCTATGTTAGGTTCAAGGGCCCGGTCGAGAGTAGGATCTATTCGTCACGCCTCATTTGTGCTGAGCTGACCAGCCACAGCTCCCTTTGAGGGTGGTCTATGGAAGATTCACGTCGAGCTACCTGATCAATACCCGTACAAGAGTCCTAGTATCGGCTTCGTCAACAGGATATTCCACCCAAACATCGACGAGCTGTACGTCTCCCTGCTTCACGTCTTTATGAGATTGTTTCTCACACACATAGTTCCGGCTCCGTCTGCCTCGACGTCATCAACCAGACCTGGTCTCCCATGTATGATATGATCAACATCTTCGAAGTCTTCCTTCCTCAACTCCTTCGATACCCCAACCCGACTGATCCTCTAAACGGCGAAGCCGCCGCGCTACTTATGAGAGAGCCAAAGAGCTACGACGCCAAGGTCAAGGGTATGTATAGTGAGACACTGCGATGTGGAACATGAGCTAAGGATATTACAGAATATGTGCAAAAGTACGCCAATAAGGACACGGCCGAGGACTCCGACAAAGATGATGGCGATGATGACGAAATGAGCTCTGTCGGCAGTTACGAGTCTGGCGATGAAGACGAGGCAGCAGGGAACATGGAGGACATATGAGGCAGCCTTGTTTGAAGTGCTACCCATCTCTTTCATATTGTCCATACCCATCCCCATGATCATATCACATTGCCGGACGTTCAGGGCGCTTGGTTGGCGTACACACGGGCTACATCCCACATATTTCCCGGTATTGGGCTGTTTTGAAGGGTTGGTTACAGATTTGGAGCTTCGATTGGCGTTGTTTGCTTTTTTTCGTTTTACATATCAGACAAGAGCTGGGTCGATCTGTGTACCCTTATGAGATTGGAGATGTCGGAAGGCATTCTTCGGTCGTGTCCAAGATACTGGTTAGGTTTGGAGATGTAGGCCTGTCTCTTTTCATAAACTACACTTTTCTAAATGTCTGCTCCTCCCTTTCCATGTGTTCGTTGAAACTCGAGTCTCTCTCAAATCTCATAAACTTCCAGAAGTCTATTTTCGTGCTGTCTCTCGCTTTTGTGCAGTCTCTACACATTCTCAAGGTTCTATACGTGTCTGTTTGTTCTTCCGCTTTTCCGCATCCACATTGTTCTACCACTTAGTCCTTGTGAGCCTATTGAGCGATACCTTGTGTGAACTTATGGGCCACCGCATGCCTATTCTGTTGAGCCTTCTGCCTTTAGGTCCATGTGGGGCGATGAACGATGCCGCTGCGAGACCGCTCATGGCGCGGGTACGATGGCTCACAGCAGCCCAATGGCCTTTGTTGCTATGGCCGCTCACCCACCACCCATCGTAGGCACCAGTCGCCTGAAATCATGTCCACGATACATCCGTTTGCTTGCAATCTCCCACTCACCGCCGCTCGTCTCGCCAAGTCAGCTCAATGGCTCCTTCATCGCCTTTCGCATTGTACCCCGCAGAAGGTTTCGTTTGCACGAAGTCGGCTTCACTTCGTCTCCCAGGCCCAAGCTCCTGTGTCCATTTGCCGTCTGCCCGCCGTAAAAGCGATGTTCTCCCACCCAATTCCACCACATCTCTCCCACTAACATTCTTCTTCATGACCAGGGCCCCCGAATTCGAACCTCCGTCACTGCCAACCGCCAGTACGGATACTAACAGTATCATTAATGACCCGAGTAAGAGCTAACATACCTTTGAAGAAATGGCACCATCACACACCCCTACGGGTGCCAGACGTACCGGTCCGTCACCCAGCCAAGAGAACAAATCCCATAGCGCGAAGACCGGCGCGGGAGTGGCGCCCCACAAGACACGCTTCATGAACCAGCCCGCCAAACGGGACGAACAACGACGAGAGTCCAAGAGATTTGTTACAATTCCTCCTCTTGAAAAACTCGAGTTTGTCTACGGACATCCGAACGGTGCACCCACTTCTCCCACAGCGGGTCCGAGAGGCCCTCAGGGTCCTGCGAACCCAGCAAATGACACTGCTGCGGCGGGCACTGGCAAAGACACGAGTGTCGCGATAAAAAAGGAGGATGGGGATGGTATTGCTGCGGCGAGCACTGGCAAAGAAACAAGTGCCTACATAAAGAAGGAGGAGGGGGTTGGAGAGGGTGAGGATGGTATTGCTGGGGAGCCTGCGGAGGGTAAGGGTGCCGGACAGGTACCTACACCACCCATGACGCCCAAGACTCCCACGACGCCTAAGACTCCCAAGCGCCGGAAAGGCCTGCAGATGAAGACCGCGGCGATGCCGCCTGAGGATTCGCCCGAGAAGGCGAGGAAGGTGGTGTCGAATGTGAAACTGCAGAGGATTCTGGGGAGGAAGTGGAAGAAGAGGTGAGGTGAATGGGGGTAGATGGGATGGAGTTTGTTTTACTTTCTTTTGTGTTGTTTGGTATGACCAGGTATGATCCTGTATGGTCTGATGTGATTGGGTATGATCTGGGTTTGCGATAGATGGATGGGTTGTTGGACATGATACCCACCTGTAATACCTTGAATATATTTTTATCTGTTTGATCATTGTGTTGATGAGTGAATTTGGTGGATACATGGTGCTATGGATGGCAGTATGATGAGTGCGTAGTATGGTGAAGTAAAGCTAGATATCTTGAAAGCTGTTGGGATGGATATGGGCAGTATGGTCATGTAGAATACGAGATGCTGTAATAGTAAAGGGCTTGGTGGGATAGGAGAGAGGCGTAGACGAGGGGGTATCCAATGTATCATGCATCCCTATGTCCGGCAATAGCTCAGATACCCTACAACACCCTTCACACCCCCTACAGCTCAAACCCTTACAAAGCATTGTGGTCGCCACAACCCACCCCAACCCCTACACCCCCACGTTAAGAAGCTGTCGCAATACCCTGCGTTCCCACATCCTCGTCACGCAACTACTGCGGCGATCGTCGCGGGGCGTAGATAAGCTTCGCAAGCGCCAGTGGTGCCCTCTTTCCTTCCCTTGTTGTCGCGATGTGTATGGCTGATAGATTCGGCAATGCGCAAGGTTACGCAGGAGGGAAAGCTTGTGCATGCTTGTTTTTGCGGGGGATCTTTGAGAGGGAGATAGAGCTGTGTGAGGTGAGTGGCTGGGAAGTCGGTGGGTACTAGGGTTTGGTTAGGGCAGTACGCTGGGTGCTTGCTGGGGATGTCTTGCGAGGAAGGAGCGAGGGGTATGACGGGGTAGGTGTTTGGGTATAAGATGGAAGGTGTAATCGTAGATGTGAGGCGTTTTCTGCCCTCCGAGAGTTTTTGTCACTTCAAAAACAGACTCAGAAGAAGACAGAGTATGAAGAGCCGGAGTAGAGCCTCACTCCAGGTACCAGGACTGTGAGATAGACTTCACGTGCAGAGTTAGATGAGCAAAAAGGCTTGAAACTGTTTGGATATTACCGCTGCCGTGCCTCCACAATTTGGACTGATTTTGGAGCTGCGCATGGGAGCTATCATATTGCCATAAAAGAGGCTGTGCGAATGTAGTCATTGCTTTTTGGTTGCGGAATTTATGGCTCAGCCTTCCCTTGGGGGGTTGGGCAGAATCGAGCTAGCGCTTGTTAGCGTTGTGATGAACCTGAAGCGGTCCCTCTTCATGCATCACATGTCTATAACACCCAAGGGACCCTAGCTACTTTAAATCTCCGGTATAGGTCTCGGTAAACTACATCGCTAGTCTGGTCATCGGCATCTTGTCGATGTATCTATGACTCGACACTAACCCCACATCCACGGGTCCCAGGCTCTCTAGACACGTCGTCCCGCATACGCCTTCCTACAAAAAGCATTGGCTCCTGGGATGATGCATTCAGCTAAATCGTCTTCATCCGGGCTATGTCACGGGCGAGGCCTCGCTAGAGCTGTGTTATTATAACACGTGACCTGCGGCTGAGTATGCATGCTGTTCGTCGTTAGGCGATATTTTCAGCCCCCGTTTGGTTTGATGGGGATACTTTAGGCCGCAAGAGTAGTTAAATAGGATGCGAGCCCCATCAGCCGTTGTCGGCGATATAGTATTGGGAAATCTCTCTGCTCTTGCATTACTTTCAAATTCAGCATCCTATCTACTATCTTTTTCTTCGTTGTATAATATCGACTAGCTACGATTATGGCAAATAGCTTCGCACAAACTCTCGCCGGTGGTACTCAAGATCTTGCTGCTCTCGCCGGTCTGTTCTGCACAGATGGAGTCGAACGGAACGCTTTGTCTGTCCAATCCGGTTACTTTGGCATCGCGGCGTCCTCTCTGTCACTCCTAGGCATATTAGGCCTTGTTAGAAGTGCCATTAAGGTTGCTCTCGGTCTTCGCCGGTGCTCAAACGCTGGCTTCAACCTCGACTCTCTCCGGGGTCTTTACGGTTACCTGCTCGAAGAAAGTGAAGAGCAGAAGAACAGGATTGAATGTGATTATACAGAAGTCGCTTTTGGTAAGACTAAGAGTGTAAAGAATGGAAAGGTAGCCATAGACACGCATATTGGCAACGACAAGTACGACCACGTGGTTATTCGCAGAAAGAAGCGATTTTTCGATCCCCAACTGACCCCAATCGTGAATGTTGGGAGTGACTGGCCAGAGAAGCTTTATTCCAAGACGGTGGTCAATCTTGGCAATCTTCAACGCGAGAAAAGTGTATCACAAAGTCCCATCCTCATCGGCCTCCTCTTATTTCTCTGTCCCGGTATGACTGCATGGCTTTTGTTAGTTGTCAGTACGACCTGGAACGGAGTTCTTCTTTTCGCAACACTTGGGTAAGTACCTTCTGATCGGTACTTCCGTTGCTTATTCCTCTGATCTAATTTTCTTAGTCTTCATATCTCGCTACCACTGCTGATATCTGTCCCTATATGGCATGGGCGCAATGTAAGCAGCCCAGACGCAGAGTCCCAACCACAGTCCGCAACAATCAATTAAGTGGGTCCTAGAAGGTTCAGATTGGATTGATTGATTACCGCTTTAAGCCTAGTAGTTACCTATAGGAGTTTAAGCCCTACCTAGATAGGTAAGTGGGTCTAGGAGAGTGACCGGATTGAATTGATTGTTGCGGAGTCTAGTCCCAACCATTCCCAAACAAAACACTAAACTCTTGCTAATTTCTCTTTTTGCAGATGAGTCAACCTGGTGCTCATATGAGCGTCAATGCGTGGAATATTCTCACAGGTGGTAAATACGAATCTCAACCGGAAGAGAAAAAAAGACTCAACAAGCTGAGCTTCCTACACGCGCGTGTAGCCGACGGCGATGTATTACACATCTCAGGCGACCGTAAACTTCTCGATTCGGAGAGAATGCAGGGTCTAGTCCTTTTACCTGCCATTGTTTGTGCAATCGCCTATGTATGTCAATATGCCGTTCTGACAAAAGCTTCCAATCGTCAGAGCTTGATATGGGTCGGCTGCCAGGCTGTTCTTGCACTCGTACGCTTACTTTTCTGGATACTTGATCCACAGTTTGACAACCCCGAAGGAATGCAAACCGAATATGCAATTTTCAACAACACCCAATTTCAACAATTCACGTTGATGGAAATGGCTTGTGCTTGTTCTGAAAGCCCTAGCGGAACAATAATTCCGCGCTGGGCATGGGAGTATCTGCTGGAGACTGATATTACCAGGCTCCTTGAGGCAGCAATACCTGATGACCCGCCTCTGTCTCCGGAAAAAGGACTCAAATTTTTAATCTTGTTGGATATAGACTTCGACCGTATCGTCCGACGACGTCGTGGCCGGCTTGAACCAGAAAATATCTATGGTAACTTTTGGAGGCTGGGATTGGAGATGCTTGAAGACCAAACGATTCGACCCTTTATTCTTATCGAGGTAGGAAGCAGAGACCGGCAACAGCTTTTGGTGAAACAAGCTATGTACTGACAGATAGCAGATGCAGTATTTAGCTAGCGAGACCAACGCATCAACCGGCTATAAACAAGAATGATTAGAACAAAGCTGGGTCAGAGTATCAAAGCCTGAGTTGCTCCTCAAAGCCAGCACCCAAAACGGTCCGTCAATCCTGAATCCCTGTAACCTCCATGTCTTCAACCAGCAAGGAGACCGCATACATCTTCAACCCATCGGGGGAAAGTGTCCAGATAACTGCTCCTTCCTCATCGGCCCCAACGCCGAGAATAAATCATCGGCTCTTGAGGACAAGGATAGCTGGAGATACCTTCTGGACAGAAGTAGAAAAGTGCGCAATCTTTTCAAAGACCACTTTTTCGATAAGATTCCTTGGCAATCGGTTAACACATGGGGTGATGCTCTCTGGACTGTTGCTACGCCTGGCATTACGGATAGAAGGGACAACGTACACCCTGCACATGCAACGACTACACGGACGTGGGGAAATGGAAACAACGGGAATATGACTGGGGCTATTGAGTTTGTTCAAGAATACATTAAAGACGGTGTGCAGAGTGCGAGCGTGAAGAAGAGGGGGAATGGTCGCGGTGGGAATAAGACAGAGGTCATTGAGAATGTTTGAGAGTATACCAGAATTTAGCAAGTCAGCTCATCGGTGAGACACAGTACCAAACTTCCCTTCATCTGTTTTTCTTCTCTTCACTCGTTATACTCGCACAACTCATCTCGACTATAACTTGCTGCAATTGGTTAGAACAATCTTGCAACTTGACATACAATATCCTGTCATACCTCGAAGAGAGCCATATATACCCGATGCCATGTTGGAAAAAGCACCGATTCATGTGGGCAGTAGCCAGGATAAGTTCCTTCACCATCCACATCATCCCAAGCTATCGAGGGATAACCATGAATCCCTAGTCTCGCATTAGATCTACAGCCTTTTGTGAAGAAACTCTATATACCTGCTATCTGGAAGTAAGACAAAGGATCGCTTTGACTACGGCCTTGCAAGATACTAAGTGCAAGTATGAATAGATCAAAAGGTGGCCCAGACTTTGCAAAGTCATCTATGGGTAATCGCATGGGCCTCTCGCCAGTATTCGAGTCATGACCATAATGGCAGCCAACAACGGGAAAAACAGCTTCGACAAGGCTAGAAAATAGTAATAGGAGAAGCAGCATTGCTCTTTCTTTTTTAGCGTACGATTCTCACCCAACTGAGGCTATGGCCTGGTGCTATGACTGGATTATGGAAAAAGACTTAGATTGGATCGTGCCAGCTCTTGGAGATTCGGCACTGGCCCGGACTTCCGGAGCATCATTTTGTTGGTTCCGAAATCATCGCTTATGCGCGCACTTCCGAAGTTGCATGCGACGCTTTTCATATGTCATGTGTAGAAGAATTCGAAGGTGATTGTGGTATTGAAACACTATGTCGACATGCCCTTAGGACAACTACTTCAATAAAACAGGCTTCCCTGACCTCCGCTGGTAACGACTCCTATTTGAATGCACTCCAGACCGTATCCCCCATCCTCCAATCCATTAACTCAAACGAATTCTTCTCCGATGCTAGCACTGCATCCCATAATGGCTTCGTGTTTCGACATTGGTGGTGAATACCAGCACCATTCACAACCCAGTCTATCGTTCTCCCTTGTGCGTCATACCTCCTTTGGGGCGGCTCTATCGTCCCATCACCGCCACAAGTGATGACCTGAGTTTTCCTTAATGATCGTTCTTTGCGCAATGTGATCAATGCTTTGCTTGCTTACCTGGTATAAGTATGCGAGGCAGTGTGTAGCATGCTTAGGGTCATGGTGTGCCGGAGGATGACCAGGCATTGCATGATTAAATGCGTGCTCTGGTGACATTGTTGATTTGAATACCTCCCGAATCATCTGCAAACAGTGGAGCGCATGAAACATGGTTACTCCCCATCCTTCAGCTCCCACAATGTCTTCCGTACGATTTGTTTCCACCCACAAAAAGCCGCCTTTCGGTGGTAGGAGCTGTGAATGCCAAATCCGATCGCCAGCTTCTCCGAAATCCTCCATTTCTCTCATATGATGGAAGTGGGTTACCACTGTCTCTTCGCCATGCCCAGTATGTTTGTGCTCGTGAGAAGAAGGGTGGCATCCAACCCGGAGGAAGGCGAGGCGCGGCGAAGCATGATGGTATGATATCGATAGCGCAACGACTGTGATTATAATCATGGGCGTTCAGATCAGGAATTTAAGACTTCTGGGAGAAGACATAATAGCAAATCGATTCGACGACTGGCTAGCGATGGGAATATTGTGACCCGCCATGAGATGTTATCGGTTACCAAAAAAATCGATAATGGCAGCTCGGTGATTTAGTTGACAAAAGGGATCCAGAGATGTTTCGAGGCCAGACTGTGGATCTATGAACCAATAACCTACAGTTCCGGTGCGATATCGCGAGTCCGGGTCAGATCCGGCTGGAGTGGCCCGAGTCGGTCCGAACCGGTTCAGTAGCATGGTTGAGATCAGGTCACATGCTTGACATCTCCGTCTCTATTTCTTTTGGCATCGTCTGACTTCGCGTTTGCCGAAAGCTTATCCGACATTTTCTTCCTTTCTTTCTCCGAGCTGGTCCGAGTGTCTCGAGCCTAAGCAGCACCAACATTGTTGATCGAGTTGGACGCTTCTCAGTGTTGACATATCGAGTGACAAATCAATTCATCCCGAACTTCATCCTGGACAAAATCCGACCTGAATAGTTATCGAAAATATTCCAAGGCTGTCACCAAGTTGAAATCAAGGTCGGTAGACTGATTCCTCTCTTAGCGCAGAAGGGAAGGAAGTGGCAGAGAGTCTCTGACCTGGTACCAGGTCGCAAGGTCGAAGTCGTAATAATGGATTCCGACAAAGAATTTCTGATTCCTTCTAGTGAGAAGTCCACTTGGAACACGCGCAATCGCTCCACATTGACTCCAAGCATGTGGTGTGACGGTTCATGGGATAAGGACATCCTAGGTGCCACGTGTTGGCGGGATGGTTCTTCCTCTTACTGATAAGCACCTTCTACACCTATCCATGTCACAGATACGTCATGTAAACAGACTAGTATGATGGCCCCATAAAAGGCCATCACCACAGCAGAACAGAACAAGACATCAGAAAATGAATAGCAACTTTCTCTCACTGCTTGTACTGTTACATGTGGTTCCAACAGCTTCTTTGGAGAGACCTGCTATTGATACTCCTCGGATTCATAAACATTCTTACATTTGGCCTCTCCTTTCAAAAAAGTACAACGTTCAACGACTGCATCAGAACGACATGGGCATATTGTAGGTCGATTGATTCGATTATAGACGATGGAAACACTAACAATCCATCACAGCACCACTGCACGACCGATTCAAAATTACAATGGCCGAACATAAGGCTATCTACGCAACTCTAGGACTAGGCCCAAATGCCTCCGAGTTCAGAGGCAAGCCTAGTCCAGAAGTGGATGCTGCATGGGACCGCGTGACGCAAACATATCTCTATCCGATGACGAAGGAAGAAGTAATCAAGATGGGGAATGACCCAGAATATGCAGTCCTCATGCCTGAAGAAATGGGGTTTGGAAAAGGTCATTATGCCGGATTCGCAGACGTTGAACACAAGATCCACTGCTTAGACGTTTTGCGCAAAGAGATTTACTCAGATTACTACGGCGAAAAGAAGTCCCCTCTTTGAAAAACCCACGTCGATCATTGTATGTTTATTCTCTTGGAAGGCTTGATGTGCCAGCCAAATCTTCAGGTGATACCATATGTCTGGATCGAAGGACATCCGGCCCCAGTACCCGATTTCATTCAAACTGAGAAATGCTGGGATTTCGATACATTGGTTGATTGGAGACAATCTCACGGGCATCTAAACGACAGGAATTGTTATGGTCTGTATCGAAAGTTGCGGCGAAAAAGCAAGGAGACGCCCATCCCTCCCGACATGAAGGATTTGAGAGAACAAGAGGCAGCGTGGAAGTTGGGATTCCCATCTAATTCTGAACATGACCATTTCTAGAGAATCAACCATGTTATCTACGTGATGTTTGTTTTAGTCAGAGTAAGACTCATTCAAGTTGCGATATCGCCTTCTATATTCTACGATTAATTCTCTCCTCGCGTGAATTATGTGTTATGAGATGAGATCAGACAGCGCGAAATCACGTGATGAAGATGTCTAACACTATTACTTATCCACCTTAGGAGAAGAGAGTTGGCAGAACGGTACTGCAATGCATCCAATAGTAAACTAGATATTCACAACCCTTAGTTCCTCCACCTTGGATACACAAGATGAGGCGCCTCAAATGAGCCTGACGTAAATTCCAGGAACTGGGTCCGGTCTATTTCCCGACAACAGTCCTCCAAACCTGCCCGCATTCCAGATGCACATACTCTAGTCCGCGAGGGATTGTTAGTGGTAGAGAAACTCCGCAACTTCCGGATCCCGGATTAGGTATCAGATATCCGGATGGAGTCAATCCCATGACGATAAGAGGATTCCGCAATACGCTCCAACCGATGTCATTTCTTTCTGAGCCGAACATGTCAATTACTTCCCCGTCAGCATAGGCATTCCAGCTACGGTTCGGTTCGGAAAACCCAACTCGCAGTTACGAGAAGAACCCTGAACCTGTGCCTTTATCTGTGGTAGTGCGGACAGCTTGGATAGGTTCTTCTTCACCACTATCAACAGATCAGTCTCAGATTTATTTCCCCCAAATTGTCCAATCGCAGAAGAATCCTCCAAAATGCACTTCAGCACCATTGTCGCCGTCTTTGCCGTGGCCGCTGTGGCCGCTCCTGCGCCCAAGCCCAAGCCTGAGGGTCTTGGATATAGCTACAAAGACGTAAAGTTCAATACTGAAGGAACTGTTTCCATCAAAGGCGCTGACAGAATTTAGTTTGAAAACGCTCCCGTTGAGAAGCGGGAGGGCCTTGGCTACAACTACTTGGATGTATAGTTCACCCTAGCACATTTTCGGAGCTAATCTAACTCTGCTTCTAGTTCGAAGATCCCCCGGTGGACTAAGCTGGTTGCAGGTTCGTCTGCTAGGGCTGAGGCAATCCAAGGCAGAGAAATGGATACACGCGGTACATGTAGGAGGAGAATGATGATATGGAATACGAGCGAATGGTACACAAGACATGTTTATAGCAGAGAGATGAATAAAAAGCGATTAACGATCAAGACCTGCATGCAGAGAAATAAGACAAGTGTACTCACCCCCAACACGTCCACTGGCGAAAGTGATCCGCTTCCTCGCTCTGAGGACATGCAGCGATCGAGTGCGACGCTTTACCCCATCGAACACAAATCTTTCCCGTCCATCTCGCTGTTCAAGCGGACTTTCTTCCCATTGCAAACGACGCAATCATATACGGCACTCCAGCCGCCATTCCAGCGCCTGTTCCGCCTAGGACTGCTCTGTCAGCAGTCATATTGATCTTCCCACTTCGCGCAGCTAGCAAAGCAGCTACCGCACCTCCGCTTGCAGCACCTAGTGCTACCCAATCTGTTTTTACCTCGCCGTTGTTTTCCAAGATGCTCCAAGATCTGTCCTTCCATTCAATCTCTTTCCGACCCCTCATGCGCCCCCATGTCACAACCGCACCAGCTATTATTCCAATGACAAGACCGCGACTGCTTGTCTTCAGTGTATGTGCCAGTATTGTGTTGTAGTCGATTGGCGCCTTGTGATAGCGCGCTGCGACGAGAGAGGCGGGGAATTGGGCCAGCGAGAAAAACGAAAATGACATGGCTGAGGCGCGCATGACGTGTAGGTAAAGGATGGTTCGCGCATAGGGTTGGTCCTCGGCGTAGACGGGGTGTGGGAAGAAAGAAGCCATTGCGTGGGTTCGAGATCGAGACGTTTCGTAGACTCTGGTTTCTCGGAGACGCTGAGCTGACCACGGGGAGAGATTTTGGCCTTTCGCTTTCAGTGACGCCGATGGCAGACGGACGTATCTCTTCAGGATTGTAAACTTGTAAAGATTGTACGATTCAGGACGAAGCAGTTAATGCTATGAAATCTGTGTTTAGTATGAGATGAGCGGATGTCAATCATTTATTCGCAAGCCTACAGGCAAGCCATGCTCTTGCAGCGCGACACGACCGGCGATAGCATTTCGCCGTCAGCGACGGGTTTCGGTCGTACGGCCAAGGCGCTCTGCATCCTCACGATAGATTCTTCCTGCAACGACCGAGTATCAGGCAACAAGTAACGATCTCGTGACTGCGTGTTGTTGTGAACGCGTGTTGGACGTGTCGAGCGGGGGGCTTAGGTCGGTGCTGTGGCAACGTCAGCCAAGGCGAGAGCCTAATTTGGCAACAACGCGAGGGGCTCTTCTGCGTGTATACGAAAATCAAGCCCAACCACGCGCACAAGGCTGCAGTATTGACTAGACTAGAACAGTCCATGAGTCAAAGTAGTCATCGCAAGCACCGCGCGCCTTTTCGACCCGTCGACACTTTTTCCTCCTCACAAACGCCCGCGTTCAAGCCCCCCGCCAAACCCAAACCCACAACACTATACGAGACCGACGACAGCGACTACCCACCCCAACAGTCCACTTCTCTACTCGGCGATTCGAGCACACTTTTCGACGACATTGAGAGCCCAGAGAGTCACATAAAAGTCCGCGAGAAACTTCAGACAAGACTTAAGATGGTTCGCGAGCGAGAGGCCCCAGGGGCTCCAGCGCAGCGCGATGGAGCGGCGCCTCACCCCAAACCTCTACAAGAACTCAAGGATCCACAGCCACAGTTTGGAGAGACGAGCCCTCTGAGAAACCCGTTGAAGAAGGACCGTAATGAGGGATTCGCGCATTTGTTCAACAAGCCAAAGCAAGGCCAGATGCGGCCAGAACATAGCCAAACAACTAAATTGCCGTCACAATACTCAGGGCCTCCAAGGTCATCACAGCCATCTAGCAGTAGAATGGATACGCTTAATAGGCCGTTCAAAGTTCCTTCTGCGCAACCAGGTCCACGTTACAGCACAGCGTCTACCGCCTCGACAGAGTCTGACATCTTTGAAATTCCCGCTTCGCAATTCCAGCCCCGACCATCCCAGGGCGCTCCGGTCCCCATCGCGAGACCTTACAATCCTCCTCCGAAGCCCAGCTATCCCCCTGCACGGCCCATGTACTCGTCCATGGGTCACGCTGATGACTTTCGACCTGTAAACAAGGGCACGCATAACCCGCTTCAACAAGCGCGGCAGACGGTCATACTGAATGATGAGGAAGACTTCGATCCGGATGCGGCTATTCGCGCAGAGGGTGGTCGATTCGGAGAGCCCGACATGTATGCCTATGTCGACTCGGGTGCTGCTAGTGAGAACATCAAGGCCCTGCTCGAAGGCGCCTTTGACGAGGAGTCTGAGAAGATCCCAAGGACGCGACTTCGTAAGAAGAAGAAGCAGCAAGAGGACGAAGCTGGTAACTCGCTCGCTGATCGCCTGCAGGCGCTTGCTGTCAAGGACGAACAGGCCAAAGAAGAGGCTGAGCCAGAAGAGGAAGAAGAGGACGACGGTACCGTTGAGGGCCTCAAAGTGAAGCTCCTACCCCATCAAGTCGACGGTGTATCCTGGATGATCGAAAAGGAGACTGGAAACCACAACAAGAGGGCTAAACTACCCAAAGGCGGCATCCTTGCAGACGACATGGGTCTCGGAAAGACGGTACAGTCTCTCGCTCTCATCTTATCCAACCCGCGACCAGAGAAAGGCGTTGAGCCAGAAAACAAGAAGAACAAAATCGCAGACTCCACTGGAAAGGGCACTCTCGTTGTCGCCCCTCTAGCACTCATCAAACAGTGGGAGAGCGAGATCAACACCAAGGTTACAAGGTCGCACGCACTCAAAGTCCTTGTTCATCATGGCCCCAACCGCACCAAGTCGGCCGACAAGTTGAAGCAGTACGATGTCGTCATTACCACCTACAACGTTTTGGGCTCGGAACATGCTCTCTGTGGAGATGGTCCAGATGGTCTTAAGAAGGGCTGTTTTGCAGTTTCCTGGTACCGTACCATGCTGGATGAGGCACACACCATCAAGAACCGCAACGCGAAGATGACAAAGGCCTGCTATGATCTCCGCTCCCACTACCGCTGGTGCCTGACTGGTACGCCGATGCAGAACAATATTGACGAGCTGCAGAGCTTGATCAAGTTTCTCCGGATACAACCGTACTGTGAACTGTCGTCTTGGAAAGAATCCATAGCCGGCCCAATGAAGAACGGTCGTGGAAATCTTGCTATGAAGCGTCTGCAGGTCTTCTTGCGTGCTTTTATGAAGCGTCGTACAAAGGACGTGCTACGGAAGGAAGGTGCCCTCAACTTTGGCGGCAAAGCCAAAGAAGGCGAAGAGAAGCCCGCATTCAACATTGTCGCGCGAAACATCGAGACCGTCATAGGAGAGTTCACGGAGAAAGAGCGCGCATTTTACACACGTCTGCAAGACCGCACACAAGCCCGTCTCGACGAGATGATGGGTGGTGAGAAGCAAGATTATATTGGAGCGTTGGTGCTTCTGCTTCGTTTGCGACAGGCCTGCAACCATCCTGATCTGGTAAAGAGCAATGTCAAGGACGACAAAGATGCACTGACGACAGGCTCAAGATCAGGTGCTGCCGCTAACTTGCAAACCCCGAGAAAGGCTGCCAAGGACGATGCTGATGATCTTGCTGATCTCTTGGGTGGACTTAGCGTTGCCACGAAGCGTTGTGATATTTGCCAGAACAAGCTCAACAGTGACAACACTGCTATTGGTGGATTGCGTTGCATTGAGTGCGATGAAGACCTCAATATGTCTGCAGATGAGTAAGTCATGACCTAAGGATGTTGGCAGAAATTATTTACTAACGATATACAGACACAAGAAGAAGGAGAGGAAGCATCGAAAACACGAGCACAAGCATGGCAAGAGCAAGGACAAGAAGCATCGCAAGCCCAAGCCCATTGTCGAGTCTGACGAAGAAGAAGAGGAAGACGAGGAAGACGAGGAAGACGAGAAGCCCAAAGCGGCGACCACCAAATCTTCTCGCAACCGTCGCGTTGTTGTTGACAGTGATGACGAGGAAGAAGAAGGTGAATGGCTTGTACCAGAGGACCAACAACATGCCGAAGATTTGGGCAAAGCTGGCGGAACCAGCGATGAGAATGCTGAAGGCGGTGGCGATACCTTGGCTTCAATGGACTCGGATGCAACTGAGAGTGGGGTTGACGAAAGCAAGAGTAACCTAGACTCTTTTGTCGTCCATGACACTGACAGCGAGAACGAAGCCCCGATTGCTCGTCACAAGCACGAAAAGAATATAAAGAAGGCACCAAAGGTCATCAGCCTTAACACAGACTCTGAAGAGGCCGAAGAACAAGACGAAGAAGATGCCGCCAGCGAAACCCAGAGCGGCTCAGATGCTTCTGCTTCAGACTCTGATTCGGAAGAAGCCGACTCCTCAGCATCAGACTCCTCAGCATCCAACGACACCCCCTCTCTAACCCCCTCCACGAAAATCCGCCAACTCCTCGCCATCCTCTCCCAAGAAACGCCCTCACATAAAGTAATCGTATTCTCCCAATTCACATCCATGCTCGACCTAATCGAGCCCTTCCTGCGGCGCGCCCACTACACCTATACCCGCTACGATGGCTCCATGCGCAACGACCACCGCGAAGCCAGCCTGCACAAGCTGCGTTCCGACCCCAAAACCCGCGTCCTCCTCTGCAGTCTGAAATGCGGTTCCCTCGGCCTCAACCTCACAGCCGCCAGCCGCGTCGTAATCATGGAACCCTTCTGGAACCCGTTCGTCGAAGAACAAGCCATCGACCGCGTTCACCGCCTCAACCAGACGGTCGATGTGACTGTGTATCGTCTTAGTATTCGCGATTCCGTCGAGGAGCGTATTCTGGAGTTGCAGGAGGCGAAGCGCAAGTTGGCGAATGCAGCGATTGAGGGCGGCAAGGCCATGAAGAATTTGACGATGAAGGATATGATGGCTTTGTTTAGTAGGGAGAGTGAGTGGGATCGGCGGCATGAGGATGATGAGGGGATGGAGTTGTTTGGGAAGACGAAGGTGCTTGCCGGGGATGAGGGGGCGGGCGAGAGTGTTAGTGCGGGGAGGGCGAGGAAGGCGGGGAGTTTGGGGTTTAAGAGGACTGAGAGGAGGGAGGAGGGGGGTGCTTATGGGAGGAGGTAGAGAGGTGGTTGACAGTCGTGATTCTGGGGTTGGATACGAAGACTGATGGATGATGGTTGGTTTCATTGAATAGATATTGTTTGTGTGCATATCTTAGATGCGCGGGATGGTGTTGGAGTATTGTACATTTCTCCATTAATGATGTTTATGAACCGCACGCATGCTTTGTTCCTACTCTACTCCTCCATTGTTATCCCATCATCCATCTCCATCTCCATCTTCCCCCTTTTCCATCACACCCCAACCTACCTTCCCACCACCCACTATCCACTAACTACCCCACCCCCTTACACACCTCCCTACACCACCCCAAACCCCCTCGAATTCCGTATCGCTAACCCCAACTTCCCCTCCATCCCCTCCCTACTCTCATACTCGGGCAAATACAACTTCCCAAAACACGTCGAGCTACTCGGCAGCGAACGCGGCGCACCCCCAATCTTATGAATCGCAAACGTAATACTCTCGTACCCAGTCACAGGAACACGATCCGACGCGGTGACAAACTCGAGCAAGCGACGCGCATCATCTTGATCGTAGCGCTCGACGATATCCCAGAACATGCGGATAGTACTGTGTGTAGGCGTATAACCGTCTTCGTAGCGGACGCAGCGCTTGAGGTCTGTGAGGGAGATGTGTGTGTTTCCCTCTATGAGATTGCGGAGGGATGTGGGGGTGAAGAGGGAGAGGCTGGGTGGTGAGATGCAAGTTCTGAAACCTTTGTTGAAAGCTGAGAGTTGGGGGGAGATGGATGCATGGGTTAGAGTTGTGATATAGTTGTCGATGTATTCCTCGCGGTTTTCGTTTGTTACTGGGGCGGCGTCTAGGTTGGGTAAGTTGTCTTCGGGGGGAGGGGTTGCGGAGTGGGTGAAGAAGTGGGCGAGGTTGTGGGCGTAGCGTTGGCCGTAGACTTGGTAGGGGAAGACGGAGTCGAGGGAGAAGATGTCTTCGACGTTGGGGTCGGGCCAGGTGAGGAGTTGCTCAAAGCCTTTGGCTAGCGTGGGCCACCCGTCTGAGATGAAAGATATCCGTTCGGTGAGGGTCATGGGATTGGAGACGGTATAGCCGTTTGTCCAGAGGTAGTTGTAGAATGCCAGTGGGAAAGTCACTGGGAGTGTGATTCCGTTGTAGACAGCGAGGCTGAAGAGTATGCCGAGCATTTCGAACTTCCAGCATGGTTCGAGACTGTAGGGTTGGAACCACATCATCCGCGTTTCAGGGTCAATCGTGAACATGCCTAGCATAATCAGACGAGCATCTCATCAAAGAATCATGCCACTTACCATTCTCAGGCTGGAACGCTTCACCGAGAACCACGCGGAAGAACTCATATGTTACGCCCCCATGATCCTGCCCAACTTCTCCTTCTTCCCGGCCCATCCTTACCTTTAGTGGCTTGAGAAGCATCCTTTTGTCCTGGCCCCATAATTGATCGAGCGTATCCTTGAGAGGATTTTCTCGACTCACATCCAAGATGAGTTGCTCGCTGAGCGTGACATTTAGCCGATCTGCTAGGACATCGACATGGAATTGGCCGTGAAATAATCCCAGTGACCTTCGCATATGAGTCGTATGTAACGTATGATCGTAATGCTTCATCATCTCGGTGAAATTGATAATGCGAAAGTATCCGACGAGTTGCCGCGGGAGGAAAAAGAATGGATATTGCAAGAGATGCAGTTTGTTTGGCTGATTCTTCCAGGAAAGGAACTTGACGGGCTCGGTCACTGTGTCAAGACGTTCGTTGAAGATTCGCATTTCGAACATTTTCGGCAACAAGTTCAAAGATGCATATTTGGAGTCTATACAGGTTAGCCTTGGCTCATGGGCAGAACCGGGTTACTTACGAAATTCGGCGAGAGTCATGACAGCAGTCCCAACGGTACCCCACTTGTTGATCTCAGCTTTAGTATCCCATCTCTTAATAATGACAGTTCTCAACCACTCCATGAACGTCGCCGTCACGGTCCAGCCGGGGTCTGCGCTTGGATCAAGGTTGGAGGTCATCTTCTGCTTTTTTGCCAGTGCCACACGTTCGACTACAATGAGGTGATGTACAACAACATCTATCAGCGTCTCGTCGGAATTTGCCGGCTCTTCTTCACCATGATAAAGGTCTTCATCCTTCAAGGTTGAAAGTATATGTTCATAACAGGTTCGTGTTCCAATAGCTCGAAGCAACCGCTCCGTAAGACGAAGGGCGGGCTCGTACTCCAGCTCATCGGTGATTTCCATATATGGATCAGTGAAAGCATCACTATCCAGAGCCCCACTGGGTACGAAGATGCCCCATGATCGAAACTTCCGTATCTGTGCCCAGGTATTTGGCCAGCCTATAGGAACCAGCGAAGTAAGTGCGTGGATGCATATCATGACGATGTGAGCAGCTTCGTGGGTGCTGAGATAACGCTTTGTTGCAGTCGTTTTCTTCTGGCTGCCAGGTGATTGTTCCAACGAGCTGTCTGCGGAAGCACCTTTCCTAGACGGCCGCAAACGAGGACTCTTATGAACTGCAAGTTCGGGTGGCGAGGTAAGTAGGGCTTCCAGTGCGAGGCAAAGGGCGTCGAACATGAGTGCACCATTGAGGCGGTTCCAGTCTTGGAATGAGTTGGCGAGATGGCTAGAGTCGAGATGTGGAAGTGGTGAATCCTTGAACGCTTGATCGGTCTCATGGAAAGATGCAAGCAGTGTTTCAGCATCACTCAGCGTGTAGAACAACGATCTATTGACCATAGGCTTCGTGCGTCGAGTCCGACGACGGCTATCGTAGTCCACAACATAGTCGGAGTGTCGAGACCAGTCTGTTCTCCGGCACACTAGTTCCTTGAACTGATCTAGGATATCGCAATTGAGATTGGTAATGACAGGCACACCTAGTGTTTCTGGGACTTGGGTGCTATCATGTCCAGCCGCAACCGAAGGCTTCGGAGTCTTGTTGACGCAGGGGCTTGTTCCCCCGATGGTGAAGCTCTTCTTTCCAGTCTTTGAAATGGACAACATTGCTGAGGTTGAATCGTCGTCCGGTGTACCAGTGTCCGTAGTCAGAGAACGCTGTCCACTTCTAGGTGGATGGTAGGGGATCTTGTGGACTTGTTGACCACTGCCGAGAGTTTCGACAGCAGAGTTTCCGGTACGTGAATCCTCATAAGCAGTGTATTTTGACTGTGAATGACGGCGGGTGAGTTTGCGGTCACGTGCTGCGTCTGAGGCTCCGTTTGTGATAGTTTCGGCAACCGTCCGCGTAGCTGGGACCGCAGAGCGTTCAGTTGGACTGGTGTCAGGGCCAACAGCATCATGATTTGTGCGAAGCGAAGCAAGGACAGAGGCTGGGGTAGGAATTTGTTTAGTATAGTTGTAGATGACGGTAAAGCTGTCATACAGGTTTTGGCCGAGGGCCTTTGTATCTTTTCTAGGCTGTTGTCGCTCTTTGATAGCGTCTGTTATGTCGACATTGGAGTCATTCTCCTGGCCAGAAGCCCCACCGCTCTTGCCGCTCCCTGCATGTGCATGCCCATACTGCTGTGCCAGCTGCCAAACTGAAGGATATACCGCATAGTCTTCGCCTATGCCATCATTTGGGTCTTGAGCGAGTGAGGCGCTAATCTCGAACGAAGCCGGTGCAACTTTCAACTCGTTAAGGCAGAGGCCGCGGTTCGGGTTGTCTTGACTAGCGAGATAGTGGGCAAGGCTGGTGGCCGTGAGATGCGTGGGGGGCCGATAGGGCTTGGAAGCATTGCGTTGGTGGGATGAGAGGCACGTGGGTGTATCACAATGGGCGCTCGTACAGCCGTGCAATATCTGGGAAAGGTACCTTGGGTGGTCAGCGCACCGTCTATGAATGCATCGGCCGACGTCTACTTACTGCCGAACAAGATGTTGGAAGCGCTGCTGCTTCTCTATCTGCGAGCACTCCAGTATCCGATTAGTGTCATGCACTTCTATCACACGAGGCTCTCTCGAAGCGGATGAGGAGTCAGTAACGCTGTATTGAGCATCGCGAGGGCGCTCGGTCTCTTTCGACGCGCTCATATTATCGATAAGCGCATTGATAGGAGGGGTTGTGGGGGGTGGAGATGACAGGCAGCAATGAACACGCGACTGTCATGGCGCATTGCAGTGGTAGCCACACGGTGCCGGCTCAACGTCTTATACGAGTGAAGACAGACAGGCAGGCGCAACCCACTGGCTGGCTGTAGGGCTGAGTAGCGAGACCTGGTCGCTCCTGCCCTGCGGCTCTAATCCGCTGCAGGGATGGCAAGTGCCAGTGGCGGCTTGGCGGCCTGTCTCGCTGGTGGGCTTGATGTCATGCTTCTGCACTTTATCATTTGCCCCAATGCTCGAGTCCCGGTCTTTGCGCCCTTCACGATCAAGACCGTAGACGGAGGCTTAGAAGATCCAGACTTTGATCGTCGCGCCTTCGCGACCCTTTGTAATCGCAAATCTCGGATTAGTGATTTTGCCCCTCGGCCAGTCATAAGAGGCCGATTCCTTCCACGCTACCGCAAACCGCATCCCACACTCAACCCCACCTGGTCGCCAATTATTTCTATTCCTCCCTTCCAGTCCACGACCACCTACAAGACCGAGAATAAACTACAAAGATGGCTTCGCAGGTCCCTACCCAGGCTAACATCCAGTCTACCCACCCCTTCACTTGTAACACATGCCAAGTCGCATTTCGATCGAGCGAGTTGCAGCGGGCGCATATGCAAACCGACTGGCATCGCTACAACCTCAAGCGTCGCGTTGCCTCCCTCCCGCCCTTGTCCTCCGAGATCTTCACCGAGAAGGTTCTCGCCAACAAAGCCACCGCTGCCGCGACTGCCGCAAAGGCCTCGTTTGAGAAGGTTTGCTCGCCATGCCAAAAGACGTACTTTAGCGAGAATGCCTACAACAACCACTTGAACAGCCAGAAGCATCGCATGAACATGGCCAAGTCGGGCAAGGGCGCACAACTGGATGATGCCGCCTCAGTGACTGGTTCTATGGTTAGCTCTGCCTTTTCGCTAGGAGAGTCGATGGCTGAGTCGGAAACGACCACCGTGAATGGAGACGCCGACAAGGATCTGTCTACTGTCGTAGATGGCATGAAGAACACCAGCATAGAGGAAGACACACCAGCATCTCAGTCTGCTACCGCCGATGATGACAAGAGCTCGGTAGCTACATCCAACAAGCCCGCCAGCGATCCCCTCCTAGATTGCTTGTTTTGCAACTACAAATCCCCCAACTTCCAGCTCAACATCGCCCATATGGGACGCTTCCATGGCATGTTCATACCAGAAAAGGAATTCCTTGCGCAACCCGAGGAGCTCATCAAGTACCTACACGAAAAGGTTCATGTCCGCAACGAGTGCTTGAAGTGCCACAAGATGCTACATACTGCCTCGGGTATCCAAACCCACATGCGGGATCGCGGTCACTGCATGATTGCCTTCGACTCCGATATTGAACTTGTTGAGATTGGCGAATTCTACGACTTCCGGAGTTCATACCCCGACGCCGCCGATTTCAACGACATGGAAGAAGAGGCCGAAGACTCAGACGATTCATCATCAACAACAGGAGGCGGTGTCAAGCTTGGGGCCAGGCGTGAGACCAAGATTACCATAGAAGATGACGCAGCCATGTCTAGCAACGCAGAGGAAGACGCAGGTTGGGAGACTGACAGCACTGTCTCAAGCGTACCTACCGACGAAATCACCGCCGTGCCCATCGACCGCACACATCGACACAAGTCGCTCAGCAAGTCAAAGCACCACAACCATGCAGATCCCCGTCCCCATCGCGCTGCCGACGGCTTCCACTCACACGCACACCACACACCTCAAGCCGTCTACTACGACGAGTACGAACTACATCTCCCATCCGGCCGCACCGCCGGCCACCGCTCACTTAACAAGTACTACCGCCAAAACCTGCGCAATTACCCCGGCGTCGCCGAGCGCATGGAGGAAGCCCAACGCCTCGCCATACCCGGCGCCATCACCGCTGGCGACGAAGAAGATGAGGACGAGGACGGTGACACCCCCATGGACGGTGAGCAAACAGACGGCCGACAACTACAAGTCCGCGGACGCCGCGACCGCAAGCAGCAGCTCATGTCCCGTGCAAACGGCGGCACAGGCATGCTCGGCGTCACCGACTCTAAAAAGAAGGAAATCGCCGCCGTCGAGAAGCGCGACCGCCAAAAGGAGCAGCGCGCTCGCACCAGATACCAGGCTGGCAACGAAAAACGTCACAACTTCCAAAAACACTTCCGCGATCCTCTTCTGCAGTAGTTTGTCTGGTTGTTGCTTCACCTATGGTTCCGATCTTGCTCGAGGAGCTTGTAGTCGCCAACTAAGCATTTTTCTTTTCTGGCTGGTTTTACTTATGAAAGGGGGGTGTATACTTGTGTAAGGGAATGCGGGGTGAGGGGTTTGAGGGGCAAAGGCGGCGTTGTGTGGGGGTGATGGGGTAGGGTGTGGTATGTGTATGGTGGTATACATAGGTCGGAGTAGATGGGTGGATAGGGAAAAGCATAGGCAGGCCCCCTGTAAAGAGAGCGAGAGAGGACATGATATGATTACATGAGCATGAAATGGGAGTTACTTGACTGTGCTGCTGTGTATTTATTGTGGAGTGTCGAGTGAGTGATGCGCATGTGTATGTCGGTGTAATCAATGGTAAAACATTGACTGCATTTCAACCTTGTTCGCCGTTCTACGGGGGTATATGATGCGATATATATATTAATCATCTTCTCCTTTTTCCCCTCTCTATCATTTCTTTCTCGCTTTTGTCCTATCCAAATGCTAGCGATGTACGTATTCAAATACTCGTAATATTCAACATAACTTTCTCATCCATTACATTACTTGATTCCCCCTCCTTCTCCCACTCCCGCTTCCCTATCCCTTCTTCTTTTTCTTCACTGTCCCCAACCCTACCCCTGTTCCTCACCACCCCCATCCCCACCCCGATGCAACACCCTCTCCCGAATATCAAACAACGCATGATCAATAACCATGCGCTCCTCCCTCCCCATCACAGCCACCGGCGCACTAAACAGATAATCCTTCAGACTCTTGAGCTGTTGAATTATACTCCGCGGCGTGAGGATAACGCGTTCGGCGAAGGAGCGAGAGGGCGTGGACGACTGCCTTTGTTGTTGGTCGAGGGAAGGTTTGATATCGTGGGTTTCTTCTATTTGACTGGGTCGGCGCTGGAGTGCCTGCTGAGGTTGAGAAGGCGTATCAACATCGACTTTGATACTAGAAGAACTCTGCGGTCGAGGCGACACTTGGACGTGACTTAACCGCTTAGTGCCACTACCTGGAGTCGTGGATTGGCTCTCGGGAATGGCGCTACCGCCACCGGAGGTTCTGCGTGCGTCGCTGACGTCTTGGTCGGTGGTTTGGCGGGCGCGTTTGGGGAGCGGTGTGTCTTCTATGCGGGAGATGTCGTGCGCGTGGGGGGTTTGGTTTTCAACTTGGCTTAGTTGCGAGCGCGAGCGGCGGAGGGATGCCTTTTTGCGAGTGGCAGGCGAGGACACGGCGCTGGGGGAGGGGTGTGTGGATTTGCGCTTGTTGGAGCGGGTGGGCTTTTCGGGGAAGGGGAGGACGGTGATGTTGTCGATGAGTCCGTCGTCGTCGTCACCGACAGTAGGTTCTTCTTCTTCTTTTTCTTCTTTTTCTGTGTCTTTTGGTGTCTTCTTCTTGCTGGGTGTTTGCTTGCGCTTTTTGCTGCTGGCGGGTTGGGCTGGGCTGCCTCCTGTGGATTGCCGGGTTGAGCGGCGGAGGGAGGATGGCGTTGTCTTTGTAGGACTCTTGAAGGAATCGTTTACTCGACTTGTGCTGCTCCCCGTGACCTGGGAGCTACGCGTTGCACGGATAGCGCGAGTTGGTGTTTGTGAGTCGTCAACTTCGGTGTCGCTGCCACCCTGGTCGTCTACAACAGAAGACTGTGGGTGGGACGCTGCATCCACAAACTGTTGCTTTGACTCCTGTGCTGTATCCGCGACTTCTTCGTGTGTTTGCATGTCCGCGTCGATTTGCGCTGTGAGCTGGAGATCTATGGTGGAGCTGGGAAGTTCCGACATGATTGCGTCCGAAGGAAAATTGGAGCTTATGTCTTGATCCTCGTGACGTGCAACAGCGTCTAGAAGCGCCTCATCTATCGTCGTACCTTCATCGAAGGACACAGAACACGAGGTTTCTGGTTGACGAAAATCGAAGCTGGACCTTACCAGAATATCGCCATTCAACCCACTCTCTTTCTCAAAGCGGGGCGGAGAAGAGCCAAGGTCGTCGTTGGCAAACTGAATGCTACGTACAGCAGTTGGAGTGGCAATATTGGTATCGTCGCTGACGATGTGACGAGTGCTCCTACGAGCATGTGGTGTGGGCGAGGACCCGAGGAAGCCATCCATAGGGTCCATTGCTGCGAGAGCTTTGAGCGGTGTAGCTCGAGCAGATTGCGGCAAATCATCCGTGGTAAAGGCATCTGAGTCAATTTCCATGGGCGATGGCGCCTCTTCTGGTTGAGGTGAGAGAGCACCCATCTTGGAAAAGAGACCAGTGCTGAGCCTCTGGCGATCAAGCATCTCCTTCTGGCGCTCAGTCAACACCTGCGAGTCTTGGTTGAACGGATTCGATGGTGAAGAGGGAATAGGCTCAAAGGCAATCTGTGAGTCATCGTGTCGCAAACGAATCTTTGGTGTCTGTCGCGAAGATGTCCTTCGGGCTGAAGTCGGCACTGCTGGGGATCGTGACTTGGATCGTAGAGATTTGGAGATCCTAAAGGGTGATTCCTTGACACGGGGACTCTTGAAAGCGCGTTTGGGTTCCTCAGTTGTAGTGTCCGAATCGTAGAATGAGACCATGGTGTCCTGGTCAAAGATTAGCGATAGTAAAGTTGACTTACGAAACACACTTACGGCGTCCTCTTCTCGGGCTTCTAGGGACGGCAAGCAAAGCTCGACGTTGTTTCGCAACAGACGCAAGGCGGTCTCAAGGCGAAGAGGATACTTCAAGGTGTCTTCTTTCCCAAAAGTCCTATTCCAAGTCGCAATGGAGACATTCACGATACTTCGGCGCCTGCTCAAGAAACCTGTAGTCATCAAACTCTCCAACTGGAGTAGGATCTGGCTATCCTTTCGAGGCAGTCGTTCCACGGCTTTGCTGACCTCTTGCCACATGCTAACAACCTCACGATGTACGCTCTTCAATGGCTCGTCTTTGCTATGCAACTTCCTCTCAGGGTCTTCGATCCAGATCCCAACTAACTCCTGTATCTTGCGCAAGTAGACAGCGAGATGAGATGTTGAACAGTGTTGAATGGAAGCGCTGAGCGCAGCAAGAAAGCCTTTGGTAGGCTCAACGTCTTTCCTGTCAAGATCCTGATATGCAGCTGATCCAATGGCGGCTATGGCACCATACAGATGAACATAGGGATCAGAGTCGGGGTTGCGTGCTGTCGTTGAGTTTGAAGGCCAGAGGATTTGCCGGGCTTGGTCCAATACTTTACGGTTCATTTGTTTCGGCAGGTTACGGAGTAGAATGCTCGCGTACGACAAACCAGAGACTGTTTCATCATCCGATATACGCTTCAAGACAGACTCAGAGACCTTTTCAATGACTGCGATAACGAGCGCACCCTCTCCTACTTCTCGTCGGACCGTCTCGATGAAGGTCAACAAGACTTGCTGACCATGAGGTCGATCCAATAATGAAGCAGATCCTAGACGCAGAATATCCACAACAAGTTCGTATTCTTTCCCAAGTGGACGAGCCACACGCTCATCTGATGCTGACGTCTGCTCCTGCATCGTCGCGTTAAGCAATGTGACGATTTGTGCCCAAAACTTCGCAGCTACCACCCCCTTCAGTGAACCGTCAACGGTCGTAGCACAGTCCCGAAGGAGCTCCAGCTTGCTCAGGCGGCTATTCTGTGCAGCAAAGCAAGGCTCAACGATGAGTTTTATCGCACGAAGGCGGACAGGATCGGCCAGTTTACCTTCTGATTGCGTCACCAAGAGATCGACCAGATAGAGAAGCGGAGATACACGTGTGGCCTGGTTCCGTGCACGATGCGATGGTGTCGATGCTACTTCGAACTCGTTGCTGCCGTTGCGTGTGAGACTCTTCTCCGCGAATTGGAAGGCGCCAAGTTTCTGCACAACACTCTCTATCAGGAAGCAAAACTTGTCTGCCCAAATGTCCTCCTTTTTCTGTGGGACCGCCAACTTGGCCGTATACCTATCCCAGATTCTACGCAGCAAGTTGATGATATGTGCCATTGCGTCTTTAGTTTCGGTAGACGCCACGATCTCCTTGCTGCTTGCTTCAACCACAGAGTCCAATACGGCCAACCACATCATCTTTACTGGCTGATCCTCAGGCTCTTTGCTTTCGGTCCAAAGCGTGGCATCCAAGAGGTTCTCTACAAATAGCAGAACCTGCGCCATTGACTTCCGGACCCACTTAGGATCTACAAGAGGTAGCTCTGTGCGTTGGATCATATTCTGTGCGCGAAGATCCAAAGCCCGGTATTCGTTCCATGGTTTTCGAGACCCGTTTAACAGAGCAGACACAATTCGACATGCAGGAATGGCGTGTTGATGAGGAGCCAACCGGACCAGAGGCTTCCAAAGATCTGCTACATATTCACCCCAGTATCGGTCCAATTGTTCAAAGGAAGCAGTTGGTCGAAGAGCGTAATACAGCAACGTGAAGTATGCAGATGATACAGCGTCTCGCTCGCCTTTCTTCACGGGTACACGACGATTGAGTACATGAAGCGAGGTGTGCCCAAGCATTTTGGACCAGCTTTCGTTCGTATTTGGGCCCAGATTAATGGCATAAATGAAGAAGCCGGACGCAACGTTGGAATGAATCCTGACCGTGTCCTTGTCGGAGACATGGAAAGATTCGTAAACACGGAGCCACTCCGCCAAGGAACTGAAATTGTCGCTGTTCATTGAATCCTTCAACAACGCTGTCACCACAGCCCAAATCTGTGGCACCAACGGAGCATGATCGCCGCCCAGCATTCGTACCAGCTCCTTGGCAAAAATACTTCCGATGGTTGTGCCGTCACTCTTAACACGATTTAGTACGGACAAAACTGATTTGCAAACCTGGCGGTCGTGCGCGATTGTCGTTGCAGCGGTTGAGCATATGTCCAACGCGCTTGAATTGATGTCTTTCTGGACCGACATCAACGCTTTGAGGGTGTGTGTAAACCAGGATTCGCTGTGCTTGATCATGACGTCTGGTCGTTGCCGGATAAGGCTCCGGTAGATGCGTATCCGATAGGCCTGTACCGCATTTCCGGATATGCGTTCGTGAATGGTTTCTAGCACATCTAGCAGTTTTTCGACGCGAATTACCGTCCAGATCTTGGGGCGAAAGTTCTGCTGCATAAGCACTGAAAGATGGGCGTTGACAACGGTCTTCGGTATCGAACCATTGTTCGCCACGTGAGTAGAACGGTCGACAATGAAGATACAGAAGTCATCGCCCATGGCGGATGTTATGTCAGAGACGCGAAACAGTGCCAGTAATAGCTTCGTTGCTTGTCCAATCATTTGTGAGTCCAGTCCAGTTCCAGTAGGGCTTGTAGCCAAAATATCCCGCTGTATGAACTGTGTCAATAGAGACATCTTTTGCTTGAGAGCGTGTTCATCAGGGATGTTGTCATAGGCTTGCATAGTCCTATATAGCGAGTGATATGCATCCAGCCGCGATGACCGCTCCGAAGAAGCGAGCTGCTTGACTATCGATTCGAGCATTTCGGCAAAGCTTTTGAACTTGTGCGCTGTGGCAGCGTCGTCGGTAGGGGGAGGCGTTGGCGTACTGTCCGAAGGCTTCAAGATGGACTTGAGCGGCTGGATAAGTCGGGTCTGGGGGAGAGGTCGGAGCGGCGAGCTACGCGTGGGTGTCCAGGAATGTGCTATGGCCGTTCTATTCGGTATATCGCATAGTTCGAAGTTGACTCTTTTTCTCGCGCTGGCCGAGCTGGAGGGTATGCTGATGTCGGACGAGGGGGATTGTTCAGGCGTGTTGGGCACTTTCTTCGCCTCTACCAACCGTGGAGGGATTGGCTTCTCGCCAAAAGGGTCTTCGAGAAATTGCAGCGTCTCGTCGGGGCCTGTATCGTGGAGGTCTTTTGGTGGAGTTGGCGGGCGAGCAGCTAGGGAATCGAATTTGGAAACCATGACTATGCTTAAACCAACCAGGACAAAGAGAAAACAAAAGCAGAAAAGCGCGCTCGCATTGCTCCCAGGTACGTGAATGAGGGTATCGTGAGTGAAGAGAGCAACCTTGAAGTGTGGAGGCGATCGACTACCCCGGCCTCGAGCGCCAGAGACTGGTGTTGGCGACGCGTCGGGCGTCCGCGTTAGCGTGACGCTTCCGCGTAAAGTACCAGAGTGCCCATTCACCCGGCGACGGGCCCTCGAGCCAGCGCGTGGTCTCTGCACTGCGCCGACAGAACGGCCATTTGCATGCGCTTTCCTATCGATATATATAATTTTCGATCTTGCCGAGTCTTTGCCATCCTCAGCACCAGGTTGGACGCGTTGCTCCCTTATGTATGTACAATATACAAATGTATCACATGTCTGAAAGCCATCTGTCAAACAGAAGCCTGGCGTCCGAACGGCAAAATAAACAATGGTTGGGAGACGCCGTCTCTCTCTACTCGCGATGGACCCTGGAAACTGACATGGAGGTCCCTTAGTGGGGCATCGCAAGCTCAAGCTTCATACCATCAAGCGTCCAACCACTAAATATCTTCCATTCCTCAATCACAATGTTAATGTCACAAAAGTCGGGAAGAGGTTTGTAGTTCTTTCATACACTGTCCTCAATTGTCACTAATCAAAGCCGCAGCCAAGCTCGACGACGTCACCAGATTACTTTCCGAGTTAAAGGCCGACCTAGACGCGAAACAACTTTCCATCGAGCGTACGTAGGTCGACATTATATGTTAGACAATGCGCTCATAGACTACAGAAAGACGGAAATTGCTTGAACAACTCAAAGTATACGGCCGATTAGTCGACAACTCAGATCCCATATTCACCGAAGATGTGATTCTAGACCCAACTGATCTCAATGCGACAACCATAATAACTGTTGTAGGGCCTCCGAACTTTGGGTCGCTGTGCATTTGACGGCGAAACTACACCAGCATCACAAGAAGCACTTCGATGTATAGCCAACGCCCTGCTCCTCCAGCCTAAGACGCGGCAGATCCTCGTCGACTTAGGCCATGGCCCACATGCAGCAGAGAAGTTGAAGGTGAGAATACACCACTTGACCGAACACTGTATAGCATACTGACGGACACAGAGCGACAGTATCGACGATGAATTCCTCGCCGCCCGCGTCCTCTTCCTCATGACCTACGACGCAAACCTCGACTACGCACAACTCGTACGGCAGAACCAGCTCGCAGACAGCATCAACGCAGCCATAGCACGCCATGCCGCCCGGTACTCCAAAACTTCACGACAACCATCCCAAGAGCACACACAACCCATGGAACTCATGGCGCTCTCCGAGACCCTCAAGCTCGTCTTCAACATCATCCACTTCCACAAAGACCTAAGTCCGCACTTCACCCCCAGCATCCCCAACGTCTTCAGAATGCTCGTCCGACGAAACCCATCCTCTCCCCCGCTCGCGACCCCAACCCGCGAACTCGTCAATGCCCTCCTGCACCTCGACCTAGAAGACCCCGAAGGCCAAAAAGCAGTCTTCCCCTCCTTCGATCCAAACGTCAACATCACGTGCCTCGTCACCCTGCTTGACAAAGCAATCATCGTATACCCCCCAAAAGAGCTCGACGATACTATAACCCCCGTCATCACCCTCCTCCGTCGCATCTACGAAATCGCCTCAGACCCGGTTAAACAAACTATGCAAACGCTCCTCCTCCCTACCCCCGCCGAACGCGACAAGCCCCTCGGCAAATCAGACACTTTATCCTCGCGCCTCCTCAACTTGTCCACTTCGGCGCTTACGCCCACGCTCCGCGGCTCCATTGCGTCCATGTTGTTTGAACTCTCGCAAAAGGATCCAGCGACTTTCGTTCATAATGTTGGCTATGGGTTTGCATCGGGATATTTGTTGTCCAATAACATTCCTATGCCTGATGAGGTTGTCAAGGCGAATGCGGGCAAGGGTATAGATGAGGCCATTCCGGTGAATCCGATTACGGGTCAAAGGTTGGATAAGGAGGAGGTTGTGCAGACGGAGCCTATGTCGCAAGAGGAGAAGGAGAGGGAAGCTGAGAGGTTGTTTGTGCTTTTTGAACGGTATGTTGTCCTATTGTCGAATGTAGTGGATGTGCTAACGATGTGCTAGGCTTAAAGCGACTGGTGTTATGGATGTGCAGAATCCGGTGGAGGAGGCATATCGCTCGGGGAGGATTCAGGAATTGGATGATGATGATGATTCGGAGTAGATCATTATAGGTATGGTGGGGTAGAATAGAAAAGTAGATGGATATGTGGAAGATGTGGCTATCTACAAGTAATAAAGTATGAAATGATGATACTTCCTAAAAGATCGCTATGAAGATAATCCCGCCCCTACCCCGGTCCCAGGAATAATAAATACCGCTAAACACCAAGCAAACCACCTGGACTCATCTCATACCTTCCCTGCCCCAGCAGGTATCTCAACCCTAGACAGATAACCCACACCGCCATCGTTGCTATACTCGCTAAACCACAGCGGTCCAAGGAGCCTCCTCAGTCCCACTGCAATGAAAGCCCCGAGGTACGCATTGATGCGACACACAGGATACGCACTAGCCCACAGCAAAAGCACGATACCCGCACCCTTTTGCCAAGCCGACATATCCGCGACGGTCGCGAGTGGGCTTTGGGCATGAACATTAGCGACAATGGAAGGGAGCCTTCCAATCCAATCGAACACGCCGCAGGTATGTAGGAGGAATGCCGAACTGCATGCGCCGGCTGTGTAGGTAGCGAGTTTGACGTTGACCTTGTACAGAACGGTGAAGAGAAACAGTGTACCGATCGAAGCAACGAGGCCGCGAAAGAGTAGAGCGACGAGTGCAGGAATGGCGTTGAGGAAAGCGAAACCTTCGGCGATGTGTTCAGTCTGCGTCTCGAAGATGTCTAGTCGCTGGGCGATGGTATTGACTTTTGAGAGGGAGTGGTCTGCGATGTCGTTTGTTTTGTTGATTGTGTCCTGGGCGACACCCATGTAGCTGGATAAGACGGTGTAGCTGTTGACTTGTGCTTCATGGTTTGTTTGGAGGTTGGCCAGGACATGTTCGTGGTATTGTTGGAGTTCGCCGGTGAAGTATTTGGCGAGGTGCGAACTCTCTGATATTAGGTCTTGGGAAAAGGCTTGCATGCTCTCATGGATTCGGTCAATTTCGTTGCTCTGGCTGTTGGCTAGTGTGGTGATGAGTTCGGATATTGAGGACTTCATGAAGATGTTGAATTTGTTGTCGAGAGCGCCGACAGTGGCGACGGCTTTCTCTTGGATAGCTTGTATGTCGTCTTGCAGTCGATGATGTGAGTCTCGGGCTTCTTCAGAATACTTTCTCTGTTCTCTAATCAAAGATTCGTATTCCTCAGTCGTCTTCTGCATGGTGGAAGTCACTCCACCCAAGACTTGAGTTAGGTTCTTAAAAGTCTCAAGGTGGTTCTCTCGCTCAATGGCATCTCTGCTGGCCTGGCACATGACCACCGCATTTTGACGGGCATTGCTAAAAGAGATCCAGTACTGAGGTGTTGACTGGAGACTCTTGAGGCATTGAGTATACTGATAGTCCTTGAACCCTGGATAGCACTGCTTGTCATCAGGTACTTCTGGCTGAGCATGCCACCAGCCACTCGCTTTACCACAGTGCTTCGTCGCCGGAACCAGGATGTCGCAATACGGTGGCGGTGCTGGATTGGCAGGCTGAGCACTGAGAATCTCGCATACAGCGAGTTTAGCTGCGTATTCAGTCTTGACGTTGTCCAGGTATGCCTCAGGTCGGGATTTGGCAAAGTCCGGTGCATGTTCAAGAAGTTTGCACTCGTTCATCAAGTGGGAAGCGGCCATCCGGGTACATGATGGCGCTGTCTGCATTGACACGACGAAATCAACGGCTTGAGTTATCATCCTGTGGTTTCTGGAGATTGTATGTTGGAAAAGCGAGTCCACGTTGACTGTTGGAAGCGCGTCTGCTGGGGGAGAATGATGGTAAGAGAACGCCATAGGAAGGGAGCACAGCCCGCCCAGAACAAGCTTTGAGATTGAGAATCCATTTCGAATGTCCATGTGGTTAGCGTGTTGTATAACGACCGGCATCATCGAGAGAAGAACACAGTTGGCGAGCAAGATTGAGCAAGGGCTGAGAAGTATGAGGTAGTGGAAGAAAAGAAGATAATGATTGATTGAACACGAAGATAGTGATCCTAGTATGATCCATAGGTTCCCATGGTAAAGTAAGAGAGCCTGCTGTGTGCTGCGTATGATGGATTGAAGCATGGTGTCTTGCTGCGACAGTTAGGTAAGAGCGATCTGTAGTAAGAGGACGGCAAGCTGTTAATCAATGAGCAGGAACTTCCAGCCTGGGTGAGAGACTGGAAAGCTGACGGGATCAGGTCGCGATATATTACACCGTATCGTACAACATTTCCGCCACGAAGAGTTGACGATGTAAGTGTTGGTGTTGAAGGATGCAGGGCAGTTTGAGCAGGGGTCCAGCCCCACCAACAACATTGGATGAGTAAGCGGCGACTGGAGATTCGCGACTTTGGGAAATCTTCGCGACTGCAATTGCAGGCGACGACAACCATGTTCTCTCCAGCACGACGGCGGTGCGCCCAAAGCCTCGCAAAGGCATCAATTCACCCAAGCGATTCGATACCGACATTCTTGCTGCCCGCATTTGCGAGACCCTCGCCACACAGGACCTTTACCTCGACCACGCCATGTCAGTCGAAGATTGGGTCTCTGCCGCTCTCAATTCCCCAGGGAGTCACTTTCCAGGTAGTTGCGCCTTCGGCAAAGGCTAGAGCTTCACGAGTACAAGCAATGTCTACTGTACATATTAAGGGACCGCTCGGCGAACTCTCAATGGACATTCCACCATACATCAACATCAATCAAGATCCTGCTCTGAATGGGCCCACGTTGACGATAGAGGATGAAAGAGACAGGAAGCAAAGGGCAATGTGGGGTACGGGCGCCATATCTGTTTCGTTCTTTTTCTTGCTAACCTCTGTCCAGGCCTCGTGCGCGCCTACCTCCACAACCACATCCTCGGCGTTAGCGAAGGCCACAGCGCGATCCTGAGTTTCGTCGGTGTTGGATTCCGTGCCTCTGTCGAAGATACCGCAACAACCGTAAAGTCTGAGTACCCTGGTCAGAAGTTCATCAACCTGAAGGTCGGATACTCTCACCCAGTCGAGCTGGGCATACCGAAGAACGTCACCGCCAGTACACCGCAACCGACACGCTTACTACTAGAGGGGCCAGAGAAAGAAGTCGTGATGCAATTTGCGGCAAATATAAGGAAATGGAGGGTACCAGAACCATACAAGGGCAAGGGTATCTTCGTTAACGGAGAGACTATCAAGTTGAAGAACAAGAGAGTGGGCGGTAAATAAGCGCTGATTGCCATATTCAACATCTGTATCGTATCTGGCAGGATAGAACGCCGTAGGCGGTGTTGGACGAGACCTACGATACCCCATTACGACCAGCTTGAACCGAGGCGGAATTCACGAACATCACACTTCGAACTCGTCATGTCTCACCATGCAAAACGTTTCGTATCTATGTCGATGTAGTTTGATGCATGTTGCCGTGAGTTTTTCATGGTACCATTGCTGGAGTTTGGTAATATGGCTGCCTAGCGACATCTGATATCTGGAAACAGTTGAATGCTGACACAACAGGAGCATATTTGGGGGTACAAATGATGATCCTACATGATTTTCGAAACTATGCAGAATCAGTGTGTGAGTTATCATGGGTATGCTTACTTTAACCTACCACCTCAAATGATTTTTGATTAAATATGGCAGCCTGAGATGCCAATAGTTTGTACCTCACATATTGTGAATCGCACTAACCACTGTCTGTTGATCGACCACAGTTCCATCAACGAAATTAGGGGCCGACAACCGATCTGCGAATTCTGTTGCCTGGCAACATGCATGTTGGACATCGTGTACTCACAGATATGGGCATGATACGTGTCCTCCCTTGTTCTATATAACTTCTCTCTCGCACACATCTTTCTCACATTCCAACTATGAGCCTGTAATCAAGAATGGCGACAGGACCTCCAGTTCGACAGCAGCAGTCGCGCTTCATGAGCCTTCCGCGTGAACTCCGCAACGGGATTTATACTTACTACTTTCAAGTGCCAGGAGGATACGCCCATTCTCCTACTACGAATCGCCTTCGATGTTCCAAGGATCAGCCTGTGGATCTCAGCCTCATACGCACCTGCAAGCAAATAGCGGACGAGACTCGCAATCTGCCGCTCCAAGTCAATGAGATTGTTTTCAAATCCTTTCACGAGGTTTCATCGACATCAGACGACAATCAGAACATGTGGTCATGATGGGAACGTGCGGGGAAATTCGATTTCCTGCTGGAAAGGGTTTACCTCTTGCAAGAAGAAGCTTTTGCAGTGGCAGCTTCTGCTCATGGTAAGATCCTGTTGGCTGATTCCGCCGCATACCATTGACGAGAAGAAACTAAACCTCTCAGTCAGGAAGTTCGGAGTTTGCAAGGGAGATCTTGCATCGTTATCCGCACAGCTGTGTTGGCCATATACTCCAGGAGACCTCCGAATTCTCTACGCACGAGGATTACATTCCATTATCGGCCATCGTGACGAGCCCGTTGATGTTTATATATGACGATCGTCAGGCCTTACAACATAGTCTCCAGGCTCTGGAGCCATATGTGAACTTATCAGAACAGCTCAAGTCAAGGAGCTGTTTTTTTATGCACTTGGCTATGAACAAGCAACGGATGTATTGTCGCTCCTGAATATACCCTTGATTCGAAGATACAGACACGGACAAGGAGACATTGACCGTCGCAATGACATATTAATTCAGACCAGCCACAAGAAATTACGCTCAGTAAACCAGTTGACAGACGAGACCGTCAACGAAATGGTCTCAACAGTCGCAAACATTGGATGGCTGCCTTGGATCATGCCCACGGAGGATCAGATAACGGTGTTGCGGGATTTGTTCAAATTTCGATCTCCAGAAGGTAGGCCCGGATCTGAGCGGAGATATGGTGTGCTCTTAGGGTGGCCAAAATGCAGAGAAGGACGTATGAGTCTGAGGTACTATCAATCAGCAACCTCGCAAGCTATCCGCTTTCTGGAAGGAATCAATGAGAGAGATCAGTCAAATTTGCGGTTCATGGAGATCACAGAAGACCGCAGATCTGTCGCAATGCCAGAATGTCATGCTCGTGGGTTGTTGGAACACTTTCGTACCTTGCCCAAGTTGCATGTCAAGAGACGTGTTGATTTATGGCAGGCGGTGTAAGGCTACCAAACACCACATCAGCCTGAGGTCGATGCTAACAAAGTTAGATTAATCAACAGCATCACAGGGCTTGGGGGTGTGCACCAGAACACAATTCAATCTCACCGTTGGGACGAGTGTCGGGTGATCGACGCCGTTGATGAAGCGATCAAGTGGATCAACGAAGCGACAAGTCTGACTTCATCTGGCGTTACCCCTCAGTCACTCACCATTCACTTCGATGGACCCTATGATACTGTTCAGCTCATTTGGAACAGAATCAAGTCGATTGGTGCACTCTACACCGCAGCCAAGGCCTGTAGCTACAATCAGTGCTTTCCTTTCTTGACTCTGAACGACCCCGAAGTGGCCTTTATACGCAGAAACTCACACGCGTTCAGCAACCCGGATCTTCTGCCGAAATCAGTGAGGTTGATTCTCTTTGGTGACTCACTGGTGCGGCTGCCATGCATCTTGGGTACCGTTGAAGAATTCGAGGAGGAATGTGAAATTGTGTACACTTTATTAAAGGGTAGACCACATGAAGACTGGGAAAAGCATCGCGATGCTCTTCTGGAGGGATTGGTCCCGGATAGCGAAAATTTCAGAGCCATGCAATTACAGTATGCGGACTACGCAGAACCGGTCATACTGACAATGTCGGCTGAAGAATAGGCTGCGCAGTCGGGTTCCAAATGACAACCCGTAGGAAAGGCTTCAGTCTGCGTAGCCTCATGTATCACTTCTACGAAATTTTCCTTCTAGCTCTAATCAATAAGAAAAGTATCGCGTATCTGGCACTGCCGCACGATCCAACTTGAAATAACCCGGCTGCAGCGTCTGAAAAACTTCTGTCGGGTCGTACTTCTCCGCAACCGTCTTTAACTTGCTCTTACTAGCAGGCCCATAACTCGCAATCACATCCTGAAACTTGGCCGCATAGTTCATATACACCCAATCGTTCTGCACACCCAGCTCCATGGCATCCCGCTTGATAGCCTTCATGATATTTGACATGACCTGAAACACAGTGTCGTCGTCGGCTGCCTCATCCCAAGAGCAGGCTAGTTGAATAATGTGAATAGGGCTGCCGTTAGCATCAAAACCCATTGCATTACCACCGTTACGCGTACTACCCTTTAGCGAACCATCGGTGATGTGTTGCCAGATCAGCACAGGAAAAGCGCCTTTAACTTCAGATAGAGCGCCAATGGTGTCGTAGAAAATGTCAACCGAGTGCTGGGCAATTTCATACGACGCCTTGACCGTGATGTCGTAAAAGATCTCGCGAAGACCGTACGTGTTACTCGCTTCGTTATCGACCACATACGAAGCATGGCCTCGCGTCTTGGTAGTATCCGAGATGGCAGTGATGTTGTAGAAAGGTGCTAGGATAGCAGATGCGTTACCATCTGGAGCGCCATACCAGAGTTCAGTGGACACGATTTTTGCGCCGCCGCTGTTGATCCAGACAACCCAGCTGCCGGCTTTGGGGTCTTGTGCTGAGTTCAAGGTGAGGTCGATCCAGGCTTTGACTACGGCTGGAAAGGCTTCTTCGGTATAGGTTCGTGTTCCGCCCCAGAGCTGGTCGTTGGGAAGGGGCTTAGTTGTGAGGTTGAAGCTGGTCACGATACCGAAGTTGTTGCCGCCACCGCGAAGAGCCCAGAAGAGGTCTGGGTGAGTTGTTGGGCTTGCTGTTAGAATGGTGCCTTTTGCTGTTACAACCTGCGTGGAGTTAGAAGAGTAGCGAATTCAGAAAAATCATGGTACTTACATCGAAGCTGGCCACATTATCACATGCGAGACCATATTCATTCGTAATGAACGATATACCACCTCCCAGCGTAAGACCACCAACACCCAGATCGCCAATTCGACCAGCCACGACTGTAACGCCCGCATTTGAAAGCGCAGTAAGAGTGCTACCCCAGTTATTCCCCGGTTGGACTGCTACCGTCTTCTTATCGCTTGACAATTCGATGCCTTTGAGATTCTCAGAGGACATCGTTATCCCGCCCTCAATGGTGGCGGCTCCAGCAAATGCACTGTGGCCACCCGACTTGACTGCGAAGGGGCACTGAGTAAGCCGACTCAGAAGTACCATGACTGAAACAGCTGGTGGGCTTGAGGGCTTGAAAATACAGTGCGGCCTTACTTCGGCGGAGATGCCTGACCAGAAGCCGGAAGTGAATTCGGCGTAAGCTGCTTCATTTTGGAAGTCGACACGATCCTTCCCATATAGGAATTCGAGCGAAGAGCACTGAGAACCGGGTGAGCTTCAAATTGACGCTGAATTACACAGATACTAACAGCAATATGACAAGCCCTGTTGGAAGACCGCTCTACCAGACCGGCCAGCTCTGGTACTGCTGATACGTTGACACCTTGGGCAATGAGAGCCTTTGTGACATTGAAGTCGGGATCCTCAAAGGTCTGCGCTGTAACGAATGAAACAAGAGCGGAAAACATAAAAACCCGCATTGTGCCTTATATTTCAGCTTGGCGGGATGTTGGACAATCTGATGTAAACAAGCGAGGCGGTCGCCTTAATAGAGATGCAGTACTCTCTCATAGTTCTCTCAGAGATTAGACGCCTACCTGAAAAGGTACAAGAGCATTACCTCCCCGCAAGCGAAGTCGTAAGTCGTCAATCGCCACCAAAGGGTGCGGCTAGAACCTACCTAGGTAACATCGCTGTCTGCACGCTCACCCGTGTCATTTAATTAACGTCCGAATTGCCGATTCCGTTCCGCGGGGGAACCGTTTTACCAGTCGGTTGGTTTCCTCCGCTTCACAGTTTGTCTTGAAGAGGGAGTGTCCGTGGAAGGAGGCTATGTGAAGCATATGAGCTTGAGACAGGCTACAACATATAGCACTGTAGTCGTGATCGTATGGCATATGAGCAGGTCATTTCTTTGTTACAAGGTGAAAAAAAACTGCGCCGCAGGCTTGCAGTGACAGCGTTTAGAATTGATATTGGAGCGATCCTTCGGTAGGGGTGTTGCAGCTCTAGCGCTCGCGGCAGAAGCGGCCCTGCCGCGATTCGCTCGTGTAGTGACTTTCCCGAAGACACCCTTAACGGTGTCTGTTCCACGACGGCTTATTTGCCCACGATATGCACAGGTCTGGACTGAGCCTGTTCGATGTACCAGAAAACTCAGGAGGGCATAATGCACGAGTTACCTAGAGAGGCAATTATATCGCCGCTAACTAAGTTTAACCAGTCTTTGAACGTGTATTGGCTGTGTTTCCTGACCTCTATTGTGCTCTTCATCCTTTTTTTATATGTCGCTTTACGACTCAGTTGTGTGCCGTTGTTCATGGGAAGGATCATCGCACCTGCAATACGAAAAGTTTTTAGCGCGTCGGTAGAGGTAAGGGTCTACTTATCCTCATCACCGACCCTCCAGTGAACACCGCAGTTCCGGAGTTTGTCACTTGTTAGGTACTCGCTCCCGTATCAGGTCATATCATTATCACTTCGAATTCCCGCATCTTTTGCAGATCGGCTGCATGTCCGTATTACCGGTCGACAGCTCCTCCAGGCTCCCGGAAACATGGTCTAGAACTAGGCTCCTCCCTGCTCGTTGGCGGAAGAAACCTGTTGGTATGCTTCGCCACCAGCGTGCTTGTCGCATATAACTGCTTAGGATGTGGCACAGTTCCAGAGATCAGGAACAACCCAGAGAAAATGTGGAAACCCTTTGATAGAACCATAGGATAAGGGATGACGAAGGGCCATGCAGCGTCTGATCATAACATAACATGGTGGCAATAATTCTCCCACTGCCACCTTGCTACTTGATCCTCCCGTTCCAAACCTCTTCTTTCCAGCATGTCATCCGGTAGGCCTTCCGATGGGCTCACAGAATACATCCTCAGAGGCACTGCTATTAGCCATATGGTCGTGACGACAACTTTTGTGTGCGCACGGTTTCTGCTGCGTAGTGACAAGAAGAAGCGAGTCCAATGGGACGAGCTATGGCTACTTGTGGGATATGTGCTCTTCATGGCCGTTACTGGTGTCTACCTCAGTAAGATGAGTCTATTATTCCGGCTCTTAGCTGTTCAGGAAGGTCGCCTTGAGCCATACCCAGGTGTTGCAGAAGATGCATTTGATGCACAGGAGACTTTCTTCTTCACAAGCCCTGGTCTTTGGCTTACCCTCTGGTCTATCAAGTTCTCGCTGTTATCCTTCTACAAGAGGATCATGGTTGGAATAAGGCTATATCTTGTTCTCTGGTGGATAGTTCTTAGCTATTGCGTAGCAGTAAGTACTCAAAACTTATGCAAAGCCCGTCCAAATTCAATGTACTGAGATATCATAATAGGCACTCCTTCTCTCCATCTTACTACACGTTACTGCTTGTGGCCCAACACCAGCATCTTGGTTCATAGCTGGTGGTTGCGGTTCTGATAATGTTCGCAAAAGTTTGATTAGCTTCTGGGAAGGTTTTGCAGCCGACTTGACAACAGATCTTATGAGTAAGCTCTCTCCGTTGCAGATCGTCCAGTGGGACGTGCTAATCGTAAACCGTTAGTCATAATGCTCCCCATCGGTCTCGTACGAAACCTGCAGGTTCAATTAAAGCGAAAGATTCAGATCGTCGGACTTTTCGCACTGGGAACTTTTGTTATAGTTGCCAGTATCACTCGGGTGATACAGGTAGGCGCAACTACCGGCACACACAACACGACACCCTCATTGACATGGCTTGCTTTGTGGAGCATCATTGAGTCTTCGGTTGCTATTATAGTTGGCTGTGGTCCTGGATTATATCGGAAAGCGAAGGCTGTGTACAGTACTAATACTGAACCTACATACGATAGCCGCGGATATATCAAGACGCCAGAGAGAAGATAGAAAGGCACCGAAGAGAACGCGGATGGCGGATATGGGCTACCAATGAAGACAATGAGAACAAAAATTGCTGCTGATACCAGTAGAAGGAACAGTGAAGAGGGATTGGTGGGTTGTGATTCAAATGGCAGAATATGGGTGACCAGATCAGTAGTAGTCAGTGACAGATAGCATCAGGGTTCAACCATAGTACTTGTAGCAAAATCACCACTTTGCGAAAGTGTTGAATTTGAGTCTTCAAACTGATGGTTGCAGTGAATTGAAACATGTAGTCCTAGAACTACTGCGCGTAAGGAGAAGTACCGAAAGGAATTCGTAAACCGTATACGTCGATTTCTGTACCCTCATCGTTCGTCAGTCATGTTACTACTACCGTCATGATCATCATCATAATCCCACTGGTAACCCCTAACCTCATTGTACACCTCAACCGGCACGCCATCCGACCACCAAATATCCAAAGTGCCATACCGCTCAAAGCAGTCATCGCTATACATCTGCATCACCCACTGGTCCTCTGAACGCATCCGACTCCAAGACCTTCTCCAACCCTTGCCATCAAGCTGACCTAGATTCCTCGTCACTTTTAGAGAGCCGTCGACGCGATTAACGAACTTTTCAATGAGTTGGCGGTGCAGGCACGCGAGTTCCACACTTGGACTATTCCAGCCGCTATCCAAGTTGGTTTCGCCGTAGCTTGTGCGGTCGCGGTGTTTGAACAGTTCCTCCTTGGTCATGAATGGGATCATGGCAGGTTCAAGATTGCTACAGGGGGGAAGGCCAAACACGGAGGTTATTTCTGACTGGTCATCCTTGAGTATGGCCTGTGCTTTCATTTTTTGCTCCAGAGGTGAGCGTCTGAGGTATTCCGCTAGTTTTTTTCTGTAGTACTCATCCTCGAGTGAGTGATACTCCTGCAACTGGATGGAGATGGGCTCTTGGGTGTTTACTGCGAGTATGAGAGTGAAGAACGGGCTCTTCACACCTAATCCCCCGAATGCCTGAGGCAAATGGATGATGGGCTCGATATCGTGTCTGTATTTGGCCAGCTCTGTATGAGGTTTCAACAAGTTGGCTACGTGAGTTGTCAGATCACCATCGTCTAAGATGGTCGAGTAGATGAAGTTGTATGCCGCCATGACAGCGTCGTGGTGCTTCTCGCCAAAAGTGTCTGTGGGAGAGCCGAAGAGGTGCGCTGCATAATTACCGACTGTATCGTTCCATTTACGAACCCATTCGAGTACAGATGAGCAGTTACCCAATCTCTTCTTGACTTGGTTTGCATAGTCAGCGACCTTGACCTGATCGATCTCGAACGCTGTTGTTGGTTTTGGGCATGTAGATGGCTGCAGGTTGAAGTTCAAAAAGCCGATGGACGGATTGCCAGTATCACAAGTGTCGGAAGATTTGAGACCCATGATATCGCAGAAGCGAGCGAGTGCCTTTTCAGCCTTCTTGGTTATCTCTGGCGTGTCGATAAAGTAACAGCGGTCGTACAGGCGATAGAAATACGTTCCTGTCTCTTTACGAACAGCAAGTTCGAGAAGAAAAGTACAGCCTCGCTGAAGAACAATTCCAAACTATGTCCAAAAGACACTCCGAATGAGCGCTCGAGTGGCTTTTTGTCTCGGGACGAGGGATT